AATCGGCCTAGCAGAACTTAACTGCAAGTTTGAAATAGTTTTTCAAAATGGCGGGCGTGGCGGCCATATTGGATTAATGATCGACCCGAAAAATAACAACACTTTGTCAGGACCATGAGTCGATCATCCCTACCAAGTTTCAGTTCAATCGACCCAGCAGAACTTGACTTTAAGTTTGAAATAGTTTTTCAAAATGGCGGCCGTGGCGGCCATATTGGATTTCTGATCGACCCGCAAAATAACAACACTTGGTCAGGGAGATGTCAGTAACCTTTCCATGAAATATTAATGAAATCCCTTTGCCAGTATTTCAGCTTAAGTTAAAAATATAAAATGTTAACAGCCGACGCACGATGGACGACGACGGACGAAGACGGATAGCAATAGGTCACTTGAGCTAAAGCTCAGGTGACCTAATAAAATCCTGCACTCAATCATTATGAAGTTGACAGATATTTGTATTGTGATACATATGGTATTGTAAGTATCGTACTACGATATTTATTGTATCATTAATTGCAGCTCTACTGTAGACCTATTCATGTAAACACACTGCTTGTGTTAAATACCCTCTACATGTACGGGGACTTAAAGAGTGCCTTGCCCCTCTTTACAACCAGTGTAGTAATGAGATGAGTAGGTGGGTATTAAAACATATTTAAATGTAGACGTCATGGAATAGACCGCACTATTTTTTTTTTTTTTTTAGTTATCTTGTCTAATTCTTCTATAGATCATTACCAGAGAATTGACACCAGGACCTGCTTGCAGGTAACTCAATTCTGGATGCGGGACTTAGAGAATAAGCTTATTTTTCTGTCTTTATTCTTAAATTTTAAGAGGTTCCCGGAACTCTCTCCTACACTCTTCCAGCTTAACAGGAATTGGATCTCTGGCAACTTTAAAAAGGATGTGGTATATACAATATAATTTAAATAGTGAAAATATCAGGAGTTTTTAAATAAAAACAGAAAGCTCAACATACATTTGTACATGTATATACATTTGTGCATGTATATACATTTGTACATGTATGTACGTACATGTATATACATTTGTATACATGATAATTAATGTTATAAATAAAATGTTCTTATTTGTTATCATCCGATATATGTATTTTAATCAAACTATTTTATAATATTTGTAATATAAAAGAAATAGTGAAACATGTGATCTTTCTACAAGGTTACATATGTGAAAACAGTATATAAAAATCTATACACAACACTTCCAAAACCATATGATATGAGTCCTAATTGTAGAATTAATGTTATAGAATAATTAAATGAATGTAAATGTAACATATTTTATGTTAATAGAAAAACACATATTTGTGGATCACTCTGGAGTAACTTGCCTGCGTAAATTTCCAGCTGACCTTGGTCACCGTTTGTTGTAAACATATCAAAACATGTCACCTCACGTTCAACATAATGATCTCTCAAGTGTAAATTCAGGGCACTGATCTATAGACATAACATCAATAATTCTTATCACTCTCAAAAAAGGATACACAAATATTTTATCAGTTTATTTTTCACTTATCTGTTTCTTAAACCCATCTGAAGCCAATACCATACAATGAATTGCCCGATCTGTACGATACATATCTGTAACAAGGATCTGTTTACTGGATAATTTTAGACTTTAAGGCTGTATTGTTTACATAATTTCTAATCCGAGGTCAAATCTGCAAATACAACATGACAGCAAATGTTTCTGGTTAAGTAACATAACATAATTATAATCTGAAAACCACAAATTCAACACAGCATGAAGCGAAATTTGTAAAAGTACACTATGAAATAAAAAATCTATACAGTATACATCTGGAAAAGTACACAATGAAATAAAAAATCTATACAGTATACATCTGAATGTTTTTGGCTTTGTGAGAATTTAAGAAAAATTCTATTCATTTGTGATTGCGGTATCAATTGACGAAAAAGTACATTTTTAAAATTTGGCACTTGTGCTTATGTAAAGAGAACATCAACCAGCACTAACCAGAACTGTAAGCCAAAGGCTAACTAATACCCCCGCTCCTATATAAACCAGAACTGTGCGCTAAAGGCTTACTTATGAAAAGCAATAGAGTCTTCCACCAGTAATGAGTTATGGTAATCACTATTTTATCAAAAACAAAAAATAAAAATAAAAAAATAAACAAGTATTTCACACAAAGGGGCATAACTCCATCAAAAAGGGTCGAAATCCCAAATTAAAATGCCAGTGCGCAACAACATAAGATACCCATATTTCATGCAAAGTCCCAATGAAATTCACTCGTTTGTTAAGGAGGAGTTCCACGGACAAGTATTTCGCACAAAGGGGCATAACTACATCAAAAAGGGTCGAAATTCCAAATTAAAATGCCGGTGCACAACAACATAAAATACCGATCATTCATGCAAAGTTCCAATGAAATCCACCTGTTAGTTAAGGAGGAGTTGCACGGACAAGTATTTTTCACAAAGGGGCATAACTTCGTTGCGGGGGTATAATCAGAACCAACATCAGATAACAAACTTTGAGCATCATGTACTGACACCAAACATCAATCATAGAAGCCAACTTGTGGTCTTACTACTATCATTGTAACCAATGGGAGAAATGATACATCACTAGTACAAAGCTAGCACTAAAATACATTTTACACGTTGAGTAAATAATGACTTGTCATTTGTGTTTTTGTGAACGTTACAAATATCCTGGGCTGGCCTAGTTCAATATTGTTTAGTTCAGTCAAATTTGTATTATCCTTTGGTCTCTTTAGTCTGTTACAACACTACCGACTGTACCGGGTATACTGTACAGGATTTGAACCCCAATCTGTACATGTATTCAGAATATCTTAGATGAGTTTGACACTCGATATACGCAGTTTCTTTTTAAGCAAGTTAATGACCTTATTAAAGCTTCTTTCGTCTGTAGAGCATTTTATATCAAAACACATTTACCGCTGAAAAATCTAATACTCAATTTATTTTGTCCTGTTTTTTATAACTTAAGTAAGATACTGCCCTTTTAAAATGTTACTGTCTCTCCCAAGCATTTCAGATTTACATCCAATTTACTAAAATGTGCTTTATCCTTTTGAAATTAATGAATACATAATTAATTTATCAGATCATTTATTCTAGTATCAACAACATATTACATATACACTTTTGTATACACAACAATCAGTTACACAGCCTTTTCTGTTTAAACAAAAGTAACTTTGGAAATTCTATTCCTCCAAAAGTACCAGTAACCTTTAAATTATTGGAAATACCTCCTGTAGACCATGGAAATAAAATCATGGAAATGAAATGGTCAAAATTACAAATACTGTCCATGTAAAAAATTATGCATGACAAAGCACACCTCACAAGCAATGTGGGATAAGTTCTGGGATAAAGGACAGCACAATATCTCCTATGTTACCGGTAGTTACCTGGGTAATTGACAATTAATATACACAAATCCTTACCTCCCTGTGCATTTACTGTATCTTTGCTAGTAGCTACAGTAAATTTTTCAGGTTCATAAAAAGATGTACCTGCTGCAACAACACAAGGTAGATTCATACTTATAAACTACATAAAAATATTCAATAAAACACAAAAAAGTACTGTTTAATCAAAGACAAAAATCTTAACATTAGTAAATTAATTGGAGAGGTAAAGAGTTAACCCTTTCAACACTGTATACCATAATGGACTCATCCATATCAATGCATGGTGGAGTCTACTAAATTTACATAGGGGTGAAAGGGTTAAAGGCTGTACATGTTTATCCGATCTAATAAGTAAAGGTGGTTAACATATTTATGTAAAGGAATCCGATCCTACTCTATACTGTATCACAATTAAACACGGCCACATTCTGTCAACATTATCACAAGGGTCAACACACATCTATGTCACTTTGACAATGGAATGAGAACACGATAACCTAATAAAATGTAATATTATACAAAATTACAAATCTTTGCAAACTTCAACAGGACTTATACCAATTATCATTTTCAATTAAAATCATTCTTATTTATAGCATATTTATGTCAGCACAGGTAAAGTCTACAAATACCCGAAGTATATCACTATAAACTAAATCTAAGCCACTGACCATATTGTTCTTTTCTAAACTACTGTTAATTATTTATTTTTACAAAAGAGATTCATTTTCAGAATAATTTGTGAGGAGATGTATTCATGAATGTAAATCTACAGCAAATTTTAATTCCTTAGATGATTTTAAATACTATTAACAAATCATTCTCTCAAGCATGAATTAAATTATTTGCAAACTAAATCTAAAGGAATAGTTTGCCAAAAAAATGCTATTATTTTTTGCCAGGTCAAATATAACATATACATGTTATAAAAAAGTTAAAGATCTCACACAACTGACAATGACAATGCCCATATTCCAACCATATAATCTGCATTGAATTGCTTTCAGTTAGCAATCACAGTCACTGCATCACAACATTGACTTAATGAAGTACAAATGTAAGTCTAGATTTCAAAACAGAAACATATAATCAGATAACAAAATATGCATGCGTTTCATCAGTCAAACCCGCCTCCTTGTACATTGTTTACTGCTCTTAATTTACATATACTGGGTCTTGTTGCTGCATTAAATATCATATACGTTATTTATTGTATCAAAAGTCTCTACAACAGTATCGTATGAGAAATTATTTCGTTGATCTTAGGAAAATGACTAAATACTAGTCGCTCTTGAAATCAAGAGAATAGGGCTACATTCGCGTATCCCTGTTGAAACGGTACATGTGGCGCAAAAATTTCCCACGATAAACAAATGCACTTGGACCGTTCTATAAGCAGAGCTAAAAATGCACAGTTTCGGAGAATAAAAAAACAACGTATCAACAATAATATGCGCTTCTTTCATCCGCATTTTATTTTCGGTCAGGTACGTCTGGACCCCTCAATCTACACATACCAAATTTTCCTGAGGTCAGCCTCGGTCCAGATCTGTACCTGTCGTTTTCTTTACAGGTTCAACCTGTTCAACCATTTCAACCGGATACTTGAATGTACCCTAGCATTTTGATCAAGGGAGGTAATGTGGACCCCCCCCTCCCCCTCCCTAACTCCCATTCATTTTCGACATAAATTATAAAATATCACATTCAAAACAGTTTGGAGGCACAAACAGATCTATCTTCTAGCTACAAAATGTGGCCACATCTAATGAAGAAATGCGTGTAGGACTAATGCCTAATATAGGAAAATAATTTATGTATACACTTTATATTGGCAAGTCTCTGTATCAAATATTAGTACATGTAGCAATCCATCTTATTTCACGAAATTACTCTTAGACACTTTATATTCAACACAATAAGTTTGGCAGCAGTGTTACTAAAGCTTGTTTTAGCATATCATCCCCTTTTGTACCTCGATATGTGTGCGGAAATGAACAAAACTTCTACGAGAATCAGTTTTACTGGCAAGTTTTAGCAAATTTCAGGAGATAAAACCGACAAAATTATAAGGATTTGGTTTTTAGTTAATGCTATGCATATTTGGATAATCACAACAATTTAGTTGTAAGTTGATACCGTACAAATGTACACTAATCAGTATTTTACATTGGCTAGTTAAATGTAAATCAAGCTATTCGTTATTTGGAGTTACTAATTTGTTTTATCCATGACTATAAACAAGAGGATACAAAATTAGAAAAAAACATTAGAGACGTAATGTAGCTTTTGAGCAGTAACCACAGTATGTAAAAGTTATCTGAGGTAGAAAGACAAAGGTAGATAAAAGAGAATATTCTATGTCAAACACTCATGGAAAGATTGTTTCAATTGAAAATGATGACTATTTTGGTATAAAGTGAATAATATGTAAAAATTATTCTTATAGGGTATGAAAGGAATATATATAAGGTTTCAAATCACTATGAAATGCTACATATCATTCATAATTAATTATTATTAAATCTTTCTACCATAGTCAGCCGACATGTTGCTGGATATAGCTTAGTAAAACATTTAACAGGGTGGTACTTCACTGTTTCTAATGTTACAGGGTAAACTGTTAAATGACACGGAAATGTCACAGACCCATACATGTGGCTATCTCATCATCTCTAATAGTACTGCTGGCAGCATAATGTGATGAAGCCACTCTCACAGGATTTCGTGTGGTCAATATCACTGCTCTGACGGAGGAAGTGCTGTCACGGAAGAGATGGAGAGCTGACGCATCATGGGTGGCTTGGGTTTGACATTTCGAGACTTCATGTAGGACAGGAACTGGTCTGGAATTTCTTCCAGCACTTCCTTGGCTAGTCTGGCCTGTATTGCAGCAGGGTTGTCTCCGGAACGCCCCAGGAAATTACGCAAAGGTACAAACTGAAAATGAGGGAATTTCATTAAAACAGACAACACTCTAGAGTCACTCAACCTCCAGGAGGGTAAGCTACTTTTGTTTTGTAAAAATTATATAGATCCTAAGATGCTTATAATGCTACCACAACAATCACAATTAGGTTGAATTGAGAGGAGATGTTTTATTCAATGCAAAACTAGTCAATATCACTTTTGACTTGGCCCTTCATGGGCTAAGGATGTTACAGAAGGAATGGTGTTTAGAATTGTACCAAGAAAGATTAACAGAGCTGAGAAGATAGGTGTAAAACTGTATCCAATCAATAAAGTATAGACAAAGAATCAAGCACCATCAGAATAGTCAAACTGGACATCTATAGACAAAGAATCGAGCACCATCAGAATGGTCAAACTGGACATCTATAGACAAAGAATCGAGGACCATCAGAATGGTCAAACTGGACATCTATAGACAAAGAATCGAGGACCATCAGAATGGTCAAACTGGACATCTATAGACAAAGAATCCCGGACCATCAGAATGGTCAAACTGGACATCTATAGACAAAGAATCGAGCACCATCAGAATGGTCAAACTGGACATCTATAGGCAAAGAATCGAGCACCATCAGAGTGGTCAAACTGGACATCTATGTACAAAGAATAAAGTACCATCAGAATGGTCAAACTGGACATCTATAGACAAAGAATCGAGTACCATCAGAGTGGTCAAACTGGACATCTATAGACAAAGAATAAAGCACCATCAGAATGGTCAAACTGGACCTCTATAAACAAAGAATCGAGCACCATCAGAGTGGTCAAACTGGACATCTATAGACAAAGAATAAAGCACCATCAGAATGGTCAAACTTGACCTCAATAGACAAAGAATCGAGCACCATCAGAGTGGTCAAACTGGACAATTATAGACAAAGAATCGAGCACCATCATAGTGGTCAAACTGGACACCTACAGACAAAGAATCGAGCACCATCAGAATGGTCAAACTGGACATCTATAGACAAAGATTCGAGCACCATCAGAGTGGTCAAACTGGACAATTATAGATAAAGAATCGAGCACCATCATAGTGGTCAAACTGGACACCTACAGACAAAGAATCGAGCACCATCAGAATGGTCAAACTGGACATCTATAGACAAAGAATCGAGCGCCATCAGAATGGTCAAACTGGACATCTATAGACAAAAAATCGAGCACCATCTGAGTGGTCAAACTGGACATATATAGATAAAGAATCGAGCACCATCAGAGTGGTCAAACTGGACATCTATGGACAAAGAATCGAGCACCATCAGAGTGGTCAAACTGGACATCTATAGATAAAGAATCAATCACCATCAGAATGGCCAAACTGGACATCGGGATCTCACTGTTACTATTGGATTAATAACTTGTAGGTTATAATATCTGGAGGAATACAGATCATGTTAATTCTACACAGGGATATATCTGTGAGTGTTTTCAAACCACCTTCATTTACTCCTCATTTTACATGACTGCCTTCCTGATACTATTCCTCCCTGTGGTGTAATAGTTACCTGTACGATATCTCTCTCCGCTGCCTTTCCCCGCGACGTCAGCCTGACATCATCACCATCCAATACTTCCATAGCTACACAACAAACAATTAGGCATAACTAAGGATTAGTAACACACAACATTAGATGATGTTGTTTATAATCATGAAGAGGTTAGTATTTGCGACATTGACTCTGTGTTTCTATTTTTAGAAACTTCAGGCCAATATTCACATTGTGACTTTACTGTAATGTATCCTATTCCATAACTAACGAAGCAGTAGAATGGGGTTAAGTGTAAACCTGTGACAACATGTTTAGTCTTTTTGTTTATATTTGTTCCTGTAAAACTCTAGCACTGACATAAAGATCCATACAACTACCTTACAACAGCAGATTAGGAAAACACTTTTTACAGATATTAATGTTCCAAATGTTTTGCAGATTAATAGAATCTTATATGGGTCTGTTCCGTGGACAGGGATATCTCAACCTGAGTGTAAGAGTTTGGCTGGTCAGCCAAACTCTTACACGAGTTTTGGCTGTGATTATTTTTCTCACATACATACAACTAAACAAATTCCAGTTGAAATAAACATCAATCTTATTCTTCTGGCGAACCCCAAAGCCCTAGGGTTGAGACGGATGATTCCCCATTCACAACAATTGTATGACATCACGGAAACAATAAAATGACGTCACATCGACAATCCATTATTATGACGTCAAAGAGTGTGTCGGCTTTCTTTCCCAACCCTGTGTAAGATAGAGTTGTCTTTTCCCTAGCAAAAACGGGATCACCCTGTGAGGTAAGTGAGAAAAAGCTGTCTTTAATAGACTTACCTTCAAAATCTGCATCTCCCACCCCTATAATGATGATGGACATCGGAAGACTGGCTGCCTAAAAGATGTAAAACAGACAATAATTAAATACTGATACTTACTAAAACATGGCACAATTGAACTTAAAGAGTGAAATTAAATTTCTATCCTGACTTGAGTGTGCTATAGAGCTCCTACCTCAAATTGACAGTGTAATGGAAATTCTGCTGGTGAAATTAAACTGATTTGAGTTGATTTAGTCTGGCCTCATTGAGACTACCTGTAAAGTGATGGCCTCACTGAGACTACCTGTAAAGGGATGGCCACACTGAGACTACCTGTAAGTGATGGCTACACTGAGACTACCTGTAAAGTGATGGCCTCACTGAGATTACCTGTAAAGTGATGTTCTCACTGAGACTACCTGTAAAGTGATCGCCTCACTGAGACTACCTGTAAGTGATGGCCACACTGAGACTACCTGTAAGTGATGGCTACACTGAGACTACCTGTAAGTGATAGCCACACTGAGACTACCTGTAAGTGATGGCCACACTGAGACTACCTGTAAATGATGGCTACACTGAGACTACCTGTAAAGTGATGGCTACACTGAGACTACCTGTAAAGTGATGGCCTCACTGAGACTACCTGTAAAGGGATCGCCTCACTGAGACTACCTGTAAAGTGACGGCCTCACTGAGACTCCCTGTAAAGTGATGGCTACACTGAGACTACCTGTAAAGTGATGGCCACACTGAGACTACCTGTAAAGTGATGGCCTCACTGAGACTACATGTAAAGTGATGGCTACACTGAGACTACCTGTAAAGTGATGGTCTCACTGAGACTACCTGTAAAGTGATGGCCTCACTGAGACTGCTGGTAAAGTGATGGCCTCACTGAGACTACCTGTAAAGTGATGGCCTCTTGAGACTACCGGTAAAGTGATGGCCTCACTGAGACTACCTGTAAATGATGGCCTCACTGAGACTACCTGTAAAGTGAGTGTCTCTTGAGACTACCGGTAAAGTGATGGCCTCACTGAGACTCCCTGTAAAGTGATGGTCTCTTGAGACTACCGGCAAAGTGATGGCCTCACTGAGACTACCTGTAAATGATGGCCTCACTGAGACTACCTGTAAAGTGAGTGTCTCTTGAGACTACCGGTAAAGTGATGGCCTCACTGAGATTACCTGTAAAGTGATGTTCTCACTGAGACTACCTGTAAAGTGATCGCCTCACTGAGACTACCTGTAAGTGATGGCCACACTGAGACTACCTGTAAGTGATGGCCACACTGAGACTACCTGTAAGTGATGGCCACACTGAGACTACCTGTAAAGTGACGGCCTCACTGAGACTACCTGTAAAGTGATGGTCTCTTGAGACTACCGGTAAAGTGATGGCCTCACTGAGATTACCTGTAAAGAGATTGCCTCACTCAGACTACCTGTAAAGTGATGGCCTAACTGAGACTCCCTGTAAATGATGGCCTCACTGAGACTACCTGTAAAGTGATGGTCTCTTGAGACTACCGGTAAAGTGATGGCCTCACTGAGATTACCTGTAAAGTGATTGCCTCACTGAGACTACCTGTAAAGGGATGGCCTCACTGAGACTACCTGTAAAGTGATGGTCTCTTGAGACTACCGGTAAAGTGATGGCCTCACTGAGATTACCTGTAAAGTGATGGCCTCCTTGACAATATCTGTAAAAAGATGGCCTCACTGAGATTACCTGTTAAGTGAGTTACTTACACTGACAATGGCCTCACATGTCTGAGGCATGTCCGTGATGATCCCATCTGTGATGATGAGCAGGATAAAGTAGTCATTCCCGTCACGCTTGGCCATGGCAAACCTATGATATTAAATAACTTATGGTTAGGTTATCAGCAACTTTATACTCTGTTCAGCTCAGTGCACATCCTAGGACCATATTTAAAATTCATCGTTAAAAAAGAAAAGAGGACGCTGATCTATTGAGTTACTGTTCTCGTCATAGTATTAAAACTTCAGTTTATTGGGAGTTAAGAAAGAAAATTAGTTGAAAAGTATGTTCATTGTATACTACATTGGCAAAAATATGATCTTACCAAAGCAGTTAATTTATGACTACGAGTAGGGGTCATACTTTAGTATTTTTAATATTAGATTTTTTTTATCTACTTACTTTGACACATGGTTAACAACGGGAGCAAAATTTGTTGGACCATAGAGTTGAACAGAGTACAGAGCTTTGTTGTAGGAATCCAGTACACCATCTATACCCTGACAGTAGGGGTTCGTGGGGTTACCGTTCTGAAGTAATGACAATTTATAAACATAGAAATAAGTAACAGTGACCTTAACTTTGGCCTTAGAAACTTTTTAAGTCACTACTGCACATCTACATATCACATTGAATCAGTCAAATTCCAAAGAGACTAAACATTTGGATTCCGAGATAAGATATTATGTTCCAATTAGTATTTATTAAAACATAGATTAGTTTAGGTATTTCAATCAGTAAATAGATTAATCAAGGAAATATACCAATGAATAGTTTAGATGCCTCGTGACCGTCTGATGTCTTACCTGCCCTCCGATACCTAATAAGTCTACCTAGCACATTAACAGACATCATGACAGTGCTCTGTGGCTATGTGCCAAGTAGATAAAAGTTGGGGTGTTTTTTGTGTCTTCAATACACATAGGACTGTTACAGGGTTGGTCGTACAATCAGGTATTGTAGGAAAGCATTCTATTCTAATTAAATTTCGCAGGTGGAAAACGCTAAATACTTTATTCAATCAAGCATGGAAATTGAAATTGTGTTTTTAAAGAATACCAAATGTACTTACCAATGCAAATTCATGAGAAACAACGCCATCTGGAGGAAGTCGAGCACCAAATCCAAGGGCCGGGAACAGTTTGTCCCTGTAAATACATCCATACTCATGTCTTGTTAATTCTGTAAACACTTATGTAGTTGTCTCAACATTAGTGTGTTAGGAGACCAACCTTCCCTTTCTTATTTCAAGTATCCCCATAGTTCAGACTTTATTTGAGGATAAAGATTGATAAGGCTTGAGTGACATATAGAAACCACACACACCTATATAAAATTTCCCAGTCCAATTAATAATGAAATTTATTGAAGCAGAATATAAAAACTTTTTTGTGATATGATGAATTTAATGGAACATAATTATAGAGATTTAACGAGACTAACTATAATATGGTTTAACATAGTTAGACATTTACCATTTTCCTTACTTAGTCTGAAGGAAAAGTTTAAAAAATAATCAACCAGTCCTAGGTTGTTTTACTTGTCCTGCCCTCAGTAAATGCGGAGAGCTCCGTATTTATCACATTCATACTCATTATATATGTATAACTTTTACTTTAGTGCATCAGTGAAAAGAAAAGGAAGAAAGGCTCTAAATATCTGAATTCAGGGACCGTAAGTATTTGGTAGTACAGTAAAACCCCGTCAGTATCAAAAACAGAGATCTAGAGGGTGTGAAAAAACACACTAGTCCAAATGACTAACAGGTATCGCACAGTTACGAAGTCCTTTGGAGCCCACAGATCTCAGGAGAGTGGCACAGGGGTTAAGTTTGTAGAGTGATCAATACAATATTCAATTTATTTGTCGTGCTCCTGCATAAAAGTGTCCACAGATAAGTTTGTGTAGAGATTTGTACAACTTACGTGTCATAGTCCTGCATAATGGTGTCCACAGATCTCAGGGTTAAGTTTGTAAATAGATTTGTACAACTTACATGTCATAGTCCTGCATAATAGTGTCCACAGATCTCAGGGTTAAGTTTGTAGAGAGATTTGTACAACTTACATGTCATAGTCCTGTATGATAGTGTCCACAGATCTCAGGGTTAAGTTTGTAGAGAGATTTGTACAACTTACATGTCATAGTCCTGTATGATAGTGTCCACAGATCTCAGGGTTAAGTTTGTAGAGAGATTTGTACAACTTACGTGTCATAGTCCTGCATAATGGTGTCCACAGATCTAAGGGTTAAGTTTGTATATAGATTTGTACAACTTACATGTCATAGTCCTGCATAATGATGTCCACAGATCTCAGGGTTAAGTTTGTATATAGATTTGTACAACTTACATGTCATAGTCCTGTATGATGGTGTCCACAGATCTCAGGGTTAAGTTTGTATATAGATTTGTACAACTTCCATGTCATAGTCCTGCATAATGGTGTCCACAGATCTCAGGGTTAAGTTTGTATATAGATTTGTACAACTTACGTGTCATAGTCCTGTATGATGGTGTCCACAGATCTCAGGGTTAAGTTTGTAGAGAGATTTGTACAACTCCCATGTCATAGTCCTGCATAATGGTGTCCACAGATCTCAGGGTTAAGTTTGTATAGAGATTTGTACAACTCCCATGTCATAGTCCTGCATAATGGTGTCCACAGATCTCAGGGTTAAGTTTGTATATAGATTTGTACAACTTACATGTCATAGTCCTGTATGATGGTGTCCACAGATCTCAGGGACAGGTTTGTAGAGAGATTTGTACATCTTACGTGTCATAGTCCTGTATGATAGTGCCCACAGATCTCAGGGACAGGTTTGTAGAGAGATTAGACAACTTACGTGTCATAGTCCTGTATGATATTGCCCACAGATCTCAGGGACAGGTTTGTAGGGAGATTTGTACATTTTACGTGTCATAGTCCTGTATGATATTGCCCACAGATCTCAGGAACAGGTTTGTAGAGAGATTTGTACAACTTACGTGTCATAGTCCTGTATGATATTGCCCACAGACCGTAGGGCGGTGGCGTAGGGGTTTGGTTTATATGGGTTCATGTAGTGTAGGGAGGAGGGTGTTTTCGGATCTCCATTTGATGCTGTAAAGTCTACGGCAAAGGTACAGTGTAACTGGGTTCTGAAAAAAAGTACTGACCATTATTATAAGCTCTATTATATTACATAAATTTTCTTATGAATTTAATTATTATGAAACATTCATAAATGAGTTTTTGTAAACACAACGATTTTGAAGTCTGCAAGAAGAGTAATTTTCTAAAACTTATTATCTCACATTTTTTTTCATTCTGATGATTTAATCCTATTGCAATATGTTTCTATTTTTTTTCGATTTGAAAATATTAAAATACCGTACAACTAAAATATTTGGTACTCTCACTTCTGAGATGATATATCTTGAAACTAATGGTACCATTGGTATAGTGTTACAACTGAATAAATCAAAATCAATACTGAATATCATTTTTATCAAAATAAAATGATTATGATCAGGTGCAAACCCTGTAGGGCCGGAGCCGTATCCACACATCTACTGACAAAGACAAGTTACCAACTCAATGTCTACTTACCCTCCACGAACATAATCCAGAAATGTGTAGATTTTTTCTATTTTACAGCTCATCAGCTCAACCTGTACAAAAAAACATAAAGATGCGCATATCATGACATTATACTTTTTCTGGTTTCTTTCAGAACTTCAAAATTGTTAGTAATGTTCCAATTTTATTTGTGTACTCTATCATGATTTTTAATGTTCTAAATTTAGTAATAAAACTTATACCTAATATCTGTTAAAAATATTCAGAATGAGATTCATCCGTAAATGCTAAGTTTTTTTTAACTCAAACAGTACCTTGTAATTGAAAAAATATATATAATTGAAAAGCTTTCGAAAATGTCTGTTCATGTCAAGCAAAGACTGTTTATTTTGCTCTTTGCTTGACAAAGGAAACAGTCATTTTCGAAGGCTCGCAAAACAAGTTTTCAATTACCTTTTGTGTTCAAGACAAACTTAGCATTAATTAAATTGACTTATACATTATCAATTTAAATTGTAAAGAGAAATCCATTATTTGTTTTATTTGGATTGGTTCGATTTCATTGTTTTTAACGCCCTATGAACAGTTAAGGATATAAGGATGTGCCTCCATTTATTTTCTGTATGTGTGCTTGTGTGTAGGTGTGCTTGTGTGTATGTGTGCTTGTGTGTACGTGTGCTTGTGTGTATGTGTGCTTGTGTGTATGTGTGCTTGTGTGTAGGTGTGCTTGTGTGTATGTGTGCTTGAGGCAGGGTATGTCAATGTATTTGCCTCCTTGGGTTAGCGTGGATCTGATTATTGTGCACAGTCATTGAATGTGTTGCGGATATTAATATGAGTAAAACTTTCTGAGAGAAATCACAGACATGGAGGCTCTACCTAATTTACTAGAATCAAATTACAGTAAAACCTTGATATAATGCCCCTCATTTAAATTGCCATCGCACTTACTGCCAACCTATTTCAAGGTCGCTTTTTTCTCTTTTCTTGTTAAGAATTCTTTTATACATTTCCCTCAATTTATCGCCAAACCCCCTGATAATGCCAACATTTCTCCTGACAAATGGTGGCGGTATAACAGGGTTTTACTGTACTACCAAATACTTACTGTCCCTGAATTCTGATATTTGGAGCCTTTTTTCTTCCTTTTCTTTTCACTGATGCACTAAAATAAATAAGTTATAAACATATAATGAGTTTGAATGTGATAAATATAGAGACATTTAAGTACAATGAATTTTTTTTGTATATGACAGATTAGTATAAAATTTTGTTAATGATAAACTGATCATAATTGGAAAATACTTTTCCTGAACACTCAAAAAGTGAATCAATTATCTATGATGGCAGATACAACCAAACCCTGTTGTATTATACAGTTAACATCTTAACCCATTCACCACTGGAAACCATAATGGACTTATCCAGATCAATGCATGGTAGAGTTTATTAAAGCTGCATAGGGGTGAAGGGTTAAACAAAAGGCTTAAGTGCTTATGGACAAATGAAAAGAAACTGTATATTTACCTCAAACACATTCCTTTCATTTGGACCTCGACTCAATTCTCTAAGTGTTGTTGTGAATTCACCAATGAAGTCATGGCTGTAAACATAGACATTGTAAAGTATAAAAATCAATGAAGTCATTTCTATTTATCAAATAGATTCATTCCATACACCAATGAAGTCGTGGCTGTAAACATAGACATTGTAAAGTATAAAAATCAATGAAGTCATTTATATTTATCAAATAGATTCATTGCATATACCAATGAAATCATGGCTGGTAAGTTATACTTTACATTATGTCCAAGTACTATTAGGCCCATATATAGCCAGGTAAAACGCTGCACAGCATATTTCTCTTAATGTCATGAGTCATTGCCATAATTAAATGTGACATTAAGAGAAACATGATATTAACCAATGTGACATTAAATGGTATCCAGTGTACTGTACAATATGTAACATTTACAGTGAAACATATTCAAACACAGGGGCCATAATAATTCTCTAGTTATACAGACTGTATTTGAAGCATCTGGTACCTACCCTCCGTCTGCATCCCAATCATGACATTGTATCTTTATACTCCTGTAAAATCAAGCAGTGGAGTTTCAATGCAAACTACAAAGTACATATATATTGCTCAAGGCAGATAAACTTGCAGTGATACACATGTACAAGAACTTCCTTAGGTGCTAAAACATATCACAATATCTTATTGAAGTTTGACAGCTGTATCACCACTATGTCAGCTCACAATGAGAGAATTTGGAATTCAAAGACGACATGAAAAGACAACTAAAAGACCTTGAGACCAAAATGAGAGGTAAGACATCAAGAAACCATATATATCTACAAAACCAGGTGATCAGGTTACTGTTTTAACCAGGTGATCAAGTTACTGTTTTAGCCAGGTGATCAGGTTACTGTTATAACCAGGTGATCAGGTTATTGTTTTAACCATGTGATCATGTTACTGTTTTAACCAGTTGATCAGGTTACTGTTTTGACCAGGTGATCAGGTTATTGTTTTAACCATGTGATCATGTTACTGTTTTAACCAGTTGATCAGGTTACTGTTTAAACCAGGTGATCAGGTTAAAACAGTAACCTTATCTCCTGGTTAAAACAGTAACCTTATCACCTGGGTAAAACAGTAACCTGATCAGCTGGTTAAAACAGTAACATGATCACATGGTTAAAACAATAACCTGATCACCTGGTGATAAGGTTACTGTTTTAACCAGGTAATCAGGTTACTGTTTTAAACAGGAGATCAGGTTACTGTTTTAGCCAGGTGATCAGGTTACGGTTTTAACCAGGTGATCGGGTTACTGTTTTAACCAGCTGATCAGGTTACTGTTTAAACCAGGTGATCAGGTTACTGTTTAAACCAGGTGATCAGGTTACTGTTTTAACCAGGTGATCAGGTTACTGTTTTAACCAGGTGATAAGGTTACTGTTTTAACCAGGTGATCAGGTTACTGTTTTCTATATCACATACATGACACACATCATGACATCTCCAATCAAATCCTTAGCAATCAGACATCTCAGTTGGATATCAGTCATAACTGTGATTTTTTTTACTATTTCTGGTTATCATCGATACTGTTATCATATCATAGTACATGAATTTCCATGGAAACAAGCTCACCTGTCATAGTCTCCATTACACAGTAACCTTACAGATAATATAAATGGCCGCCAGGTGGGGTTGAGGGTTTTCTTTATTACCTCTGTTCTGTGTACAACTGTGTATCTGTAACAGAAATGAAGAGTATAATTACTGCTTTTTTTTTATCTACCTGACACATTGCAGAATAAAGGATTATTTGGGTAGTCGCTGGGTACAATCATTATTATACTATCTCCCTTTCCATGTCCCCCACAGACTCAAAACTAGTCATTTTCAGATTTCATAGCTTCAAAATATATTATGGACAGTGTTTTTGCCCCCAAAAGCTGATAATGTAGATGATATTATATATATATCAGGTCAATAGGTAATATTTCTGAAAAAATAAATTTGAGAAAGTTGATTAACATTGGAGTAAGTGTAACTTTTAGGGTATATGTGTACCAAAATATGCATATGGATATATCAACCTACTTCAGAAACCATATCAGATTATCAATTGGATAATTTATGTAAAAGAAATCATTCATGATAATAAATACTTTTGGAAAACTTTGTTAAGCACATAACTTTCAAATCTACATGGACTGTAAGCTTAAGTATAAAGACATCCCATGTATACAGTTGTGTTGTCTTTGTGTAAACTCTACTTACGTGGCATCCTCATTGGCTCTCATGAATGTGAGAAATGGGTCGGACTTTCCAAAAAAGTCCTTTTTGTCCAACTTGTGGGCACGGAATTGAAAATGTGCTTGTTCCTGAAACATGTCAAATCTATCAATGTAGATTTTATATAAGAGTAATCATTGAATCTATATACAGGGAATGTACCGATTGATGTGCTTGTTCCTGAAACATGTCAAATCTATTAATGCAGATTTTATATATAGGAGTAATAATTTAATCTATATACAGAAAATATACTGATAAAAATTCATAACTGGTACTACATACATGAATTTTGTTTGTATAATAGTCTAACCAATGCAGTATGAGGTGGACCTTATATAGGATAGCCAAGCACTGAAGTATTTATTATCAATGTATCATCTTCTCCCCCTCTGTTACTATTGCAACATGTCCATCCTTGTATGTACAAGTATCATTGTCTCTTTTTCTATTTCTGTAAAACTTAGGTATGTATATCATTGACATGACAGTTGACTAGCAATGCATGCCTTTTTTTCATCTTTGATACTCCAGGGGTTATGCTCACTTAGGCTCTCTGCACGACTGGAATATGTCATGACAAAATCAAAGGCTCAGTGTGCGCCTCCTTGTTGATGAGACAAGAAGACTAGTTAAGATAAGTTAATGTACATCAAAAGAATCTCGCAGTCGCGTAACAGTAAAATTTGGCTGGCTTTTAAGTCGGCTGTTGCTCTTCTAGATCTGTAATCTTCAAAGGACAGGTATCAGCCTAGCGATTGGTCAGGTTTTTTCACCCGAGACCAGTCAAACAGCTATCTTTGTGCCTTCCAGTTTGCTATGACATGTTCCAGGGGTGCAGAGAGCGTGTGTGAGCATAATCCCTGGAGTATCGAGGATGGCCTTTTGTGGACATTCTGGTTTAATTTACAGGTACACACATACACACAGGTATAATCTTACATACATCGATCTAAGGTGAAATACAGTGATTTTCCTGTGGACTTTTCATTCCCAACTGAAATGACTTCAATTTTATGCCTAATTTCAAAAATTTGCAGTTTACTCCTGAAACTACCAGTAGCACTGCTTCCTACCTACCTTACAACTACTCTGTTCTTCTGCACCAACTAGAAACAAAGCAGGTCAAAACAGTTATTACACCAACATTTTTATTCAATTCAAGAATAACTTTTGGGTCTTATGATAAAAATGTAACAGATCTCTTCATGAAGTCTTTATTTTAAAGTGTGAGAATGATGACTGCAGGGAACCCAGTGAACGCTTTAATTAGTCCATTAAAGTAGTCCGCAGTTGTTACACTTAAATACTCCATATTTCATCACATTTATAGTGCTCATTAATATTTTTTACACTTAATGGATTATGGAAAAGAGGAGTCCAAATCTGTTATATTTAGTAAAGAAGTTCACATTTGACACACTAACTATTATCAACAACTGTTAAACTTACCGATTATATTGCCGCTGTCTTTTTTCGGGCCTCTGTAATATAAAACACTGTCATTAGCTCAAAAACAGAATCAATCAACGTCAGTATATAACTTTGATCTGCATCCACATGTACAGCGGCCAGAACTTCCCTACTGGTCTTGATGAAAACCTTTCCAGGAAATAGATGATGATCCACTAATTATTATGACAAAAAATGTGACACAAACTGTAGGTAAATCACATACAGATGTAGCTTATTTCTTACCCTTTCATATGTATTTGTTAAAAGATAGTTTATATAAACCGAGTTAACCAACGGACATACAGAGTACACCTAGCATCAAATTCACACACAATGTATACCCAATGACAAACCAGAAATATATAAGCTGTAAGTATTTTACAACAATAATGAAATAAGTTTTTCCAATTTTTATTAATCATTCTTGTTGGCCCAGGTGGAAGCGCATAGAGGGTCTTAATGTGGGAGGAAACCAGAGTACCCGGAGGTAAACCCATGGAAGGAGGTACAGAAAATTGTATGTTTTGTTGTAACCAAAAGCATTCTAAATTTTTCTTTTATCTCCTATGTTATGTGAACTACCTTCCTAGTAAAACATGTATTTAATATTTAATAACAATCCAAAGTAATAGATCACAAGTGACCAATCCATGTAGTTACCACAACAAATATATATACACAGATTATAAACAATGCAAATGTTATTTAAAAGACTTCATCCTCATCTGGCAAATATGTTTCAAGCAGACAGGTGAGAAAATCAAACTTACTTGAGTCGTCTGCTCATCTTGGTGCCAGCTGACACAATCTCGCCGAGCGTGCACTCCATTGCACCAAGGAAGTCCTGAAGAACAAATTCATTTATTATTTATACAATGTTATGATGATGCATGTAGACTAAACTTACAGATTTTCAATCTACACATAGTAAGTTGTTAATACACAAGAGATCCCAGAGGGATCTTGGCGCCCACCTTTGTACCATCTTCATTAGTTCTTTGTCAGTTCGATCTTTTCCCTTCTTGCCTCTAATCTGTTTGATCGAGTCATGTTAACAGTAAATGCGCCTTGAGGTAACTTTTGATCTTAACTTAATACTGATGTGTATGAAATCCAACCTTCAAAGTGAGTTTGTCATTTCACATATTTACTAGTACAGTACTTAATGTGAAAGAAATAGAATCGATCATTGCAATAAGAGAAAGATCTGTTTAGTTCTTCTTTTATTCCATTTTGTTTTTATGATCAGTCTCAAAATATAACATGCACAACGAGGGATCAAGGGGAACCTACATTTAAAATTTGAGAAAGATCCCTCCCGTACTTCTCGAGAAATAGCGATAACAAACTTTCACTATCAAAATCCAAGATGGCTGCCTGTCGGCCATGTTGTTTATCCGATCAGTCTCAAGAGTTACCCTGCACAGCTAAGGACCAAGGGAAACCTACATGTAAAATTTGAGAAAGATCCCTCTGGTACTTCTTGAGAAATAGCGATAACAAACTTTCCCTATCAAAATTCAAGATGACTGCCTGTCGGCCATGTTGTTTATCCGATCTGTCTCAAAAGTTGCCCTAGGCCTACACAGCTTAGGACCAAGGGTAACCTACATATAAAATTTGAGAAAGATCCCTTTGATACTTCCAGAGAAATAGCGATAACAAACTTTCAATATCAAAATCAAAGATGGCTGCCTGTCGGCCATGTTGTTTATCCGATCAGTCTCAAAAGTTGCCCTAGGCCTACACAGCTTAGGACCAAGGGGAACCTACATATAAAATTTGAGAAAGATCCCTCTTGTACTTCTTGAGAAATAGCGATAACAAGAATTGTTTAAGGACGGACGACGGATGGTGGACGGACGACGGACCACGGACGCAGGGGGATTTGAATAGCCCACCATCAGATGATGGTGGGCTAAAAATAATTAAGAAATTCAAAGATGTCATTAATTATACATGTTTGTTACATGACACAAGGTCTAGACATGACATAACTAGGGATGAAGTTCAATCAAAATAATATCAATGTGCAGCTATTAATGGTATTGCATAAAAAAGCATTATATTACCTTAAAAGTTTGACCTTTTCTATTAAGTCTCATCAAGACGTGTTCAGCAGTTCAAAATAAATGCTTGGGAAATCATTAGCATGATTTGACTTTTGACCCTTACTGTAACCTTGACCTTCAGTGCATGAACCTGAAAGTGGTATGCGACACTCTCTAGTCATTTATAAAGTTTGAAAAATAAACAAAATTAACCCTTCAGCAGCTTGTTGTTCAGACAAGCATAAAAAGTAAATGACCTTTGACACATATAATGACACTAATTTCTGGAATACAGACTAGAGGTAATATGTATGTGAACAACATGGCGTCAAAATATATGTACCCAACCACAATTTAAGGTCTGAGCACAAATTACATGACAATAACAGTCAGATGAGCGTTGAATCCTCATTGTGATGTTGACATGAAGGTGGTAACACACTGTCTAGAGGTATGACATATGTTTGTATGACAATGTGTGTATGACATATGTTTGTATGACAATGTTTGAATGACAATGTTTGTATGACATATGTTTGTATGACAAATGTTTGTATGACAATATTTGTATGACATATGTTTGTATGACATGTTTGTATGACATGTTTGTATGACAATGTTTGTATGACATGTTTGTATGACAGTGTTTGTATGACATGTTTGTATGACAGTGTTTGTATGACAATGTTTGTATGACAATGTTTGTATGACATATGTTTGTATGACAATGTTTGTATGACATGTTTGTATGACAATGTTTGTATGACATATGTTTGTATGACATATGTTTGTATGACAATGTTTGTATGACATATGTTTGTATGATATATGTTTGTATGACATGTTTGTATGACAATATTTGTATGACATATGTTTGTATGACAATGTTTGTATGACATATGTTTGTATGACAATGTTTGACAATGTTTGTATGACAATGTTTGTATGACAATGTTTGCAAAGTACTGGTAACATTTGGCAATCTAAAGTAGGTATGTTTTGAACACAATGTCGATGGCCTGAGAGACAGAACAGACAAAGTGCTAAACTACTAGCCCCCAGTTTAATTATAACAGTACTAACAATGCTACTCAGTGCTGAGTCGTATAATAGACATGTTATGTACTTACATGTTTTGTCAAATCAGCACTTTTAGAGTCCACATCATATCTGAAATAAAATAAAAAATTTCTATAATCATAGAATTATTTTAAGATACAAAATTTTGAAAAAATAATTAAATATTAAATGCCACCATACAACGAAAGAAAAGTTGGACATTTTTAATAAGTAAATTTCTGACTTTTAGACTTAAAAAACAACATTACACTGCACTGTACATGCTGTTATATTTTTTAATGTACTTTGATTATCACATCAATATTTTTTGTTCTTTATCAGTAACAGTCCAAACTTTCAAGCAAATCTTGATTTATAAAGCCCATTGTAACATAATCTGATAACCAACCAAACCTAACGCTTTGATCAACAAACATTCTTCTAATAGTAGATCTTCACCATAAAAATACAACCATCCCATCAAATCACCATCATGTATTTATTTTTATTAAAATTTTATCACTTTGTATTTCAAATGTCTACTTTCGGTTTTGTTCAAAGGAAACAATTTTTAACTATTTGCACTTTTGATAACCTGACAATTATATACACCTATATATTATTAAATGTTTACTTTTGCAATGTTCAAAGTAAATCATTTTTCAGTTAGAAAAATGGTGTGTATGCATTTTCTGTATGGTGTACTTGTTGTATTTTCTATCAACTTACACTTCAAATTTCAGCTTTTGGCTTTGTTCAAAGTAATAATGCATTACAAACTTCTTCACAAAATCGGGGTTTAAGTTGTTCCATATGATTTCTGATCTTCCGAACTGAAATATAATTGAAAAATTCATGAATACATGCTTTTTAAACAGACTTGGTGTCTAAATAAACAGAATAAACAAAGTAGGAGCTGACAAAGGTATACTAGAGAGTAACATGATATGTGCCACACTTAGCCCCACAGACAGGTGTGTATGATACCATGAATCTTGACAGACACCTTACAAGCTTCACAAAGCAAAGGCTACAGCTGGAACAGATACTGCAGTGATTTGATCTTTTAACCCTTGCTGTGACCTTTACCTTTGGGGTACAGACTTCAGTGTGGTATCATATTTATCCACAAATAAGCCCCTAGTGAAAAAAGATTGACCAAAAGTAGGGAGCGGGCTTGATTGCAAGCATCCCCTGTTCATATAGATGGTCGCCATTTTGGATATATGGTATGCTGATTTGTCTTACTACTGATATTTAGTATGTTTCATCAAACAATATAATGTGGTTCAGTAGTTATTAGTTTACACACATGTTTTGACCTTGACCTTGAAAGGTTTTTTTGGTGGTACATTATACACTGTCTTTCTTTTATGAAGTTTCATCAAATAATATTATTTTTTTCAGTAGATACAGTCTAGACAATCGTTGCCGTTATTTAACCTTTCACCCCTGACTCTTGCTATGACCTTTACGTTCAGGATATGGAATTGTGGGTAATATGTGACACAATGTCTTACAGCAAACAAACTTAAACAAGGTTTCACCACTTATATAATGTTTGGGAGCTCAAAATTAATGGTCGGAAATGTACAAGGTATGAATGGACGGACAATTAGTATTGTATTTATTCTTCTTAAATGACGATGAGAATAAACACAAATATCATCAGTAACATAGCCATCATCATCAGTAACATAGCCATCATCATTAGTAACATAGCCATCATCAGTAACATAGCCATCATCATCAGTAACATAGTCATCATCATCAGTAACATAGCCATCACCATCAGTAACATAGCCATCATCAGTAACATAGCCATCACCTTCAGTAACATAGCCATCATCATCAGTAACATAGCCATCATAATCAGTAACATAGCCATCATCAGTAACATAGCCATCATCATCAGTAACCTAGCCATCATCAGTAACCTAGCAATCATCAGTAACATAGTCATCATCATCAGTAACATAGCCATCATCAGTTACATAGCCATCATCATCAGTAACATAGACATCATCAGTAACATAGCCATCATCAGTAACATAGCCATAATAATCAGTAACATAGCCATCATCAGTAACATAGTCATCATCATCAGTAACCAAGCCATCATCAGTAACATAGCCATCATGATCAGTAACATAGCCATCATCAGTAACATAGCCACCATCATCAGTAACATAGTCATCATCATCAGTAGCATAGCCATCATCATCAGTAACATAGCCATAATCAGTAACATAGCCATCATCAGTAACAGAGGCATCATAATCAGTAACATAGCCATCATCATCAGTAACCTAGCCATCATCAGTACCCTAACAATCATCAGTAACATAGTCATCATCATCAGGAACATAGCCATCATCATCAGTAACCTAGCCATCATCAGTACCCTAACAATCATCAGTAACATAGTCATCATCATCAGGAACATAGCCATCATCATCAGTAACCTAGCCATCATCAGTAACATAGCCATCATCATCAGTACCCTAGCCATCATCAGTAACCTAGCAATCATCAGCAACAAAGTCATCATCATCAGTAACATAGCCATCATCAGCAGTAACATAGTCATCATCAGTAACATAGCCATCATCAGTAACAGAGGCATCATAATCAGTAACATAGCCATCATCATCAGTAACATAGACATCATCAGTAACATAGCCATCATCAGTAGCATCGCCATCATCATCAGTAACATAGCCATCATAATCAGTAACATAGTCATCATCATCAGTAACCAAGCCATCATCAGTAACATAGCCATCATGATCAGTAACATAGCCATCATCAGTAACATAGCCACCATCATCAGTAACATAGTCATCATCATCAGTAACATAGCCATCATCAGTTACATATCCATCATCATCAGTAACATAGCCATCATCGGTAACATAGCCATCATCATTAGTAACATAGCCATCATCAGTAACATAGCCACCATCATCAGTAACATAGTCATCATCATCAGTAACACAGCCATCATCAGTAACATAGCCATCATCAGTCAGTAACATAGCCATCATCATCAGTAACATAGCCATAATCAGTAACATAGCCATCATCAGTAACAGAGCCATCATCATCAGTAACATAGCCATCATCGGTAACATAGCCATCATCATCAGTAACATAGTCATCATCAGTGACATAGCCATCACCTTCAGTAACATAGCCATCATCAGTAACATAGTCATCATAATCAGTAACATAGCCATCATCATCAGTAACATAGACATCATCAGTAACATAGCCATCATCAGTAACCTAGCAATCATCAGTAACATAGCCATCATCAGTAACATAGCCATCATCATTAGTAACATAGCCTTTATCATCAGTAACATAGCCATCATCATCAGTAACATAGCCATCATCAGTAACATAGCCATCATCAGTAACATAGCCATCATCATCAGTAACATAGCCATCATCATCAGTAACATAGCCATCATCATCAGTAACATAGCCATCATCATCAGTAACATAGCCATCATCATCAGTAACATAGCCATCATCATCAGTAACATAGCCATCATCATCAGTAACATAGCCATCATCATCAGTAACATAGCCATCATCATCAGTAACATAGCCATCATCATCAGTAACATAGCCATCATCATCAGTAACATAGCCATCATCATCAGTAACATAGCCATCATCATCAGTAACATAGCCATCATCATCAGTAACATAGCCATCATCATCAGTAACATAGCCATCATCATCAGTAACATAGCCATCATCATCAGTAACATAGCCATCATCATCAGTAACATAGCCATCATCATCAGTAACATAGCCATCATCATCAGTAACATAGCCATCATCATCAGTAACATAGCCATCATCATCAGTAACATAGCCATCATCATCAGTAACATAGCCATCATCATCAGTAACATAGCCATCATCATCAGTAACATAGCCATCATCATCAGTAACATAGCCATCATCATCAGTAACATAGCCATCATCATCAGTAACATAGCCATCATCATCAGTAACATAGCCATCATCATCAGTAACATAGCCATCATCATCAGTAACATAGCCATCATCATCAGTAACATAGCCATCATCATCAGTAACATAGCCATCATCATCAGTAACATAGCCATCATCATCAGTAACATAGCCATCATCATCAGTAACATAGCCATCATCATCAGTAACATAGCCATCATCATCAGTAACATAGCCATCATCATCAGTAACATAGCCATCATCATCAGTAACATAGCCATCATCATCAGTAACATAGCCATCATCATCAGTAACATAGCCATCATCATCAGTAACATAGCCATCATCATCAGTAACATAGCCATCATCATCAGTAACATAGCCATCATCATCAGTAACATAGCCATCATCATCAGTAACATAGCCATCATCATCAGTAACATAGCCATCATCATCAGTAACATAGCCATCATCATCAGTAACATAGCCATCATCATCAGTAACATAGCCATCATCATCAGTAACATAGCCATCATCATCAGTAACATAGCCATCATCATCAGTAACATAGCCATCATCATCAGTAACATAGCCATCATCATCAGTAACATAGCCATCATCATCAGTAACATAGCCATCATCATCAGTAACATAGCCATCATCATCAGTAACATAGCCATCATCATCAGTAACATAGCCATCATCATCAGTAACATAGCCATCATCATCAGTAACATAGCCATCATCATCAGTAACATAGCCATCATCATCAGTAACATAGCCATCATCATCAGTAACATAGCCATCATCATCAGTAACATAGCCATCATCATCAGTAACATAGCCATCATCATCAGTAACATAGCCATCATCATCAGTAACATAGCCATCATCATCAGTAACATAGCCATCATCATCAGTAACATAGCCATCATCATCAGTAACATAGCCATCATCATCAGTAACATAGCCATCATCATCAGTAACATAGCCATCATCATCAGTAACATAGCCATCATCATCAGTAACATAGCCATCATCATCAGTAACATAGCCATCATCATCAGTAACATAGCCATCATCATCAGTAACATAGCCATCATCATCAGTAACATAGCCATCATCATCAGTAACATAGCCATCATCATCAGTAACATAGCCATCATCATCAGTAACATAGCCATCATCATCAGTAACATAGCCATCATCATCAGTAACATAGCCATCATCATCAGTAACATAGCCATCATCATCAGTAACATAGCCATCATCATCAGTAACATAGCCATCATCATCAGTAACATAGCCATCATCATCAGTAACATAGCCATCATCATCAGTAACATAGCCATCATCATCAGTAACATAGCCATCATCATCAGTAACATAGCCATCATCATCAGTAACATAGCCATCATCATCAGTAACATAGCCATCATCATCAGTAACATAGCCATCATCATCAGTAACATAGCCATCATCATCAGTAACATAGCCATCATCATCAGTAACATAGCCATCATCATCAGTAACATAGCCATCATCATCAGTAACATAGCCATCATCATCAGTAACATAGCCATCATCATCAGTAACATAGCCATCATCATCAGTAACATAGCCATCATCATCAGTAACATAGCCATCATCATCAGTAACATAGCCATCATCATCAGTAACATAGCCATCATCATCAGTAACATAGCCATCATCATCAGTAACATAGCCATCATCATCAGTAACATAGCCATCATCATCAGTAACATAGCCATCATCATCAGTAACATAGCCATCATCATCAGTAACATAGCCATCATCATCAGTAACATAGCCATCATCATCAGTAACATAGCCATCATCATCAGTAACATAGCCATCATCATCAGTAACATAGCCATCATCATCAGTAACATAGCCATCATCATCAGTAACATAGCCATCATCATCAGTAACATAGCCATCATCAGTAACATAGCCATCATCATCAGTAATCATCATCAGTAACATAGCCATCATCATCAGTAACATAACCATCATCAGTAACATAGCCATCATCATCAGTAACCATCATCAGTAACATAGCCATCATCATCAGTAACATAGTCATCATCAGTAACATAGCCATCATCATCAGTAACATAGCCATCATCAGTAACATAGCCATCATCATCAGTAACCATCATCAGTAACATAGCCATCATCATCAGTAACATAGCCATCATCAGTAACATAGCCATCATCATCAGTAACATAGCCATCACCATCAGTAACATAGTCATCATCATCAGTAACCTAGCCATCATCAGTAACATAGCCATCATCATCAGTAACATAGCCATCATCAGTAACATAGCCATGAGCAGTAACATAGCTACAATGTTCTTTCAATTGGTACTATGTTAACCTTTTACTTCACAGTGATATTACCCTAGTCTAGATTTGTGTGATGTTATCTTTACATCCAAAGTAAACCACTTTAAGGTAAACAAACAGGTACAGATAATACAGGCTGGTGTCACGCGTGTAGCTAACATCCTAGTACTTAGAACAAGAGGCCTTATGGGTCTGCATTGGTCACCTGTTAGTGAATGGTGTTGTTAAAAACGTATCATATATGTGACCTTTAAACTGGATAAAGTTCAAATGATTTAAACCTGACAGCGAGCATACCACATGCCAAATATCATTATATTACATATTATAGATCTTTGTGAGGAGATTTAAATATATTTAACTAATGCGAGTCAATGCCATTTCTTTGTACAAACTTATTAACCTGTATATCATTCTAGCAAGCTTATGGTACAAGCAAAATATCACTACTCTTACTGCATGTCCTATGAAATTGTAATATTTGAAAGAGTTCTTAAATTTTATTTTTTACATATCCCATTGACAAATCCAAGCAATGCAGTAAATAAGCATTTCATTCCAATAGGCTACAAGGCAAATATTCCAGACCTTACAGTGCTTATATTAGAAGTGGAAACTTTTGCAGTAGAATTGAATCCTGTGACCTAGAAAGTTGGTTACAGAGTTTTTGTTACCTAAGTTTTACAGCCTGTTCCTTTACAAATTGGGAAAATCTAGCTTGATTTGTATTGAAATTGGGAATATATTCCTCAGTTTTTGGTCATTTTGGGAAAATAAAGCACTTTTTAGATAGCTAAGGGAAACTGTTTGATAGTAAAACTTAGCAAAACAAATTGCTGGGTCAAGGTAATTTATTCAAACAAATTTGATTGAACTTCATCTCAACAAGCTATAAGTTTAATATCATTATTCTTGCCATTATCATTACAGATATTTAGAAGACGCTGTTTGAATTTTTAACATGATTGATGTGTGACCTTAAATACTAAAGGCTAAATATCATAGTTCTTCATGAATCTTAAGAAGTCTAAAGAAAATCTTGATGCCAGATAAACGATGGACATCATCACAGTCACATATGCTCACAGACATTTCATACCAAGTGAACTAAAATGGAGGGAATGTAGAGTTACATAAGGGATTAAATGTAGCAACTGATAGCATGTACATGTACTTTTAGACCAGTTGACATTTTGTATAACACAGTAAGTATGTGTAATACCATGTTAGTTTTTTTCACAGCTGTCCTGGGTCTTTGGTTACATACCTTATTACAACATGTTCCTTTATATATAACATTTAGGTCAAATAAAGACATATACATTCAGGCAATTAAAAATCACAGTGACCGGGAAAATATATAGGAGTCGAGGCCTGATATGTAAATGTCGATTGATATTATATGTATCAGACTGGTATTTATCGTGCTAGACCTGTTGCACTTTAAACAAGTTGATGCAGCTGATTTCACTTAGCCTCCTATAGCTAACAAACAGGTGGTAATTGTGTGTATTTGTCGGTAACGACGGTGCCTTGGTCATGACGAGATCTCTAGGTAGATTACATACTTGAGTAATCTGTCGGTCTCTAGCTGCATTTATGCATGCATTGTAGTATTGATTTTTCCTTCAATGTTGCTGGGCATCCCGATTACACACCATAGATCGGACAACTGATTCTATATTTTCCACAGCATATATACATAAATACATTTGTTTAACAAACACCCTTTCTGTTTTATCAAACACCATTCTTTGTAGATATTAGTTTTATGCAAATAAACCAAGTTGAAAGTATGATTATATCTACTTATTAACAATATGTTCCAACTAGAGATAATAATTACATGACAAAATTACTGATTTAATTTTTTCCAGAATTTTTTTTTCTCACTTTTACATTGATTAATGAGGTCTTAATAGCTCATTAACACAAATAGCCCTGCAGGATAAAATAGCATTACATTGGTTAATTGGCTTGGTTTGAATGGATATAGAGAGAAATAAAAGGGGACAAAGAGATGAAAGGATAAGATAAGATCCTAAATTCCAATCTCCTTTCTGTCAGTGCATTTGGGTGCATATATACATGCCTGCAGTACAGAAGCATACATCCTGCATTTCATTCCAGAGTTGTTTATAAACATATAGATACAGTACTAGTGACTTTTTTTTAGTTCAATATATATTTCACTATCAGATTTTAGTCATTTTTTTCAAATGTAGCGGAACTAGACTGGGTCAATCATCGGTGACCAGACCTAGGTAGCTCAACTGGTAGAGCGTCCGTCTAAAGGTCGAGGCTCCTGGGTTAAAGTCCCTGTCTGCTGGTCGTGCATTTTTTTGCTCCTACTACATTTAGCAACCAACAAAATATACCCACAGAAGGTGGTATAGGGTCTCGTGTGCCTTCCGGGTCTAAGACTTTGTTAAATGAGGGAGGAATGTAGCGGAGCTAGACTTAGTCGATCGTCGACAACCAGGTAGACCAATTGGTAGAGCGTCTGTCTAGAGTTTTGAGGGTCCTGAGTTTGAACCCCATACATTTTCCCTCTCCTACTATACATACAATGTCCAAAATACACATGCAAATAATCCTTCTTTTATCATACAGTAACTTAAACATTCAGACAGAATACTGGTGTCTGTTTTATCTGTATAATATATAAATGTACCTCGTTAGATCAAATACAGACCATGACCACAAAACAGTTATGGACTTGCTTCATGCATTTGTACATAGTTATCTGTGAATCGTATTTTACACATAAATTATACCTATTAATTGATATTGTTTCCCTGAGGTGAACAAGATTTATACAATCTGTTGACTAGTTTGACCTTGCTGATAGGTCACATGCGAGCTGGTAGTCACAATAACACCTACAAACACAAGCTCCATACACGTGTAACCTTGACCTTTAACGCAGCGAGATGAAACAAACGTTCAAGATATTGCCATACCAAACACTTGTATCAAGTTTTATGTAATTCTCTTTAGTAATGAAGTCGCTAGAGTGATGACAAAGTTTTTTTCTCTATAAATAGTAACAGTGACCTTGACCTTGAATATAGAAACCTGAAACCCGAACTTGTTCAAGGTAAGGTCATACTCAACACTTGTATCAAGTTTCATGAAATTTTATTGAAGAATGAAGTCGGTAGAGCGATGACAAAGTTTTTCTAAAAATAGTAACAGTGACCTTGACCTTCAATGTATTGTAGAAACCCAAAACGCGAACTTGTTTAAAGTATTGTCATACTACACACTTGTCTGAAGTTTCATGAAATTCCATTGAGGATTGAAGTAGCTAGAGCGATGACAAAGAGTGTAAGATATATATAGGTATGTACGGGCGGAATCCTATATCCCCATTGATTTTTCGTTGCGAGGGGATAATATTTTGTGAACCGCTTTGAGACGCCCTACAAACTAGGTTTTGATAAAGCGGCATACAAGAACCTCAAATCTTTATTATTATTATTATTATTTATCATCTACCGATAAATGTACCAAGCTCAAACTTACCTCTCTCCATGACCCTCTATTACTTTCCTCCAACACAAACAGGACACACACTGAAAAACAAAACTAACGCTACACTACATCTGTAAGCTAAAGGCAAGCTTCACCATGAAATGGTCAAAATGGAAAATATATCGAAAATTAGCAACATTATATTAAAGTGATGTTAAAAAGAATTTCATTAAAGTCTGTAAAAAAAATAAGAGTTGTTGTCCACATACAATAAGTTCTCAACAAGGATTGTTACTAATATCCCCGAAACATTCCTAGAAATTACAAATGAAGCATCACAAAAAATGACATTTAAATCAACCCAACAGAACTCAACATACAGATATCAATCATAATGTATCATCCAATCATATAATGTTTCATCCAATCATATAATGTATCATCCAATCATATAACGTATCATCCAATCATATAATGTATCATATAATGTATCATCCAATCATATAATGTATCATCCAATCATATAACGTATCATCCAATCATATAATGTATCATCCAATCATATAATGTATCATCCAATCATATAATGTATCATCCAATCATATAATGTATCATCCAATCATATAATGTATCATCCAATCATATAATGTATCATCCAATCATATAATGTATCATCCAATCATATAATGTATCATCCAATCATATAATGTATCATCCAATCATATAATGTATCATCCAATCATATAATGTATCATCCAATCATATAATGTATCATCCAATCATATAATGTATCATCCAATCATATAATGTATCATCCAATCATATAATGTATCATCCAATCATATAATGTATCATCCAATCATATAATGTATCATCCAATCATATAATGTATCATCCAATCATATAATGTATCATCCAATCATATAATGTATCATCCAATCATATAATGTATCATCCAATCATATAATGTATCATCCAATCATATAATGTATCATCCAATCATATAATGTATCATCCAATCATATAATGTATCATCCAATCATATAATGTATCATCCAATCATATAATGTATCATCCAATCATATAATGTATCATCCAATCATATAATGTATCATCCAATCATATAATGTATCATCCAATCATATAATGTATCATCCAATCATATAATGTATCATCCAATCATATAATGTATCATCCAATCATATAATGTATCATCCAATCATATAATGTATCATCCAATCATATAATGTATCATCCAATCATATAATGTATCATCCAATCATATAATGTATCATCCAATCATATAATGTATCATCCAATCATATAATGTATCATCCAATCATATAATGTATCATCCAATCATATAATGTATCATCCAATCATATAATGTATCATCCAATCATATAATGTATCATCCAATCATATAATGTATCATCCAATCATATAATGTATCATCCAATCATATAATGTATCATCCAATCATATAATGTATCATCCAATCATATAATGTATCATCCAATCATATAATGTATCATCCAATCATATAATGTATCATCCAATCATATAATGTATCATCCAATCATATAATGTATCATCCAATCATATAATGTATCATCCAATCATATAATGTATCATCCAATCATATAATGTATCATCCAATCATATAATGTATCATCCAATCATATAATGTATCATCCAATCATATAATGTATCATCCAATCATATAATGTATCATCCAATCATATAATGTATCATCCAATCATATAATGTATCATCCAATCATATAATGTATCATCCAATCATATAATGTATCATCCAATCATATAATGTATCATCCAATCATATAATGTATCATCCAATCATATAATGTATCATCCAATCATATAATGTATCATCCAATCATATAATGTATCATCCAATCATATAATGTATCATCCAATCATATAATGTATCATCCAATCATATAATGTATCATCCAATCATATAATGTATCATCCAATCATATAATGTATCATCCAATCATATAATGTATCATCCAATCATATAATGTATCATCCAATCATATAATGTATCATCCAATCATATAATGTATCATCCAATCATATAATGTATCATCCAATCATATAATGTATCATCCAATCATATAATGTATCATCCAATCATATAATGTATCATCCAATCATATAATGTATCATCCAATCATATAATGTATCATCCAATCATATAATGTATCATCCAATCATATAATGTATCATCCAATCATATAATGTATCATCCAATCATATAATGTATCATCCAATCATATAATGTATCATCCAATCATATAATGTATCATCCAATCATATAATGTATCATCCAATCATATAATGTATCATCCAATCATATAATGTATCATCCAATCATATAATGTATCATCCAATCATATAATGTATCATCCAATCATATAATGTATCATCCAATCATATAATGTATCATCCAATCATATAATGTATCATCCAATCATATAATGTATCATCCAATCATATAATGTATCATCCAATCATATAATGTATCATCCAATCATATAATGTATCATCCAATCATATAATGTATCATCCAATCATATAATGTATCATCCAATCATATAATGTATCATCCAATCATATAATGTATCATCCAATCATATAATGTATCATCCAATCATATAATGTATCATCCAATCATATAATGTATCATCCAATCATATAATGTATCATCCAATCATATAATGTATCATCCAATCATATAATGTATCATCCAATCATATAATGTATCATCCAATCATATAATGTATCATCCAATCATATAATGTATCATCCAATCATATAATGTATCATCCAATCATATAATGTATCATCCAATCATATAATGTATCATCCAATCATATAATGTTTCATCCAATCATATAATGTATCATTAATGTATCATCCAATCATATAACGTATCATCCAATCATATAATGTATCATCCAATCATATAACGTATCATCCAATCATATAATGTATCATCCAATCATATAATGTATCATCCAATCATATAATATATCATCCAATCATAAGCACTAGCAGCTATCATGTACATAAATTGAACATTCATGAACAAAATAAAGTCACTTAGACACACTGCATAATTCTGAAATAAAATTCTTTAGGCTATCTTCAGTGAGTCGATAGTTATGGCCCTGAACAATGTATTTGACCTCAATGTGACCTTGACCTTGGAGGAGAACCTCAATATAGTGGTACTCAACTAACCTCCTTACCATCCTATATCTATCCCTTAAATTTCATTGCATTATCTACAGGGAGTCAGAAATTATGACCCAGACAATGAAGTTAACCTAATGTGACTTCGACCTGTAGTGCACAAACCCAATAGTGGTATGTGACATACCGCCTTGCCATCCTTCAGATACCCCTTATATTTCAATAAGATGTCTTTAGAGACTCAGAAGCTATGGCCCAAACAAACCTGTTGGAGGGATGGACAAAGCAGCGACTATATGCTCCCTGAAACTGCTCCATGTGTTCTGCTAGTGGCATTTTATATATTGAAGTCATGAGGGTCAATATCAGCTGATTTGACTTAGAAAAGTTCAAGTATTGAATATCTTAATACAGTGTTTTAGCCAAAAGAATCAGTTAAGTAGATATACTTACTGGGATCAGATTTTGAAAATACATCAGCATCAATTAGCTTTCTGAAATGAAAAAAAAAGTGAAATAAACTTCATTCATGCTTCATCGTTTTGAAAACAAAGAATCATGTTTCCCTACCACAATAGCAGTAAATGTATAATAAATAAAGATAGAGATGAATAAATAGACAGTTATTTTAGACTATTACGAAATACAGCATAGTGATTTCCCAAGGTGAATTGCATAAAAATACAGACATGCAAAATTTTGAGTTTTACATGAAGAACACATTATATATAAGAGATGTATATGTGAATTGTTATGGATTCGATTCTGATACAAGATGTACAAATTATCTCTATCAGACTCTTGCAAGTCTTGGGTATCAGAGACTCAAGTAAAGCTACTTACTAATACCAGGTTGCTGTCATTGTTCTAATAAATATGATTAAGTTGGTGACACTATGACGTATGCATTGAATACAGCCAAGTCCAAATATGTATTCGTATAAACCTTACTGCAGTGTTTCTTTGCATCAGAAGAAGCATATCTGTCAGCAATTTTGAAGTAAACAAATCTTTCTGCGGTTCTTTCATGATGTAAACATTGCATCTTTCTTGTTATTGTGAATTCTGCGCCATGACTTTCTGTACTAACATAATAGATACGCTACGAAAAGTGTAAAAGTGAAAACGAACAACAATCTTACCGACATGATATCGATAACTCCACTAAGGTAGCAGGAGCTACTCCAGTTCCTGGTTGAAATGTAGCCGCGTCCGCCATAGTTGTTTTGCTCTTGCGCAATGTGCCATGGGAAATCTGACATACGGGCTACCAACTCACGCATGACATCTGACGTCCGCAAGCCGCATTTGGGAGCACATGGCCGAACTGTAGGTCACATCTCTTCTTTTCTTCCACAGATGTGTTCTTCTTAAAAGCATTTTTCTTTCATCATTCGGTATATAATGATCTAAACAAGTCTTTCTAATATAAAACTGTCAAAATGGGTATCAAATATTTGCAAGAATACATAGAAACGCACTGTTCAAGTGCATGTGTCTCCGTGGATTTGCTGAAAATTGCAAAAGGTTTTGTTCCGAAAAGGCGTGGCCGATATGCCGGATCTGGTCGATTCTGCTTAGTTGTAGATGCAGAGAGTTGTCTTGATCGCCTTTACGGCGGCTTCTACTCTGACTGGGTCTGTGGGGGGCAATGGAACCGAGTGACAGCGTTCCTGAACAGCCTTGTACAGGCCTGTCAGTCGGCCAACATGGAACTGGTTGTGTTTTTCAATGGTGCATTGGAGAGTCAGAAAATTGCAGAGTGGTTCAGCGATCAAGTCAGCCAGAAGAACAAAGTTGAATCTGTTTTTAGACATGTTGACCGCCAAGGGAAACCTCCCCCAAAGGTGTGGTGGACCCCACCAGTGTTTTTGACAGGCACGCTTAGAATGGCCCTCCGGGAGCTGGGAGTGGGCGTTGCCTGTTCCATGGATGATCATGCACAGGAGGTCATTGGCTACTGCAGAGAACATGGACTTCAAGGCATCATTGCACAGAATGCTGTCTATACAATATTTGACCCACCCCGCTACTTTTCATCACACAATTTGAAGTTGACATACAAAGGTTCCCTAGAAACCAAAGAATACATAATGGATGAGATTGCCAAATGCCTTGACCTGAACCCTAACAGATTCTGCATCTTTGCAGCAATGCTAGGTGAGATATAGCTTTCGAGTATTGAAAATATTACAAAATATTATGTCTTCACTCTAATCTGTTGTGCTATAATTATGGCCTTTCATCAACCATCATACACAACACAGACAAGTTAATTAGCAATGAAAGCAATAACAATTAAAAGCTAACAAATTAAGATAGTTGTCCCATATCAAGAACTTACTGACATGTTGAAAGTTTGCATCAAGATATGCAACCATGAATGTCTATTAAGGTAAAGGGTACCATCTAATAAGTTAATCACGCAGAAGTTCTCATTTATAGGCCCCTTTTGTCGACCTATCTTAATAAAGAGAGTATTCCTTCAATATGGCTCATGATGAAGCAGTACAAAGTTTTCCTAGCTTTTGGTTATTTCCCTTGTTCATTTTGCAAAAGTGAATATTGCACAAAGAATCTAGTCGGCTAAGAACTCCACTGTAAAATAGGCAATGATTGAGCCACAGGTACTAGCCTCGTCTGTCAGTACACCTAGCTATAATATAATCTTATAGATTCTTTATAGGTGTATTGACAGACGAGACTAGTACCTGTGGTTGAGCTAATTACCTTTCTAATTGTTATGATGTTGGTTAACTTGTCCTCTGTATGATCTTGTCCGGTTGACCATAAAATATCAATGCTACCAAAATAAAAGTAACCATACCTTGTAGGTGTGGGAACTGTAGTTCAAATCAGACATTTGAGCTACAGTTGCCACGCTTTGAGACAGGTGTACAGTACACATAGCCATAATTGCAACAAAACTAAAACTCTTGATAAGTCTCGAATGGTTATCTTGTCTGCAAAATCAGTGCTACATACATAGGTGTGGGATCTGTAGTAGTTCAGCGGTCAAATTTGAGCTACACTTCATGCAGCTATGCTTCATACAGTGCAAGTTTCTAAATCTGATATGTCTCCAAAGTTAATTACTAAATGTTTTGAAATTTCAATGCATAGCAGTATCAGCAACTTTTCTATACAATGCAAGTTTCTAAATGCAATACATCTCTAATTCTTCTAGATCTGTTGAAAAACATTTTCTATTTCAATGCAAAGCAGTATTGGCCTGTTTTGATGTATATTGAATTACTTCCTGTATAGATGGTGATGATTTAACACTTTGATAATTATGAGTTTTGTGAATGTGCAGGAAATCACATACTCCCAGATGAAGACCTTTATGACTTCTACAGAGAACAAATTGCAAGACAGAACCAAGAATCTGGCAAGACTGTGAAGGTATGCTTCATCTATTGATATAGTAATGTATAGATACAATTCTAGTTATAAATGATTTAATCTGGGCATTTTTAAAAACTTACTTTCATTTGATGATTCATTTCTGTACTTTTTAATGCAGTTCCCTGTAAAGGTGGGTTCATATATATTTCCCAAGAATTGGTTCAAGTAGTTAATAAACACAATACTTCAAATCTCATGACAGCTTAATCCAGAATCGGCCATAAAATGTGCAGTGGATTTTGTAAGGAGCTTGCCAACTGTAGACAACCTGGATAGTATTGGGGAAATGATCTTCAGGTAAGTTACATAAAAAAATTAAGGAGGAATCAGTTTATTTTAGTGCTGCTAAAAATTGGGCTTTTTATGAATCCTGTTGGTGGTGTTTCTGTTATTAAAGGAAGCACTAGGTATTTACCATCTGAATGTTTTGAATATAGAAACTCTTTATCTTAGTAAAATATCATGTTTTGCCTTTTTTCAATTTCACCCTTTTAATTTCTACACAGTGACTAATTGATCCCCCCAAAAAATGCATTCCATATTGACCTAACCATAGAATTTATTTGCAAAATTGTCACACTAATATTTTATGGCCCACATCAAAGAAGGCACCCGTCCTTGTTCAGCCAATTGTGTGGCATCACTCTACCAACTTTACTTGTGAACATTTTTTTTTATCAAACTTCATACAAAGTTCAAGTATGAGAGTACTGTGTATGCAGTTCTTTATTCAGACTTGCAAGTTCAAGTTCACAATTAATATTTGTAGATATTTGTCTAACAGTGACGTTAGAAGTGGGGACATTTATGCAGACATTTTCTAGAACTTTGTAACTGCTATTTTTAGTGATTAAAGAAAAAGACATATTTCAATTTTGTTAAGTATTTCAATTTCCATTTTTTACAACAACAAAAATTCCCAATTTAGATTGCCCCTTGACCGTATTAAAAATAGTGATAAATCTTTTGTTGTAGAAACTACAAGTCAAACAAGCGTGAACTGATTGCCAAATTTAGACAGTGTGTGCAGTATTATCTAAATGGAACGCAAGATGGTTTCCTCAAGTACAGGCCTCACATGAGTAAGTCTAACTCCTTAATCTACAATGAATACTTTTACAGTACATTTCAACTCATCCTCATCAGGTTCGATCTTGAAGTGTTAACATGAATGTATCTGATATTTTGAACTGTTCGAAAATGTGAATTAACTCAAATACATCGACAAACTACTTTTAAAATGATAAAGTGAAAACAATCCTATTTGAACTAAAATTATATCCTATTTCCACAGTGCCAGGGGGTGGTCCCCAAGGAAATTACTCGATGCACTTTATGCAGAACAGACAACAGGTAAGGTATTAATTTTCAGGAGACATATATACTAGCGGGAAAAAGAAACTGCATGCGGAGAATTGTCAAGAACATGTATTACCAACTGTATATATGAAAATTCACACACATGACACATACACACTATCCGTGTGGTATTGACAGTTTTCCCGTGCAGTTTGCTCTCTATAGGCGTAGACCAGTTTGCACATTTTTCTCGTCCAGCCATCCAATTTACCAATGAAAGTTTATTTTTCAACTGTTGGGTCACCCTGTTGAGACCAGTGAACAGTAAAAACAGCATTATAACGTTTTAATTTGTGATTAATGCTATGCCGAGGCTCAATGAAAGTGACCGCCTCCGGATTATTGGTATGCTTCAAGCTGGTATGGGCCAAGCCGTTGCCTCTACACATTTTCATGTCCATAAAAACACAATCCGGGATGTGTGGAGACGACATCAACAGTTTGGCCACGTCGGTGATAGACCTCATGTTGGACGTCCATGTGTGACGTCACGTCAACAGGACAACCATATTCGGCTTGTCAATTTGAGAAATCGCTTCTAAACAGCAAGTTTGACTGCACGGTCAATCCCTGGGTTGCTACCAATAAGCCAGAGAAATGTACAGAAAAAATTGCGTGAACAAGCTATTCCTCCGCGACGTCCTGCAATCTGCCCAGTTCTTGTGCAACGTCATCGTGTAGCACGTTTGGACTGGTGCAGAAGGCATCTGCGATTTACTCGTTTGGATTTGGCAGGCATTTCGTTTACGAACGAGTCGTGAGTCCACCTGGATAGTAGTGACGGCCGTTCAATAGTGTATGGTCGTGTTGGGGAACGTTTCTGTGACGCGTGTGTGGTACAACGACATTCTTTTGGCGGAGGCAGTGTTATGATTTGGGGCGGCATCACAGCCAATAAGAGAACGCCTCTAGTGGTTATTAACGGGAATTTGAACGCACTACGTTACTGTGACAGGATCCTCCGGACCCACTTCGTTCCATTCGTGCAAGGGCAGCAACGTCACATTACGCTATAGCAGGACAACGCCAGGCCACACACAGCTCGTGTTGCTATGGACTTTCTGCCCCAGCAGAACATTGACGTGTTGCTCTGGCATGTTGTAATCCCCCGATCTGTCGCCCATTGAACACGCCTGGGATGAAATGAAGCGCAGATTACAGGCATTACCCAATCAACCGGTGACGTTGGCTGATTTGCCTGCAGCGTTGGTACAGATTTGGAATGCCATCCCACAAGCATTCTTGAACCGTCTGATAGGCTCCATGCGTTGACGTTGCCAGGCTTGCATTCAGGCAAACGTTGGACATACGAGGTATTACCTTTGGGAACTCAGTATTGACCCCTGCTGTGTTTACGTCACTCCTGAGCGGAACTTATTGATTCCATAACCTGGAAAATGGAATGCAACTGTCAATAAATAACAAATAAATTGTCCCTGAAAACCTTGTTGTTCTACGTCCTACCCATTTATTTTTATAACACATTTTAGGCATGCACAGTTTCTTTTTTCCGCTCGTATATATATAGTTTGAAGAATATGGTAATGGATTGGATTTTCTTAACCTCAAATGTTGTAGCTAGGACAATGTCCATAGTCTGTTTCATTTAAAACATATACATTTTTTCAATCTCTCCAAATAAACACTTTTGTACAAAGAGGGTCAGAAATGTGTTTATTCTTAATATATAAATGATATACTACTTGTGACAGATTATCTTGTATATAAGAGAACAAGTTTTTGTCCTGATTTCCATTTTTTAAGTAATATGAAAATAATCACAACAAAAAAAATTAATTACAGTCTTAACTATTTAAGATTCAGCTTCATGTAGTTAAGCAATATTGTTTATTTGACAGTCAAATGGATCTGGATTTGCTGGAGATGCAAGTGGACCAGCCCCCCAGATCGTTGTAGATCCACCAACACAGAACCCTGCCGTCGGCAACTTTGTTGCTCCAACAGGAGGTAGGGCTTCAGATATGTACATGTGCCACATAGAAATGTCAGCATTGGTCTTTTGATAATGTCACAATGATGATGAAATACCACAGATGGTTTGAAAATGTCATATTTTTTAAAATCTCAGTTTGTTTTCTTACAGCAAAAATTAGATAATCCCTAAGCCTTAGATTAAAAAAACATTTATAACATATTTACAAATCCTTAATCTTCCACCAATTTGGAAGATTTTTAGGTCACCTGAGACAAAGTCTCAAGTGACCTATTGCGTTCGCCCTTTGTCCGTCGTGCGTCCGTAAACAATTTACATTTTCGACTTCTTCTCCAAAACCCCTGAACCAATTGCAATGAAATTTTGCAGGGACCTTCCATGGACAATGGTCAACAAAAATGGTGGCCGGTTTAGTCCCAAGCCCCCAGGGCCCTGAGGGGCGGGGCCAAAAGGGGTCAAATTTCAAAAATCTTCTTCTCAAGACCCAGATATGGTAGAACCAAATACTCTTCATATATGGAAGGGTCTTAAGGTGCTTTACCAAAATTGTGAACTTCTTGACCCTGGGGTCTTACGTTTTCCCCCGGGGGAGGGGGTAAACTTTACTATAGTTTATATAGGGAAATCACATTTTGGACCAACATTTGTTTAATTCCATTGGAAGTAATTCAATTTGGGTTAGCATTATCAGTATTAGGTAGCAGTTTGACGGTATGCACATATGAGCCCTGACTGACCCCCAGGGGCTGATGGGTGGGGCCAAAAAGGGTTGAATTGACTGAAATTTCAAAAATCTTCTTCTCAAGACCCAGATATGGTAGAATCAAATACTCTTCATAGATGGAAGGTTCTTAACCCTTATCCCGCCAAGTGCAGCATATGTTGTTTTTATAAACCCGTTTCCCACTGCCAAGCGCGGCATATGTCGTTCCGCAAAACCTGTCTTCCACTGCTGATCGCGGCATATGTCGATTCTGGGATTGCCCGTTTAAGTACGGAACTGTGGTGAGAAAATCACTGCTAGCTTTACGTAGAAATGATTACGTATTAGTTTATACCTTAATTTCATTGGCTGACTACGTGATGCCCACAGTTTATTTATAAACTAAGCCACCGTGACCTCGAGAGCATAGATCCAAGGTTTTGTTGACAGCGCGAAAAAATGGCGGACGAAAAACTGAGACTGCAGATTATTGGCGATATATTTGACAGTAACAACAGCGACAATGAGTTTTAGGGATTCGGACCAGAAGATTTACTTCGTGATGCAGAATTCGTACCAGAAATTAACTTTAATCAATCATATAAAGACGTGGACATTCCTGAAGACGACGACAACACAGCGTACCTCCAATAAATGCCCCATTCACGGGGCGGCCCGGTTTGAACAAAGATATTCCAGGTGACGGCGTCCCTATTTATTTTTCTCTCTCCTCTTTTTGACAACAATATGTGGACGACTCTTTCGACAGAATACTAAGTACTTTTGATTATGAAACTTGGAATTGTTTTTCAGGTGATGGTAATAAATAAACTGTTTATTAGACGTAAATGATCTTTATAACATACAAAATACATACAAAACTCACCTTTTCTAACTGTAGTTTTGGAAAGGTAAGCGCTATATCCAAAATTACTTTTGATACGAAAAGAAGAAGTCTTCCTGAACAAAACACTTTATAAATATTTTCTTGGGTTCGATAAAGATAAAAAGTTATTGTTGGTTTAATCAGCTAATTAATTTTGATTAATAACGCTGTTGTTTATTTGGCAGTGGGGAGGTATACCACAAATTGTATACACAGCAGTGGTGTGTGTATATACACATGAGTGAATGGCGGGATAAGGTTAAGGTGCTTTACCAAAATTGTGAATTTCTTGACCCTGGGGTCTCACGTTTCCCACCGGGGAGGGGGTAAACTTTATTATATAGTTTATATAGGGAAATCACATTTTGTTTAAATTCCATTGGAAGTAATTCAATTTGGGTTAGCATTATCAGTATTAGGTAGCAGTTTGATAATTAGCACATATGAGCCCTGACTGACCCCCAGGGGCTGATGGGTGGGGCCAAAAAGGGTCGAATTTACTGAAATTTCAAAAAATCTTCTTCTCAAGTCCAAGATATGGTAGAATCAAATACTCTTCATAGATGGAAGGGTCTTAAGGTTTATGACCCTAGGGTCTCACGTTGACCCCCTGGGGAAGGGGGGGGGCAAAATTTATTATGGTTTATAATCGCAAATGATACTTTGAATATTACATGTTAATAACTTAATTGGAATTATAACCTTGAGTTGACAGTTTGATGCTTTGAAAATTTTGAGCCAGCCCTACCCCCAAGGGCTGTAGGGTGGGGCTCAAAGGAGTCAGTGTGCTAAAATTTCTTCATTTTCCTTGTTTAGAATCAGAGGTGCTAGTTTCAAATACTTTTTAGTCTGAAATCTGTATGCTAGATATTGAATAAGGTGGTTTTATTGTTTTTAGTCACTTTGAATAATATTTCTGTTCTTGTTAAAAACAAAATCAACTCTCTGTATAAATATATCAGGTGACCGTTAAGGCCCATAGGCCTCTTGTATTAAATTGAGATTACCAAAATATTGAAGTCGATTAAACATTGCTTTTTGTTGGAAGTATTTGCAAAAATGAACTGTTTCATGTGAAATTTTAGAAGCAATTCAATCATATCTTAATGATATACCTACATATAAGGTTTTATTTTATATTTAAACATTTTTTAAGTAGGCACATGAAACATAGGATTTTAGAATACATCAGTGTATCTGGTCGTGGGTTGTAAATAACCGCGTACACATTTTGTTGTAGACGGTAAACAAGAGATGTTGGTGGCCATCTCGTCATCGTCCTCGTCCAGCAGTGGATCCAGTCCCAACAGAAACAGTCCAGAGGCAAGCTGGGGCATGAAATTCTCCTCGCAGGTTGGCACTCTCTGCCTTCTGTTGTATATTGTAACATTGGCAGTGTGCTAGCAACCACTTTACCTTGGGATCAGCTACCATCTTACAATTATGCTGTACTAGTACAAGCAAAGATTGTTTTTAAATATTTTTGTTATGTTGCTGTTAGAGTTTGCAACTTTTCACTAAATGAAATCTTCCTTATACAAATTTTATGATTTCAAATTCAGCAGAAGTGTAAGATTTTTTCATGATCCCGAGGACTTCTATGTAATTTCTTTCATTCAAGTAGTCCTAAAACTGCTTTTTAGCTCACACGATTGATTATGTGAGCTTTTGCTATCTGTCTTCATTGTTGTCCACTGTCCATTTACACTTAAACATTTTCAACTCTTACCTAAGAGTCACTGATGAGATGGTTTCCCAACTGGGTAAAAGTTTTCCTTAAGAGGTCCTGACCAAGTGTTCTCAATTTTCATGCTAATCCAAAAATAAAAAATGGCCCCCCTGGCCTCTGTTTTTCTGTCGGTCATTTTCGAATCCTCAAGAACCACTGATGCAGTTGACTTAAACTTTGGTACAGATATTCCTTATAAAGCATTGCCAAAATATTGTTCAAAATTCTATAAACAAAGGATACTGTTTACAAAATTATTAGAGAGATGTTTCAAAGGCCCTGGCCATAAAATCGTTAAGACCACTAAAAAAAGGTGAAATATTTGGATTGAAAGCATATCTGATATTAGGGTATAGGTATGATTGCCAACTCTTGTTTGGTAAGTTACACAGCTGCGTGACAATTTGTTTGAAATTTCAATTGAAAGGATTAATGTACTTATTTTCATCATCAAAAACCACATCTTTTTCACCTCTGTGGTAAAAGTATTCAATCATTTAGTCAAAATGTTGTTATTTTGGTGTGATTTTCAACCAGAATGACTGCATGTCCTCTGGTTTGTCCGTCAGGTTGGCCGTGTTCTTGCTACATATGCTCCTCTCATTGTCCTGTCAAAATGTAGCTACCCAGTGGTGGATCCAGAGACCTATCGGGGAGGGGGGGGGGGGGGGGGATTCCAAATTTCCAGGGAGGGTTTCCATGTGGGGGAAAATTGAGGAAAATTGTGAAAATACATGATTTGTAAAGAAAATTCTCAGGCTGGAGGGGTTTCCTAAAGCCCATAAAACCCCTCTGGATCCGCCACTGCAAGTACCGGTATCATTATGGCGAAGATTTGGAAGTATTAAGAGATCATATTAAGGGATCATATTATACCAGTGGTGCAATATTGACAATTTCAATGTTTCCACTTGTAGCAGATGTCCTCCAACATTAAGCCACCAGCCAAAGGACAGGAGCCCGATTCTAAACTCCCTAAGATTTCACCTGAGATTATGCGAATTGCTAGTGAGCGTCACCAGAAGGGGCTGATGACACCATGGGTATACCAACTATTGTCACAGGTATGAGGACTTTCAAATATTCTACATTCGCCATTCTCTTACAATATTGAATTCTATGAACAGGAGATTTGGATATTAACTGTAACATAATAATTGATGTGAATAATTTGATAGTAAGTCTATTTTGGTTAAGGAACATGCAACAAAACCAATGAATCGGGTATTGTGATATTTAAAAAAAAAAAAAAATGGTCCTTCAATTTAATGAATAACATTACTGTGCTATTGTTGATCACTGTAAAAATAAGCAAATTGGGCAAACAAACAAATGTTAATTTTAGGTTAGCATTGACCCAATGACCTTATATGAAATCTGAAAGTGTTATTAGAAAGAAACTTCAATCTCACCAACATATGCTGGACACCAGTTGTGTGTCAATGGAATGTAGGCGGGGAGAATACCAAGACATAGAAACCCTTTAAAATTGAAAATAGGGAAAGATATTTTTAAGCCTTTATCAGAAACTCGATGTGCTCCAAAAGGGCAAATGCTTCTCCTGTGTGACTCCTACTCCAAAGTTAAAAGTGAATCAGTTGAAGGTGTGATAAGTTTGTGATAAGTTGTACAAGAAATGCTTAAACTAAACACTAGATGACCACTTTATGTTGCTTCCAAAAAACAGCTGAACAGAGGATTTGTAATAATGTGAAGCCTATTCTTTGGTCTATATATGCAGTGATAGTATTTAATGTCGCTGTAGACACCACGGAAGATGCTTCCTTGCCCATTTTGTCCGATGCTTTAACAACAAGATCAAATCCAAGGTTAGGTGTACATAAATATAAGGGTAGATCAGGATACAGTATCCCAACCCTGTCTTAAAAGGTCATGTGCAAATATCAGGGTAGATCAGGATACAGTATCCCAACCCTGTCTTTAAAGGTCAGGTGTAAATATCAGGGTAGATCAGGATACAGTGACCCAACCCTGTCTATAACCCTTTCACCACTGTAGACCATAATGGACTCGTCCAGATCAATGTATAGTAGAGACTACTAAAGATACCTAGGGGTGAAAGGGTTAAAGGTCAGGTGTAAATATCAGGGTAGATCAGGATAAAGTATCCCAACCCTGTCCTTAAAGGTCAGCTGTTAATATCAGGGTAGAGCAGGATACAGTATCCCAACCCTGTCTTTAACCCTTTCACCACTGTAGACCATAATGGACTCGTCCAGATCAATGTATAGTAGAGTCTACTAAAGATACCTAGGGGTGAAAGGGTTAAAGGTCAGGTGTAAATATCAGGGTAGATCAGGATACAGTATCCCAACCCTGTCCTTAAAGGTCAGCTTTAAATATCAGGGTAGATCAGGATACAGTATCCCAACCCTGTCTTTAACCCTTTCACCACTGTAGACCATAATGGACTCGTCCAGATCAATGTATAGTAGAGTCTACTAAAGTTACCTAGGGGTGAAAGGGTTAAAGGTCAGGTGTAAATATCAGGGTAGATTAGGATACAGTATCTCAAACCTGTCTTAAAAGGTCAGGTGTAAATATCAGGGTAGATCAGCATACAGTATCCCAACCCTTTCTTTAAAGGTCAGGTGTAAATATCAGGGTAGATTAGGATACAGTATCCCAACCCTGTCTTAAAAGGCCAGGTGTAAATATCAGGGTAGATCAGGATACAGTATCTCAACCCTGTCTTAAAAGGTCAGCTGTTAATATCAGGGTAGATCAGGATACAGTATCCCAACACTGTCTTAAAAGGCCAGGTGTAAATATCAGGGTAGATCAGCATACAGTATCCCAACCCTTTCTTTAAAGGTCAGGTGTAAATATCAGGGTAGATCAGGATACAGTATCTCAACCCTGTCTTAAAAGGTCAGCTGTTAATATCAGGGTAGATCAGGATACAGTATCCCAACCCTGTCTTTAAAGGTCAGGTGTAAATATCAGGGTAGATCAGGATAAAGTATCCCAACACTGTCTTAAAAGGTCAGGTGTAAATATCAGGGTAGATCAGGATACAGTATCCCAACCCTGTCTTTAAAGGTCAGGTGTAAAAATCAGGGTAGATCAGGATACAGTATCTCAACCCTGTCTTAAAAACATTTCCTTTATCATAACTTAAGTTTGATTTGGATTTCTGAATTTTCTTTAAAAGGGAGAGGTGAAATTCCCTGTAGCCCTTGAGGACGAACGAGACCGGGAACTCCCCACTGCCATTGAACTCTATCGACCAGTCCGTCAAACTGTCTACTCGGTGCTTTTCAACCTCAACAAACTAAAAATTGACAACGAGAAACAGAACAAAGGTAAATGTCATGTCCTCTTCATTCATTGTGTTGTTGTAAGCTAACATTTGGTAAAAAGCCTATCACTCCTTTATCATCAAAACACATTTCTCATTGTGTTTTGACAATAAAATTGCAGTGTACAGCTATATTAGTTTCCAGAGCAACATCATGCTACTGTAAGTATGAAATTAAGGATTACAATTTATGCACATAATAAGAAGGTGCTGTTTTGTATACTAGTATGGTAACACTGTGACCTCTATTTAACCTTTGACCAGTGTTTTTCACTACCTCGGATGCAGAAATATTGGGTCTGGAGTTATATTGTGGCCACACTTTCATTTAAGTTAATACTTTGTAGGGACATCATAATAGGACACAGTGTTGCGTAAAAGGGGTTATTACATAAGTTGTGGTGATCCCTTTTACTCAACACAGTGGTGCTAACCTGTGAGAGTATTCACAAGCCATTGCTTTGAGTTAAATCTCATCATGATAATACAATGTGCACGTTGAAAAAATTATCATTATTTTCCGATTTCCATTTAAATATTGCTGCCTGCTACTTCTTCGTCGTTTTGACGATTTTCTGTACTGCTCTTTCTTAAAATTCTAAACAATTTTTTATCTAGAATTAGTGTGTGGCTTACCGATTTAGTTCTAATTATAAACAGCACTTCTCTTAGTAAAACAGAATTACAATATTATGTAACATTGGAAAAAAATGATCTTTCTACAGGTAAATATATATTATGAGAAAAAACTATTTTGCAGGTGAACTAGGCCCCAAGGCCTTTGAAGTACCGGTGAAAGAGTGGATTGTGCGTCGTGGTGCCAATAGACCATCATTTGAATTGGTTGTCGCTGCCCCTGTAGACTGGAAAACGCCTAGCATTGAGCGAATGTGGCTGGGGACGAAAGTGGATGACAAGTCGCGACGTATCCGTGCTTTCCTAACCTGTATGCTCAGTGCCAACAAACTGATGATCAACACCCAGTATGTTCCTCAGCAGCTTCTGTTGCTCTGCTGTGTGCTCAGGTACATAGAGTTTACTTGGATATTGCAGCACTTATAACAATGTTAATACCGACACAATATGGAAAAGTTCTGTTTTCAAATACAGTTTGTAGTTTGTAGATGTAACTCTTGACAACAGGTCTATTTTTAAATAAGGACATTTCCAGATCAGGCTGTTAGCACATTTATTGTAATTTCAAAATGTATTTATGTAAAACATATGCAAGATGGTCCTGAACATGCCTCCTTTACCAGTTATTTATTCCTGTAACACGTTTGCTTACTTTCAGATACATTTTACAATATGGCAAGGTGCTAAGAAAACAGGAGTTAGATGCTTTTCTTGCTATGGCTGTATCCCCTCGCCTGCATGATGTTCAGACCATGCAGGACCTTATGGTAATAATTTCATTTTCATTTAAGCTTAAAATTTTAATTAGCTGAAATTTTTTCAAACTCTAGAAATGATATATGATCTTTGACTTGTAATCTCAGTTGATAAAGTGTTCCTGTAAAATTAGCATGTTTTGATTTCAAATTCCCCTTCAGCCTGTTGCATCTTTTCTGTACTATTTAAATGATTTAAACAGAGTGAAAAGGAATGAATCAGGGCTTCATTAATAAGATTACCCTCCTACTGTGAATAGTTTTAATAGCTGACTTTTTTTCATAAAACAATAAAAAAATAACGAGGTGTATAATATTAAATTCATACTGCCTATATGGTGTTTGATACTCTCGACTTCAAATTTTACTGAAACCCCTTACTACATGAAGTTATATGATAATAGTAATATTTTGACCCACATCTATTACATGTGTAAATAACTAACAGCCTCTCTAGAAAAATTGGCAGCAAATCAATTCTATCACATTGTGTTAACAGTTGCCAAGTGTTTCTCACCGCGGGGTTCAGCTGGCTGCCCTGTTCATGTCTGGTGTGGAAACTGCTGTTTTTGCCAATGATGTATGTGGATCACCTATACCCTGGAATGTTTGCGCACCCTGGCATTTCTTTGATGGCAAGCTCTTCCACTACAAGTTACTTAAGGCCAACGAAAACTTGCCTTTGATAGACATCTGTGATGGGCAGGTAATAATAACATGTTATTTATATTGCGCCCAATATCATGAACGAAATCACTCGAAGGCATTCTACAGTAGATGTATACACTTATTCTAGAGTTTAGCAAGCATCTATAAAAATATAATGTACTATAATGTCAAATTGAAGGGAAAGCTTTGTTGGCGTTAATTTTAATGCATGGAGTAATATACCAATGTATGTATCGTAACAGAATTATTTTCAAAAAGTGCATATCGTCGCTTCCTTTAGAGGAGACATCCACAATTTTCATATGTAGATATCCTTTGCCTGACTATTGTAAATATTCAAGAATAGTACACACATTTTAGGGGAAAATTATATAAAAACTAAATTTGATATCAAAAAAATGAAATTTCCCTAAAAAAAGTTCCTATATATTATATTTGAGTGTGCACAATTGCTTTGATGGCAAAATTCAATTTGGCCGTTTCTCTGGTAGATTGATCAGGTTAGGCAGGTTGAAAGGATGCGCCAGGCCATCATGGAGGACTTGAATGTAGAATTCCCCCGCCCACACCTATCCACCGCCGCGCTGTATTCACAGTACCCACAGGGCCCATACCAGCCGTTTGGCTACCAGTCAGGAGGGCATGGCCAAGGAATACTTCCCCATCCTTTCCAAAGGGGTATGCGACCACCAGCTCCGGGCATTCCTGCTGGCATGGGTGTGCCTCAGGCACCCCCAAAGCCACCAGGCAGAGGCCGTGGAATTCTAGGTAGGTCATGCAGTCTTCCTCAATTAATTAATTCTTTGCAGAGTGATACCTGTATATTTAACACATTTTAAGTCTTTCAATGATTTATTTTGGTCTTATTGATAATTTAAGAAGATACAAAACATGTCATCATGTGACCATTTCCTGCATTTCATCTGATATAAATTGTAGATTTTGGATTCATGTCATTTCTGTTGGAACTTTTTCATGGCCTCTTTAAGCATCATTTCCTTTAATACCATTATTAATCACTTATGATAATACCAACAGACAGAAAGAAATCTTTTCTGTCCACTGATTTGAGTTTTGTTTACATATACTACTATATATCCTTTTTGATTTGATGGCACTGCTTTATTACAAAATAAAAGCGATTGATAGTTAAATCAATTATAATAATGATTATTTCATTCTTTCACAATTGTTTCAGGACTCCAAAATAATGGTAAAATTGTTTTGTTGCAAATAAAGCGTGCCGTGTTAAATTCACTCTTTAGTGAAATATTATTTCTATAACATGACACGTCTTTTACTTCTGTTTGTTTCCTACTATTTTGTTGTACTCATTAATAGTTTCGTGTTTCCTGTTGAGTTTGATGTCTTTTAATAGCTGTATGCTATAACAATAACTCGATATGTACTTTCATCTTCATTAACCATTCTGTTCTTGCCAAAAAAAATGATTTTTTTATTTTTTTTTGACAAGTTTTTATAGAAATGTCATTATACATTTGTTAATTCTGAACTATATCTGTGCTTTGTTGCCATCATTTTACAATTTTCTTCTTTTTCTGTCTAATAATTTCCAACTTTGATCTATTACCTTCTTTTCTTATTTGTCACGCATGTTTCATGTATCTATTAAACTTCCTTGAAATATGAAATTAACATCATAAATGAAAGCAATATATTTTATCAATGGGTCACCTGTAGTTGTAATTTACCGATGTTATGTACAAATGTGGGGTGAGAATATTCTACTTTGAATTCGAGAGATATATTGAATTTCAGCTTGCTGATATGTAGTTCAGATGTCACTGCTGGAATTATCTTGTTTCAGGCCGTTCTCCTGTTGATACTCGTGGGGGACAGTTAGAGATAGCTGGAGTGGTTGTTGGAAGTTGGGGAGCAAACCTGTCCGGTGGCCGGGGTAACAGTGGCAGTGGTGGTGGCGGCAGCAATCGTGGAGGACGCGGCATGGGCCAGAGGGTCATGGCTGTTGGAAACCAGCGCAGAGGCTACCCCAAGTATGTCTCTACAATTGTTAGGGGAGGGGAGGGCACATTAGAGATGCAGGCGCCTTACAATAATTAGTGTCTGTCTGTCCATACTTAGGATCTTGGCATATTTTTCTGAAATTTTATATGTGCAGTATGAGTTTTAAATATAGGACAAAGTCACCGATAATAAAATTAGAAAGCAGGTATACTGTCAAAAATACATTGAATTGTTCTTTCTGACCCAGTGTTGTTTTTGGTGGTACATAATACTGGTCGGATATCCTCCATGTAATTGGAAGCCCAAAAAAAAAGATGGATACCAATCAAGATGCCCGATACAAAAAATATAAGATGAGTGTTCTGTCTATACTGTCAAAACCACATTTTGGTCCCTTTCTGACTTTATTCCGAAATCCAGGATGACCACCCTTCAATAATTGGATGAGATGCATATGGCTAGAGATTTTGTTCTGTTGATACCATTTTGTTTGAACTTAGTGGTAAATGATGCTCAGTGGATTATCTACATGACTATTAAGAACATATTAATTAATGAATCACATCAAACAAGATAGACTGTTTGGCGAGATCTTGCAGGTTATAACTTTTGTCTTGCTAGTTTGATTCTGTTCATATTTGGAGGTAACTCATATTTGTCAGATCATAGTACATACTGATCAATTATGGTCAGGCAGACGGCAGGGCATTTGCTTTTGAATGTTCCACTTATGTCTTACATATGATGCATTTGAAAATTAAGATTTAAAATGTGCTTCTTTATTGTAGTTTTCATCTTTATAAATGCTTTACTAAATATATATCTAAATCGAAATAAGGAAAACTAGAAATTTTACAGAATATGAATTTTCAATTTTAACACCTTTTTTTTTGCTTTTCAGTGGTGGGATGGGCATGCGCAATGACTTCAACATGAGAGGAGCTCCAATGGGAATGCGCGGCGGAATGGGCATGCGCGGAGGAATGGGAATGCGAGGTGGAATGGGGATGAGAGGTGGCATGGGGATGAGAGGTGGCATGGGGATGCGAGGTGGAATGGGCATGCGCCTTGGAATGGGCATGCGATCACCGATGGGCCTGGGAGGACGAGGTACTGGTATGATGTATCGTGGAGGAGCAGGAATGAGCAGGCCTTTCAGGGGACGAATGGGGCCAGCATTCTATGGAGTGAGTCGAGGGATGAGATTACCGGTATGTTGAAAGGGAGATAATCCTACTTAAGAAAAGACAATAGAATCAAATTTCATTTATTAGCTCACCTGCCCGAAGGGCAAGTGAGCTTATGCCATGGCGCAGCGTCCGTCGTCCATCGTCGGCATCCGGCACCAAAGAGGATTTCAAACAAATTTAGGGGAGAACAATCATTTCTTAAATAAATGAGGTTGGTTCGAACCCTGGGGTCAGGGGGGCAGGACCCTGAAGGGGAACTTAGCTAAATTGACTTTAAAACTCATCTCCTCTGAAACACCAGAGAGGATTTCAACCAAATTTAGTCTGAATCATCACTAGGGGAGGGCAATCACTCTTAAATAAATGAGGTTGGTTCGACCCCTGAGGCCATGGGGGCAGGGCCCTGAAGGGGAATTTAGCTAAATTGGCTTTAAAATGCATCTCCTCCTAAACACCAGAGAAGATTTCAACCAAATTTGCTCTGAAACTTTATTGGGGGAGGGAAATCATTTCCTAAATAAATGAGACTTGTTCGACACCTGGGGCTAGAAGGACTGGGCCCCAAACAGGAAAATGATCTTATATTTTGCTTTAAGACGCTAATACCCCATAATTGCCTGAGTGGATTGTACAAAATTTGGTCAAAAACATTATTGAGGAAGAACAAACATTTCTTAATTGAATGATGTTGATTGGACCCCTGCGGTCCTAAGAAATGGTACAGCTAGATTATCTTATTCTATGGTGTAGTTTTCAGAAATTGTTAAAAATTGGTTTCTAGGTTTATAAAAGCTTATATTATAGTTGATTGATAATTAAAGTATTGTCTACTTACACCCTGTAATATGACATATTACTTATTTCAAAATCTGTTAATATGGCAACTCAATGGAGGCCCTTGATTAGTCGAAAGTCAGATATTGTGGTCCCAGTTGGGTTAGAACATAGTTCTTGTCTGGTTTTGAGGAGATTTTATATAAAGATTTACCATTGTATTCAGTTGTAATGACTTAAATATAAAACCAGGTGAGCGATACAGGTCCAATGGACCTCTTGTCTTATATATTACACTCAAATTTTATTTATAATCTTTATTTTGTGGCTAGCTAGTGAACCGCTTGTTGAAGTAATAAAGCATTGATTCCTTTTCTTTTGTCACAATTCCTGTATTAGTCTCCTAAAATAATGGAATAACTTCTGCTGCTTCCAAAAGATATTCTGGTAGAGGTCAACTTAGTTTTAGTTGTGACTAATGTACGATCATGCCTGAACAAATTGTTGTAACATATAAACCTGTATGCCTGTAGGAGCGTGGGTATAGCAGAGGGCGAGGTGTTGTTAGAGGCGTAAGACGTCCACAAGTTCAAGTTCGCCCAAGGCCATCCAAACCAAAGTCAGGAAAGAGCTCTGGAGGCAAGGGTCGTGGAACCACAGTTGAAGCTATAAGGTGAGTTACAATCTTGGAGAATAACAGACAGCCATATTTGTCTTCTGACTCTTAGTATGCACAACAGTTACAGATTGTTTTTAAAACTTTTTAAAATTTATATCTTATTAATATGATTTCAGAGATTTACATGAGTTTTCCGAAGTCAATTTCATGTCGAATCTCAAACTTGATCTTCATGTAGTGTTTGGTTGTCTTGTTTCCAGATGAGATATTTAAGTGCAGATAAATATAAATAAAAATGGTTATTGAGATATCTGAATTCTTCATAGTATTGTTAGACTTATCTGAATTCTTCATTACATTGTTAGACCTTTGTATCAAATGTTTTATGGTCTCAATACATGCTTAATTTCCCAAGCTGTGTAGGAGTGAACAACTTTTTCATCTAACTTATTCAGGTATTCTGTCTTGTTTAAAAATCAGTATTTATTTTTCAGCGGGAAAAGTGATGCAATTGTGAATGGCGATGAGGAAGAGGAGGAGGAGGAAGAAGAAGATGATGATGACACTGAAGAACAATCTGGAGAAATGTTTGCAGATGCAGAAGAAGGCAATATTTCCCCAATCGGAAAGGGAATAATTCAAGACGGCATTCACAGCCCTGACAGCGGTATCCATGGAGATAAGTCTGTCACTGATGTCACTGCCTAGACCACCTACAGAATTAACCTGGCCTCCCTATACAAAACATGAGACTCTTCCTGTTTTATTCTTAATGGAGGTGGTGTTGCTATGATACTATTTAAATCCAGCAAAAGCTTTATAAGGAACACATTTGTTATTGTCTTTCCAAAAGACGACACAGCAATGCCACTTCCAGCAAGCATGGTGCCGGGTAGGTTGACTCCAATCTCTAATATATTTTTCAGTTTTTCTATTGTTTTTGTTACTATTTTTCTCTTTATACATTGTTTATACAGATTGGCCAACCTACCCCCAAATATTTTGGATGCAGTAGAGGACACCACAAGGATAAACTTCCCGTGGTGTCCTGCCTTGCTGCTTCTCTGTTCTCCCTCTTGAGAGCCCTCATCAGGCGTGTCTGCCGAGATGGACCAGTAGATTGCCTGATAGTTGCCTGGTGTACATACTGACTCAAGGGATGGCTTTTATCTCTGTTTGTTACTGCACATATGTATTGCCATGCCAGGGGCTCTGGTGGGGAGAACCACCTAATTTTGGAAAACCTAAAATCACGAAGAACAAACTAGAAAATTTACTCGATATCTAAATGATTTCAGCTTCTCCAATTTCAGGATTTATTGTTGAATTTCATGGTATTTCACCACTTTTGTGGTGCAAGTGCCTCGTTGCATTTATATTTTGTCTGGCTGTCTTTTGACGCCGGTCCATAAGTTTGTCGAAGTTGTCTGATAGCGATTGCCAGATGGTTGCAGACGAACAGACAGACCAATGGAAAGTCTGAACATGTAAGAAGGACACTGCAACAGGGAAACAAGCAGCTGAATGTGTGTCAAGTCATGGTTACAATGGAGAAGAAGTGGATTATTATTTTTGAATGCATTTTATACAGAGAAAAGTATTATTTTTGTACATTTCATATTTGTTTTTTGTACAACATGGACAGTGAGAGTTTTCTTGTGGAACAAATTGAGAGTAAAAGGAGTATAAGATCATGTCAACTTAAAATTGGGCTCATTCAAATTAAGAAGGATGTTTTCGGCCTATATGGCTCTGATCAGTCTCTGCTAGTCGTTATTTCTTGCTTTATTGTTGCAAGATTAAACAGACATGTTGTCGGCCTCGGTAAATAAAAACTTAAATTTGAGGGAAGGGGGGTGTAAACGGATGTATTTAGTAAAGATAGGGAATAAAAATGTTTAATCCAATGAAAGAATACTGATTCTGTCATTGCTATAGATACACAAGTGGTGACGCGGTAAGGCATGGTTGCTCCCAAAGCTACCTATATAATACCGCTGTGAGGTACTCACGGCCTACTTGTATACTGACATGGTTAAAAAAAAAATATTTTGGGGAAAATGTTTTATGAGGAATAACTGACAATTGTCTATTTAATCTTGCCGTAACATTTGTCTGTGCTATTGTCACAATGTGTTGTAAGTTGTGTATCCATTATCCAGCTTGATGTTCGATTTCCCAATCTTTGTAACCATGCTGCCCACCCTTAAACAAAAGTCGAAAAAAAAATACATTTATAAACACTTCAAATTTCAGTTTTCATATTCTGACTTCTAGGGTCACAATGTGACACTTCGGTATATCTTTAACAGATGCATGTATGCAATCTTGCAGTGCTTTTATGTTTTAAGTGCTTTGTAACATTAAGAGCTCCAAACCCATCCAATTTCCGGATGTAGCTGTTCAGCACTAGTTGATTGTTGACACTCATAATTTCCCTTAATGTATAATTAACTTAAATTATACATATAACCAAACTTTTCCTTCCTTTTTTCTCAGAATAAGAAATGCGAAAAATATCCGTTTGCTATGAATGTAGAGATCCTTTCCTTTACAACTGTGATATTTGGTGTAATTGAGTTATATATTTTTTGTACTTTTGTAAATGTGTGAAGTGATTGGTCATTGTCAAAAGGTTAGAAATGTAACAAGCTATGGTCGAAACCCCACGTAAAAACATCCTCACCTAGCTGTTAGTTATTATAGTATGTACTCCAGAACGTACTGGGATTGGGATATGGGGTGGATTTTAAGTTGCCAGGAACTCATAAAAAACATTCAGACTAGCTTGGTTTGCCTGTTACCAGTTGAACTACAAGACAGATTCGTGTAAGGAATGTATAAGGAAATATTGTTCACTTAAATATAATGAATAAAAAATGTTTTCAGAGACATATTATTGAACCCTCCCTCCCCTCAGGTAGGCTGTCGGGCAGACTATCCCCCTAGGTAGCTAGTCTGACGAACTAAACCTCCAGAAATCTATATAGATGTCAGGGGAAGTAGGCTGTTCATCATAGGAATGGCAATTGATACTTTAATGTAACCAAACTAAAGCCATTTTATAGAATTGACGATTAAAGAATATTGATACCATTTCTGCCAAGAACAAAAGACCAGCCTGAGAATATCTTGTAGGTAGGAATTAAAAAAAACTTGACATGAACATACATTTGAATGTCATGTGAAGGTCTTCTCGGTAAAGAAAAATAAATTCTTATGAACATTGATTTGAACGTTATGAAAGGTCAACTCGAGAAAAAGCTATAGGTCACTACTGGGTGTTAAACGAGATGATTTTCAGACACCCTTTCGACAAAAATCTTAATTATTGGACCGACTCATTGGGTCAGGACCAGCCTAGATGACACAGAGAAACAAACTAAATGATACCTCTTAAGTAAAATTGAAGTGTTTGACTTAATTGTTCAAAAAGTTTCCAACTTGAATGGTTAAAATGTATATGTTTATATGTTGCTATATTACATATACATGGACTTATAGAGGTAGGAGTCAGACTCTATTTATGACAATATGATGAAGAAAAGAAAGCCAAAACAGCAGGTTCCAGTAGGACAAAGAGACCAGTGTGAAGCAAGTTGGTTTGCTGTTTAATTCACAAACGACAACAAAGCCAGGCTGATCACATGGTCTTTTATTTTGGCTCATGAGTCGACAAAATGGAAGACTCCTCTAGATGGAGCTAATGACTTGGAAAACGAGTCTTGTAAAAAATTTATATAGGGACACTTTTTGAAACAAAAAGAAAATGGAAAATCATTTGTCCCATATGATTGATTGTAATGTTTTAATTTTTTCTTATTATTCTTATTAAATAGAATTAAATGAAATTATACACATATTATCAGACTGTATTAAAATGCTATTATTAACTGTGGTGAATTAGATCAATTTAGTAGTAATTGTGAAAAATGCTTGTACTGCATATACATTTTAATGTAAGAAGCTGGTAATTTGGAGCACAAATCCGATTGGGGGGGACTATAACCTAAAAATAAATATAACTGGTAGAAATGGGATCGTCATACATCTGGTAGATATTAAGGAATATTTTCCAATTAGAAGTAAATGTGTCTATTTTTATATTTGAATCAGGATCATGATAAAATTCTCTTTATGATTTTTTTACGAAAACAGGGGCTCTCAATTACTTGCTTCACTAAATATATAAATACAATTTCGTTTGTGTGTTGAAACTGAATAGCCTTTGAAGCTTGCTTTGTTTTTTAATCCAATTGAGATGTTAAGGAAACGTTACGACGTCATTGCACAGTTTAATCCCTATAACATATAGGTTGTAAACAGAATTTTCTGTCACTTAGTCAATATTTACTTTTTACTTTAACCTTTATATTCACCTCCACTTTTCATTAAATTATCCATGGTTGTTTCCTATTGCCCCAGATTTGAAAATATGAATGTTTCAAATTTCATCTCTTGAGAGTGGCTTTTGTGGTTCAACCTTGTGAGTTATAATCAACTTGAATGAAATTTTTCCGGCTTCGGAGGCCATTTTACGTTAGGTACTAAAAACTTGCATGGGAATTTGCTTGACATGGTGAAGTTTTCTAACATAGACAATTTATTTATAGAGAGAAAAAAATGAACAAAAAAACAAATGTTACAGTCTAAAACAATGTTGACATGTTTCCTTTATATATATATGGGTGCATTATTATAAATAGTTCAAAGGATGATTTTTAAGACATTGTTTTTTCTGCTTCTAGCACAATAAGTCCAGAAATTGCTTGCATCTTATCGTACTTATAGTTATCGACAATGTTTATAAATAGTGTAATTCTTGTTTTTTCCGAAGGCTCACTAAATGGCCTTTTTACTATGTATGAATACATTTTGACTAATTTTTTCAGCATGTTAGATAGAAAAGACAATTCTGGAGATGTAACCCTGTAATAGACATGTATTATAGATAAAAGTGTATCCCTGTTGATCAACAAGACTGTGGCAACATGTTCACCACAGGGCAAGCCTAACTTCATAAGCTGATAGGGTTATTGTAATGAAACAGGTTATCACTGGTTATATATAGAAGCCATACAATATGGGGAATATTTTGGGTATACTACAGAATGTTAAGTAAGATGGTTTCCACTTCTGCCCCTGGCGGTTTCCTGATTTGTGGAGGAACGTCGACAGTGAGGCTGTTGGTGAATAGCCCAGGCATTATTGACAATGGTATGGACTGTCATGTTTTTTTCAAGTAAATGTTGTTTTTGTGGATGTGTGTTTTTGTTTTCTTTTTAGCCCACCGTCATCTAATGGTGGGCTATTCAAATCACCCTGCGTCCGTGGTCCGTCAGTCCGCTGTCCGTTGTCCGTCCTTAAACAATTCATTCATTTTTCTCCATGCCCTAAATACATCAATCCAAAATAGATTTTTAGTTTTATTTTGACATTTTGAAATATAATCAGTTCCACAATTTGCCAGAATGTTTTTATCACAATATGATTTTAAAATCACTTGCCATTTACCAGAATTCATATATAACCTCCTAACCACGTTCAAATTAACGAGTCGATAAACGACTGTACACGTAACATTTTAAGACCCCCTTTTATATAATCTTTAACAATGACATCTCTTAGCTTTATCTACTTTACTATTCCATAGAAAATTAGAAAGCTCTATATTTAATTTGTTAAGAAAACAATCATCTGGATTAGGTAAAGAGATAAAAAGGTGATTGAATTGTGAAATTAATAATGATTTTATGATATGTATCCTACCAATAGGAGTCGATAATCTTTTCCAGGTTATAATCAAAGTTTTGAGTTTTACAACTTTCTTATCATAATTCAATTTTGTTATCTTATGTAAATCTACATTAAACTCAATACCTAAAAGTGTAAATTTCCTATCCCCCCACTGCAAATTCAATTCAGGATAAAGAATTTCATCACTGAATTTTTTACTACCTATCCAAATAACGTGTGTTTTTTCTATGTTTATTTTAAGTACAAATACTCCAAACATTTGCAAAACTTTTCAATTCTTTAATTGCCTCTTTTAATGAATTTTTGTGCCATCTAAAATCAATGTAATGTCATCAGCATACTGGGAAAGTAAAAGCGGGCAATTGTCAATATTAATACCATTTATATGTTTATTATTTCTCGGTCTTACAGCTAAAATTTCAGCGCATAATATGAATATATATGGAGCTATTGGATCCCCTTGAAAGTTTAATTCATTATGAATAATGAAATGTATATGTTATTGTAATGTGAAAAATTCTTTGAAAATAACAAATAAAATTAAAAAAATCTCAGGAACAACTTGAGGGATCTGTCTCAAATTTGATATGTAGGTTACCCTTGATCCCTCGTTGTGCATGTTATATTTTGAGACTGATCATAAAAACAAAATGGCTAAAGGAAGAACTAAACAAATCTTGGACTGATCAATTCTATTTCTTTCACATAAGTACTGTACTAGTAACTAGTACTATGTGAAATGACAAACTCACTTTGAAGGTTGTCTTTTATACACAGCAGTATTTAGTTGAGATCAAAAGTTACCTCAAGGTGCATTTACTGTTAACATGACTCGATCAAACAGATTAGAGAAAAGAAGAGAAAATATCGCACTGACAAAGAACTCATAAAGATGGTACAATGGTGGGCGCCAAGATCCCTCTGTGATCTCTTGTTTAAATGCTTATCAGTTTGATTGGAGGAAGATGAAAACCAGGCAGACATCTAAAATTTGACTTGAAATTATTTATATTTTTTGGAAAGTTTATTACGTGTCTTTCTCAATTTCATAAGTAGGTTCTTGTTCCCTAGTGTTGTTTATATTTCATTTCAAGCTTAAAGCTGCTTGATAAGAGAAAAAATATGACTGCCAAAATCCGAAATCTCTCTTGGTCTATTTTACTGCCAAAATCCGAAATCTCTCATGGACTGTCAAAATCCGAAATCTCTCTTGGTCTAATTTACTATAGCAGTAAATAGGTCAGAAATCTCCCTTGGTCTAATTTACTTTAGCAGTAAATAGGTCAGAAATCTCTCTTGGTCCATTTTACTGTAGCGCTAAATATAAATAGGTCAGAAATCTCGATTGATCTATTTTACTATAGCAGTAAATAGGTCATCTCTCGGTCTATTTTACTGTATCAGTAAATAGGTCAGAAATCTCTTGGTCTATTTTACTGTAGCAGTAAATACGTCAGAAATCCCTCTTGATCAATTTTACTGTAGCAGGAAATAGGTCAGAAATCTCTTGGTCTATTTTACTGTAGCAGTAAATACATCAGAAATCCCTCTTGGTCAATTTTACTGTAGCAGGAAATAGGTCAGAAATCTCTCGGTCCATTTTACTGTAGCGCTAAATAGGTCAGAAATCTCTCTTGGTCCATTTTATTATAGCAGGAAATAGGTCATCTCTCTTGGTCTATTTTACTGTATCAGTAAATAGGTAAGAAATCCCTCTTGGTCCATTTTACTGTAGCGCTAAATAGGTCAGAAATCTCTCTTGGTCCATTTTACTGTAGCAGGAAATAGGTCAGAAATCTCTCGGTCTATTTTACTGTATCAGTAAATAGGTCAGAAATCCCTCTTGGTCCATTTTACTGTTGCACTAAATAGGTCAGAAATCTCTTGGTCCATTTTACTGTATCAGTAAATAGGTCAGAAATCTCTTGGTCTATTTTACTGTATCAGTAAATAGGTAAGAAATCTCTTGGTCTATTTTACTGTATCAGTAAATAGGTCAGAAATCCCTCTTGGTCCATTTTACTGTATCAGTAAATAGGTCAGAAATCTCTCTTGGTCAATTTTACTGTATTAGTAAGTAGGTCAGAAATCTCTTGGTCAATTTTACTGTATCAGTAAATATGTCAGAAATCTCACTTGGAACATTTTACTGTAGCAGTAAAAAGGTCAGAAATTTCTCTTGGTCTATTTTACTGTATAAGTAAATAGGTCAGAAATCCCTCTTTGTCCATTTTACTGTAGCGCTAAATAGGTCTGAAATCTCTCTTGGTCCATTTTGCTATAGCACTAAATAGGTCAGAAATTTCTCTTGGTCTATTTTACTGTAGCATTAAATGGGTCAGAAATCCCTCTTGGTCAATTTTATTGTAGCAGGAAATAGGTCAGAAATCTCTCGGTCTATTTTTCTATAGCACTAAATAGGTCAGAAATGTCTCTTGATCTATTTTACTATAGCACTAAATAGGTCATCTCTCTTGGTGTATTTTCCTGTAGCAGTAAATAGGTCAGAAATCACTCTTGATCTATTTTACTGTAGCAGTAAAAAGGTCAGAAATCTCTCTTGGTACATTTTACTGTAGCAGTAAATATGTACCAAATCTCCCTTGGTCCATTTTACTGTAGCAGTAAATAGATCAGAAATCCCTCTTGGTCTATTTTACTATAGCACTAAATAGGTCATCTCTCTTGGTGTATTTTACTGTAGCAGTAAATCGGTCAGAAATCTCTCTTGGTTTGTTTTACTGTAGCACTAAATAGGGCAGAAATCTCTCGGTCTATTTTTCTATAGCCCTAAATAGGTCAGAAATCTCTTGGACAATTTTACTGTAGCAGGAAATAGGTTAGAAATCCATCTTGGTCAATTTTATTGTAGCAGTAAATAGGTCAGAACTCTCTCTTGATCTATTTTACTGTAGCAGTAAAAAGGTCAGAAATTTCTCTTGGTCTATTTTACTGTATCAGTTAATAGGTCAGAAATCCCTCTTGGTCAATTTTACTGTAGCAGGAAATAGGTCAGAAATCTCTCTTTGTCTATTTTACTGTAGCAGTAAAAAGGTCAGAAATTTCTCTTGGTCTATTTTATTGTAGCAGTAAATAGGTCAGAACTCTCTCTTGATCTATTTTACTGTAGCAGTAAATCGGTCAGAAATCTCTCTTGGTTTGTTTTACTGTAGCACTAAATAGGGCAGAAATCTCTCGGTCTATTTTACTATAGCAGTAAATAGGTCACCTCTCTTGGTCTATTTTACTGTAGCATTAAATGGGTCAGAAATCCCTCTTGGTCCATTTTACTGTACCAGTAAATATGTCAGAAATCTCACTTGGAACATTTTACTGTATCAGTAAATATGTCAGAAATCTCTCTTGGTCAATTTTACTGTAGCAGGAAATAGGTCAAAAATCTCATGGTCCATTTTACTGTAGCAGGAAATAGGTTAGAAATCCATCTTGGTCAATTTTATTGTAGCAGTAAATAGGTATCTCTCTTGGTCTATTTTGCTGTAGAAGTAAATAGGTCAGAAATCTCTCTTTGTCTATTTTACTGTAGCAGTAAAAAGGTCAGAAATCTCTCTTGGTCAATTTTACTGTAGCAGGAAATAGGTCAAAAATCTCATGGTCCATTTTACTAGAGCACTAAATAGGTCAGAAATCTCATGGTCCATTTTACTAGAGCACTAAATAGGTCAGAAATCTCTCTTAGTCTATTTTACTGTAGCAGTAAAAAGGTCAGAAATCTCTCTTGGTTTGTTTTACTGTAGCACTAAATAGGGCAGAAATCTCTCGGTCTATTTTTCTATAGCCCTAAATAGGTCAGAAATCTCTTGGTCAATTTTACTGTTGCAGGAAATAGGTCAGAAATCCCTCTTTGTCCATTTTACTGTAGCGCTAAATAGGTCTGAAATCTCTCTTGGTCCATTTCACTGTAGCAGTAAATATGTCAGAAATCTCTCTTGGTCAATTTTACTGTTGCAGGAAATAGGTCAGAAATCCCTCTTTGTCCATTTTACTGTAGCGCTAAATAGGTCAGAAATCTCTCATGGTCCATTTTACTATAGCACTAAATAGTTCATTTCTCTTTGTCTATTTTACTGTAGCAGTAAATACATCAGAAATCCCTCTTGGTCAATTTTATTGTAGCAGTAAATAGGTTTCTCTCTTTGTCTATTTTGCTGTAGCAGTAACTAGGTCAGAAATCTCTCTTGGTTTGTTTTACTGTAGCACTAAATAGGTCAGACATCTCTCGGTCTATTTTTCTATAGCCCTAAATAGGTCAGAAATCTCTTGGTCTATTTTACTGTATCATTAAATAGGTCAGAAATCCCTCTTTGTCCATTTTACTGTAGCGCTAAATAGGTCTGAAATCTCTCTTGGTCCATTTTACTGTCGCAGTAAATATGTCAGAAATCTCTCTTGGTCCATCTTACTGTAGCAGTAAATATGTCAGAAATCTCACTTGGAACATTTTACTGTAGCAGTAAATAGATCAGAAATCCCTCTTGGTCTATTTTACTATAGAACTAAATAGGTCAGAAATGTCTCTTGATCTATTTTACTATAGCAGTAAATAGGTCACCTCTCTTGGTCTATTTTACTGTATAAGTAAATAGGTCAGAAATCCCTCTTGGTCAATTTTACTGTAGCAGGAAATAGGTCAAAAATCTCTCTTGGTAAATTTTACTGTAGCAGGAAATAGGTTAGAAATCCATCTTGGTCAATTTTATTGTAGCAGTAAATAGGAATCTCTCTTGGTATATTTTGCTGTAGCAGAAAATAGGTCAGAAATCTCTCTTAGTCTATTTTACTGTAGCAGTAAATCGGTCAGAAATCTCTCTTGGTTTGTTTTACTGTAGCACTAAATAGGTCAGACATCTCTCGGTCTATTTTTCTATAGCACTAAATAGGTCAGAAACCTCTTGATCTATTGTACTATAGCAGTAAATAGGTCAGAAATGCCTCTTGGTCAATTTTACTGTAGCAGGAAATAGGTTAGAAATCTCATGGTCCATTTTACTGTAGCACTAAATAGGTCAGAAATCTCTCGGTCTATTTTTCTATAGCACTAAATAGGTCAGAAATCTCTCTTGGTCCATTTTACTGTAGCAGTAAATAGGTCATCTTTATTGGTCTATTTTACTGTAGTAGTAAATAGGTCAGAAATCTCTCTTGGTCTATTTTACTGTAGCAGTAAATAGGTCATCTCTCTTGGTGGGTGCCAAGTTCCCTCCAGGACCTCTTGTTAAAGGTGACATTGACCAACACTAAGACAATACATATATGAAGACAGGTGGTGAACAAATTCAGCACAATATATAACAGTTCATTAGTTATTGCTGGAATGACTTGACTTGTGAAATTCTGTTTAATATTCTGAAGTAATTAGAAATTATAAACATATGAGCCACGAAGACAAATGTCATGAACAGTTCCACATTACAGGATATTGTAGGAACATTATGACGTCCACTCTCCATCCAGCCGGCGAGATCTGTACTGAACTGATGGATCAATATGTTTGGATGTCTATGCAGAAGTGCCGCTTTACAGGTACATGCATCGTCGGATACCCACGGTTGATTTCACGGTTGGTTGATTTCGCAACCGTGGGTAGTAGCCAGTTGAACAACTTATTCTGAATAGCCAAGACGTCTAGGGTCCCAATATCTGCCTGTGGCATGCTAAGATAAATTACCATGACTTTCAAGGTCATGGGTAACATTTCTAAAACATTTAAGCAGCTTCTAAGTATCCAAGATGCTTTGGGTCAACATATTTCAGGCGTGGCATTCTTTGAGTATTTGTATCATATCAGGTTGATTTTGTTTTTCAACCAAATTTACTCCTAGACAATGAGACAGCCAAAATCATAAAAATAATTGCAGTATTGTATTTAAAAATCATCATCATCAATCACCATCACTTAGTCGCACTACATTTATTTTGGAGAAAAAACAACACATTCGACAAATAGCACAATGTTAATTATTTTATTTAGAGATCCAGGAAAAAAGAAGTACGATTGTATAACAAACAAGCATTGAGTGACGTCAACACAATACCATTGAAATGGTATGCATGTAGCGGACGACAGCAACAATGCCGACATACTATGGTAGAGAGACTTGCAATATCATCATAACGACAACCTGTGCATATTTCCTTGTTTTTGATTAGTCGTTAAATAACAGCTTCATTACCAAACGTTACAAATCATATGCAACGCGTTAGCCAAGTTCGTAAGTGAGTCTCCAGATGACAGAGATAACAGATAAGTAGATCGAGTGGGTTGCAAAGTCATTTCATGTGCAATGCTTGATTTTAAAACGACTAGGATATCAAGGATGAGAACTTCTAGTAGCTTATCATCCTCGATATCCAGGGATTACGCTCAATTTCGCTCTCTGCACCCCTGGAAATTATATGTCATGAGCAAAATTGAAGGCGCGAAAGTGAGCGTAACCCCTGGATTTACTCAACAGTATGCGATGTAGGAGATACAGCTGCGCTGCTCCCTTATCGAAGTACCGACATCATATATAGTCATATATTGCAGAGTACGGACTTCAGGCGCGTAGCTGCTTATACGCTGGAAGCGTGGAATGTTCAAACGGAAAAAACACTGCTTGTTGCACCCCCTTGTCCCCGCCCTGGACCCGCTCCTAAATGAATCTACTCCGAGTAAGGGCTAGCTACGCCCCTGTACTTTGCGAGTTGTCAATTGTCACAATTAGCCTCACATTAACTATAATGCACATGCATGTTAGTTGACAGATTTTATGTATAATCTAAATATTAAATATGACTGAATACCCTTTCCTATGCCTCTAATTCTTCTCTCACTAACGATAGGAGATCTTAATTAACTGCCTAGATATGTACTGCTCATCTCCGTAGCGCAACACTATGTAGGAAAGGCGGGATGGGCATCGGGTGTATTAGCTTAGTTGCTTCCGTATTCTACGTGTAACTTTATGACATGATCACTGAAATATGAATTTGTGATTAAAGGAATCAAGGCTAAATTACGTATGAACAAACTAAGACCATAATTTAAAAGAGCAGGAAAAAAATCTGTATACCTTAGATTTAAAGAACAGTGCAAGAACTTCAGAGCAAGTCTGTGCAATAACACTTGTTGACCGTGGAGGCAAGATTGTCAGTCAGTACGTTTTTGTCAGGTTTTATACTGTAACGCAATGACGCTGTTATCTGATTGTGACGTCACAAAAAGTTAAGGACGCTGCATGCACTGATGTGGGATTACAAGACTATTTCATGCCCATGGGAGTAGGATAGGGAAAATATTACCCACTGGTTTTCAAATCGGGTGATACACGACTGAAGTTTGACGAGGGGTTTGCACCCATTTGAAAATCCTGAGGTGTAATTCCCAATTTACATCCCTGAAGATTTTAAAAGAGTATAAATTATGTCTCATTCAAAACCCAAGAATAATGACAAAAGTTTCCGCATCCAGTAATCAGGGATTTTTTTTTTTTTTTTTCATTATCACATTTTACTAGTAAAAAAATAATCTTTCCCTGACCAGAAGTGTGAATATGTATGTATGTCTAAATAGGGGGCAAAGAATTCGTTCATAACCGCCATTAAATCACCAAATTTGTTACACTTATCACAGTTGAAATTTGGCCTCGCTTTCTCTTTATATAGAGTTATGGCCCTTTGATCAATGTTGACATATTTTCTGTAATACAAAGTTTTGAAAAGGGGCATGATTACTAGAAATGTCATTATGAGACAGTTTATGAATTTGTAAGATCAAGGATGTACATAATAGTGTAGTCATTTTTTGAAGAGGGTCCCTAATAACCATTACGTAGCAAAACTTAGGCCTTAGATTGTGTAAGCTTACTGTTGTATAAAATTAGTTATTTCACGGACTTAGATAACTAATCTAATCTAATTCCGTGGTTATTTTAAAATTTGAAATACAAATGTTTCAAGCCATAAATGCGTATTTCTGTTACTACAGTAAATAAACATTAACAGTCTAAAGACCACACAATCATTCGATCTGACTAGGAGTCACGTTCACAAGTGGGCTGCCATGTTGGAAAATAGAACTGAGGCAAGGAAGGAAAGATGACGTCATGGGTCACGCGACTACGCCATTTTGCAGTAGGTGTCATATGCAGAGCACAGGTACTAGCATTGCACGGAGAATATCTGTCAGCTGTCACTTATTGAGGAAAGGTATTGTATTTTCTCGTATTGAAATTGGATTTTAAGTACATTATTGATGTTTAGATTGTTAAAAGTCGAAAAATGATACATGATTTTGACTATAAATCGAATATATTCAGCACAACTGACGTTCTGTTTCATGGTCCATCTTGTGACTCGTTTCTGCTATGTGCGTTTCAATCTTGATTCAATTAGTAAATTAGAGACTCTTGACGTTAGTTATATTAGCTTTTGCTTCATTAAACATGTAAACAAGGATTAAAATGTAAAAGCAAGTATGTCGATGTTGAAAAGTACTACAGTCCTATATATTTTGCCTCCCATTTTAGGGAGGGTCACCATAGTTGCCCATTAGTTGTCAACTCAATATTTACAGTACAGCTCGCTTCAGTAATTCCTGTGTGAAGTTTTGATACTCGTAAAATTATAAAATTAATTATTTTATTTGCCATACAACTGTGTCTTGCCGCGAGTAGCCATGCCATGATCCAAATAAATATATATGACTGATGGTCACATTGACGTGTCTGAAGATAAAAAAAAAAGTAGGCTACATAGAGTATATTGATGGTAAACAACATGTGTGGGTTGATCATGATGACTGGGGAACAAATGACACAAATGCTACAACCTGTTTGATATAGCCACACCCATTTGTTTTTGGTGTTCATAGTGTTACGATACACATTTAATACATTATTATTTTGTCTTTCCTTATCTTGTGATGTCAGAATGCCCTCTTTTTTGTTCCGTGTTGCATGGGTCGCATTGCTGGTCTGATATCATATCACAGTCACAAGAAAAATCTTTTTCATTGAGAGTTACACTGCGGGTAGTCATGTGACTACAATCACATTCACAAGATCTGGGACAAAATCTTTGTTGCTGATTACTCTAGCTTAACCTTACGTCAATTTAAATCATATCATACACCCTTATAATGTCATCATAGGAGGGAGGATATTATTCTTCTGAATCAGGTAGGCATTTTTTTTTTTTAACTACGTATACAAGAATCTTTGTCAGGGGTATGCGATAGGCTTTTCTTTGCAATACTGCCCATAGTTGGCAGTTGAATCAGTTGTGTCTACTCTGCTTACTATATTATTATTAGTATTAAATAAGATTTATTAATTTAAGCTGAAGTCACAAGTTTCTTACCACCAATATACAAGTAGTTAGGAGTTTTAGAAATAAAACCCTGTCTTCAGTTTTGTCATATTTTAGCAGTAACAAGGTTTTCATTTAAAGTGGTTAATTTGACTGAACACTGAAATATACATGGGTGTTTAAATTGATTATGCAAGAAAATATATGTTTCCATTCAAAACTTCAGTGCTTAACATTAAAAATTGTGTATTTATGAACAACAAATGATCATGATAAATAAGTAAAAAAAATGGTGGAAATAGAAAGTATAGGGCCAACTTTCATTGGGAATTGGCCTCCGGTAGGGACCCCATAAACATCTGTCCTGGCAATTATATATCCCTGATAATATTGATTAATATACAGCTGACTGGTGAAGTTGAATATTGTACAGAGTGGCTGATGATGAAAGTTTGCATGATTTTTTTTTGAAAATAAACTCTTACAGGATATATACGCGATGGACTCTTTTTCCCCACATCCCTTTGATATCTTTGATCTTTTGTTTACCACACTAATTCTATATTCAAAAACATTTCTGAAACTTTGGGGAAATTTTCAACTTATAGTAGATTTTATCAAAATTTTGTTGTGGACTGGTGTCATTAAAATGGAAATTATACACTGACATAATATCACTTCACAAATTACTCTTCAAACTTAATTTGAATATGCAGTGGAGTATTCATATTTTATCAATTTGTATATATATTATAGATATCTTACTAAGTTACTGTTTGTTTGATGTTACAGAAAATGTCGTCAAGAAAGAAGGTTTTGTTAAAGGTGATAATACTGGGAGACAGTGGGTAAGTTCAGCATTTCTTTCTATTTCTGTCGTGTATTGGAAAGACTTCACCTCAGTACTTACTATATGAGCTTTCAGGGTTCTGCTTCAGTTACCTGGTACATTTTGTGTTATGAAAGTGAAGGGTGAATTTGAAACTATGTTTGTCACACAACTATTGCATTATGGGATGAATACAATGATGTGATATTTTAATGACAGCTATTATGTATAATACATACAGTAAATGTCTTCAAAATGTGACTAGATTGTATTACATTGTTCAGCAGCTTGCTATTCTTCTTGGTAAAAATCTTCTGCATTAAATGTAATTCCTAATTCAAACAGTGTTTGACTGGTGTACAGTACCAAATATCAAGGAACTCAGACTTTACAATTGATTTTACAATTGAATGATACATAAAATGTAACAGGTCATGGAGGAGAATAACAACCTTTGTTAATTATTGGTGCTTTGATGTTTTCTTGGCCTTTAGTCCTTTAACTTGTATATAATAACACCTATTGAAACAACAGAATTGACACATTAGACATGAAATCCAATGTTGAAGACTATAGTGATAATAGTTAAGTGACAGTAGTAAAAGAAAATGTATTCATTTTACCTGCATAATATTATAATCAAATACATTTTAAGGGAAAGAGAATTTGTTTCCATTTTATGCAAGACTTTTATGTAGAACCTGACTGAAATGTCAACTTTTTCATAAATCTTAAGAAATAGGAACTATTATTACCTTTGCATAAAACTGAAGTCCACTTTCCTTGCAGTTCAGTAAGGCTCTATGCAAAGTTTGATACCAACTAGTTGTAGTTTCTGTAGTTGTTCTTTGGTATTGATAAAACATCAATTACCAGGTTTTTTTTGCTGAACTTTAGCAGGACACTGTAAAAGTAACATTTCTCCTAGAGGTGAAATTAAAAAAAAAAAGTGTATATTTAGGTTATACATCTGACAAAGATGTGTTGTAGTTATACAATATTTTAAGTGAAAGGGAATGCTATACAAACAAGGAAATTAACAAGTAGCCTAAACTTTAAACCCATTGATTAAAGGGTCAGTGAGTTATGAATTAATCATTTGTACATGTGATATTAATCCTTGTTGTCTTTCTGGATTACAGTGTGGGGAAAACATCACTTATGAACCAGTATGTAAACAAAAAGTTCAGTAACCAGTACAAGGCCACCATAGGAGCTGATTTTCTAACCAAGGAGGTGATGGTGGATGATAGACTTGTCACGATGCAGGTAAGACAACAGCTAATATTCGTAGATTATCACACTGTGTTAACAGGGTTTGTTCCGAGAACAATTTTCTCTTCGCGAGCACATGTACATGTATAATATTGAGAGGCCACTGCAGGTGGACAAGATATTATCCACATGCAAACGATGAGAAAATGTTTGAACGACAAACCCTGAAAACATTGTAATAAACTGTTTATCATCTATATACCATTACCTTGTATATTTCTCCATTCGTAAAAAGTCAACTAAATACTGTATCATCATCAAGATCCTTGGTCTGTGACAAACGACTGAATTTGCCAAATGTTTTTCCTGTTGGCTTTTCATGTTTCCTGTCATTAATTTCCTTTTCAATGTGTTCACACTTAGGATTTTAAATTTGCCTTACGTTATGATATAGGAGAACCATTTGTGATAGCGAAGTGTTGCATACTCAATAGGATCTAGCAGCCCTTTATATAGAGTTATGGCACTTGGTTCACAGTGACATTTTGTCTGGGGCATATCTCACAAACTCTGCTCACTACAGTTGCCAAATTTTGAACTTTTGTGAGTACATCTTGGAAATGTCTTGTACATGTACTGAAGTCATGCCACAGCATTTATATAGTAATGGTTTATATACAGCAAGCATTATCATCTTGGACACATCTTAAATACTGTCACCTACTATAAGGAAATTTTGTATGCAAGTACTGAGTAGTAAGTACCTAGTACTGAAATTGGGTCTCTTGCCCCACTATAAACAAAGTTGTGACCCTTTGTTCATTTTAATACTGATGTTAGTTTGGAGGTTGAGGGGGTGATGGGTTGCTAGCAGTACTTTGCCTTTTTGAATGATTATGTCCCAAGCATTCTTATTAGCTCACCGGGTCCGAAGGACCAAGGTGAGCTTCTGCCAAACCGTGGCGTCCATCGTCCGTCCGTCAACAATTTCTTTAAACGACTTCTGCTTCTTAACTACTGGTTGGAAGTTAACTAAATTTGACTGGAAGCATCCCTAGGTGGTGGGGATTCAAAATTGTACAAATGGTGGGGGTGCACCCCCAGGGGGCTGAGGGGCGGGGCAAAAAGGGGGCAATTTGGCTATATTGCTTTAAGCGACATCTCCTCTTGAACTATGCCATGGATATCAACCATATTTGACTGGAAGCAATCCTAGGTGGTGTGGATTCAAAATTGTACAAATGGTTGGGCTGACCCCCCAGGGGGCTGAGGGGCGGGGCCAAAAGGGGGCATTTTGGCTATATTGCTACAAACGACTAATTCTGTAGAACTATGCACTGGATATCAATCATATTTAATCAGAAGCATTCATGGGAGGCAGGGATTCAAAATTGTACAAATGGTGTGGCTGACCCCCGTGGCGGCTGAGGGGTGGGGCCAAAAAGGGTTATTTAGCTATATTACTTCGAGTGACTTCTTCTCTGGAACTAAGAGATAGATATCAACCATATTTGACTGGAAGCATCCCTAGGTGGTGGGGATTCAAAATTGTACAAATGGAAGGGGTGACCGCCCAGGGGGCTGTGGGCTGTGGGCTGGGCCAAAAGGGGGCAATTTGGCTATATTTCTATAAATGACTTCTTGGTTTAAACATATTTTTATTGCCTTGAAAATGACAAAAAGGATTGGGCACAAGTTCTTACAACTTAATTAAGCCCTCTCCTAACTTAAATACAGTTTACGTACATCATAGCTGTCTTAACATGTACATTTCATTTTTATTTTATTTTTTATTTTTTTAAATTTAAGTTGAATTATTAAAATAGGTTGTTGACGACTGTTTCTCTGTACCCCGACCTACTCATAGAGAATTAACCGAGGTTTTCACACAGATAAAGAAAATTCAATTCTTCGAACATGATGTATTGTTGTAATTAAGACTACTTACTAGAAGCGGTTTGTATCCTTAATGTACTTACATACATAGTTAAAGGTTTTACTGTTTTGTTCAAAAGTGAGATCATGATTACCCCAGAGAAGTGTGTTTATGTCTGTTAGGAGGATCTCTGGAAGATTTAAGTTCATAAGATTTCTTACCAGGTGATTTCTTACAGTTGAGTAATTTGGACATGTATAGAAATAGTGATGTACATTTTCTACTTCCCCACATAAACATAAAGGGTTATCACTGAGGTTAACTCTATAAATGTCATATTGAAGACTGCTGCATTTGTTCCTAAGTCTGGTGTGTAAAATTGTAAATTTTCTATCTCCTACTGTTAAAATTTTTGGAATAGAACTTCTTCCAGAGAACTATACCATGGATATTGATCATATTTGGTTGGCAGCATTCATGGGAGGCAGGGATTCAAAATTGTACAAATGGCCGGGCTGACTCCCCGGGCTAAGGGGTGGGGCCAAAAGAAATTATTACTTGGAAATGGTTGAGATCCCCACCATATAACCATATATACAATTGCTGAGTATAAAGAGAGGAATGCACATTTGCTTCCAGGATGGCCCTAGCGTCTGGCCCCACCCTTGCAGACATAACCCCTGGTTTATAACTTCGAAACGGTTGAGATCCCCAACCCAAAACTATATATACAAATGCTGGCCAAAAAGAGACAATTGCAGTCATGATATTATAATTGATCCAAGGGACCTAGTTTCTGAGTCACAGCTTGGAAACAGTTGAGATCCCCACCCCATAACCATACATAAAATTGCTGGACATAAAAAATCAAATACAGATATGCTACAAGGATTGGACTTGGGGGCTGGCATATTCCCTTGCATCTCATTTGGATAATATTTTGCCATGATTGCTTAAATATCCAGGTGAGCGATACAGGCCCTCTAGGCCTCTTGTATTACAGTAAGAAAAAAAGAAAAAAAGTAAACAAAGAAGCATCAACACCAAGGATTACGTTACGGAAGACGTTTTATTGTTGACATGTTTCAGTAGGCAAGGCCTACCGCCATCAGAACCAAAAGTGAAAGCTTAATTCTCCTCTGGTATGAGAGTAACTTATCTAATTTGTTAAACCCTATGCTGAATTTCCACAATTCAGGTGATGGCAGGCTGCTGGCAGCAATATATGTAAGGCAACTTGTGGTGTTTCAATGAATCAATAGTTTTGGCTGATACGTATTTGCTTCTCTTTTCAGATTTGGGATACAGCGGGTCAGGAAAGATTCCAGAGTTTGGGTGTGGCATTCTACAGAGGAGCAGATTGTTGTGTTTTAGTTTTTGATGTTACAATGCCAAATACATTTAGATCTCTGGACAGTTGGAGGGATGAATTTCTTATACAGGCTAGTCCACGTGACCCAGATAACTTCCCCTTTGTTGTAATAGGAAATAAAATTGACCTGGAAAATAGGGCGGTAAGTACATAATACTAGTACATGTATATATTAAATTTGAAAAGAGTCATTTTCTTGGATAATTTAATGAGTCTTAAAGATTTGAGCAAGTTATGAAAACATCTCAAAAATATTGCAAAATTTGTTATCCTACAGATATGTTGCATACAAAAATAAGAGACTAAGCAGTGTAAAAAAACAAACTGCATGAATAGGATCAAGAATATGTACACACCAGTCTCTGAAAGTATGTACAACACCTGTAATGCGGTGTTGATGTGTGAATTATATGTAGGTTTTCCTCATCTCTTTATTAGTGAGATGTTTTTTTTCTTTGCAGGTGACAGCAAAGCGAGCCCAGAGTTGGTGTAACACCAAGGGAGAAATTCCCTACTTCGAAACAAGTGCGAAAGAAGCCATAAACGTAGAGCAGGCTTTCCAGACAGTGGCCAAGAATGCCTTGGCACAGGAGAATGATGTTGAGCTGTACAATGAGTTTCCAGATCAAATCAAAATCACCAACGACCAGAACAAGCCTAAAGATGGCTGTGGATGCTAATAGAATTAGCTGTATAAGTGATTTGAAATGACAAAGACAATTTCAGCTTTTATAGTTGTGAATGTCTCAAACAATTCCAGCTGTGCGAATGGTACATTGATATCAGTCTGTGTCCAGTGCTTGATGTGTGATTGGAATGCTGGAACATTGACTCTTGTAATACTCTGCCAAGTTTGTGATGTCTAGATCCCACTCGTAGCAAATTTCACTAGCTAACTGACATGTTCAATAACAATTCTGTATCCTAAAATAGAAAGCATGTGTTCTGGTTGGATAACTATCTGTTACAAGAACCTTGAAAACCTTTTGTCTCTTCACAAATGGTTCAGAGTGCAGGAATTAACTTGAACATGTCATTTATAAGTTACTGAAACAGATGCCACTGGATCTAGGTCACAAGCACCTCCATAGGGATCAAACTTTAAATAGGTACTGAGTTGACATTTTGGAATGACATTCTATACTTCAATAACAAGGGGAGATATTTTTATTTATAGTGATTGCTATTTTGGCCATTATAGCAATAGAAGACGATGTATGTCTTCAGATGGCCATTACTGGTGTAAAATCCTATGATGGATAATCACTGTTTTGCGTGACATCTGTGGCTGAATTTCTTTGCTGGTTTTTACAAATTCTGTTAAAAGATTGATTATGGTGCAATTATTTATTTATGTGTTACGATCAATATTAATTAAAATGTAAAAATGTGTATCAGTGCTTGCTCTTTTTTGGATGGAATATTTTATAAAATAGAGAAATGAAAACAACATGATATTTATGACTCGACATTCAAGATAGTGTTAAGTACAGTTTTCCACATACCTGTTGGTCATATGCACTTGCAGTGTCCAAGAATTTCATTTTGAAATCATAGTTCAGATTTGTTTTATTTCACTGTTTTCTGTTTTTGTTGTTGAATGAACTAGTGACATTTGTCTAGTCGTTATACCTACTTATTTCAAAACTTGATAAAGAGCAAAGATCCTGTCATTACTGGCTGTCTTTTAAAAAAAATCAACATTTACTATGCTTGACAGTTTTAGAATTGTAAGTTACAGATAAAATTATGTTGTATAAATGTATATCCTGTCTTGTACATAGTAGTTTTGTGCAGGTTTAAATTAAAATCTTTCTGGATAAGTTTGGCATTCAAAAGTTCCTTTTTAAGTATGTAAATCATAGCATGAAAAACATTATATCATTCATTATGTATTATGATTTATGTATATTATGTAAAAGGTGTGTAAAGTCAGGACCTGGTTGTCAACGAGTTTACTTAAAACTTACTCTAGCTAGATATAGTGTATTTGCAAAAAAATTGAAATCCATCACTCAAAGTACATCAAGAAGGAATCAAAACATTCATCTGAAAACTAAAACCCACAAATATTTGTCAATTTCTGGGTATTTCCCAAAAATAAAAATAAATGAAAATTTATGGTAACCACTGTTTTAGCTAATCAATAAGTAAGTTTTAGGTTTTGCACAACTTGGCCCAGTTGTGCCAAATTTATATTGTGTATATAAAATGGATATTAAAATGATGGTAAATGGTCTTCAAAAATCAATACAAGAACAAAGATTTCTTTTTCTTTTTCCTCAGTACAAAATTTTATAATAATCTTGTAATTTTGACTGTAATAGTTGAATTTAAAACTTGTTTTATTTTGGTATTTTACAAGTCCAACTTTTTTGTTTCACAGTGTTGTGTTGCTGAATCATATTGTCTAGCGAAAAAAGTTCCAGAGAAATAGCTGGCTTCATTAGGAGTGTCATGACTTGAATTACATAATGTACTGGTCACAAAATAACATTACTTGTTAAATTTTATGATTGATGATTATGTGACCAGGAAAAAGATATGATTTCAAATTGATAAAAAAAATTATGGGTAAATTAACGGCCAGTTTATGAAGCATGACCTCTTTTATCAGATAGTGTTAGGGCAAAAATTGCTTGAAATGCATATATCTTCTCTGAAAAGAGAGTTTATTTAGATGATAAGGATGATGTATACATGTATGTATGCTATTCAAAGCATCTGTATATATATATATATAATACATGTATATATTCTGCACTGTTATTTGTTTGTTGTATAATTGATCCATCTGATCACATCTATCCCATCTATGAATGATTTGGATATATAATTTTATTAGTTGTAATTGCAGTGTGTGTTGAGTAAAGAGTGAGCGAGTGTATAAGAGAAGACAATAGTAATTGAACTTCACACAATGCTAATATTAGTACATCGTATATATTTATAGTTCTCCTAACATTTTCTACAAAAACTAAAGACTTGAAATTGTAGAAAAGTTCTGTTTGCAATCATGACAGTTGAAAGTTGGAAAATCTTTTTCATTTCTTTTCAATAAATTTGAGAACTTAAGTCATGCTTAGAGAATTTACCAAAAGATTATGACTGAATGAGTGAAGTGTCTAAATGCAGGAATGTGTATATCAGAAAATTTGCTTGAGATGGAGTGTATACTTATTAAGTACCTGGTAGTTCATGTATATAGACATTTTATTATTATTGTAAATGGTTGTCCATGGGTATACATGTATATACAATCCCGGAATAGCTTTCAACATGCAATTTCTACAGCATATCGTACAGTGGAGATTTATCCTAAGAGAATGTTGTCTGGGTGAGAAGTAGCTTTCACATTATTTGATTTTTGTCATCATATCTGAGATTTGCAATTTTGCTTTACTAAAGTACAATAATGTTCTTGGCAATGGAAAAATGCTTAAAAAAATCTGATTTTTTCACAACTTAATTCAAATGATTTAAAAAAAATATTGTCATCAGCACAACTCATTCATGAAATTTGGTAATAAAAGTTGTTCCTATGGAACAGCTGTTGGCATGTATTTATTTTGTTGCAAATGAAACTACCACTATACAAAAAATAGCTGTTGATTTGTTACTGCATCTGTTTGACTGGGCTTCTAGTCATGGCCATCACATCTTGCTACTTGTGATTGTCATATTTTAGAGTCTTGATTGTCCCATTTTAAGTCTCCTCCCGATTGTCACTACTTAGACTCCTGAACTTTCCACTTTTGACTTGTGATTCATGACTTCCACTATTAGATGTCATGTGTTAGACTGGTGATTTCTACATCTTAAGTCTCCTCCCGATTGTCACTTTGTAGGCACAAGATCGCCTCTAGCCTGCTCCTGTGATGCTTTCAGAATAATTGTGATAAACTTTTTTCAAGTTCCACAACTCTCATAATGTAGTACTTTGGTTTGAAAGCCTCTGTCCAATGATGGGGATCCTGCTTAACCTAAAGGCAGAATCACTAAGCATTCTTCAGACTTGCTGTTTTTCAGTGCAGTAGTAATTCATGTACATAAATTCTGCTTCAACAGGAATTTTGAAAGGTAGTAATACAGATATAAGAAAACTAGAAAGAAAGCAACATATTGTATTCGTGAATATGTTCTTAGAAACATATATATTTGGTTTGTTGGGTGCATTAGGGTGTCGACGTCCCAAAAACTGGCCAATCAGTACAACCATAAGGGGAAGAGAATGTGTGACCTGTTTTATGAATTATGGTGTACTATTTTTACATTAACAAATAAAAAATATTGCAGTATGATATGTAATTATGACATCTTAAAAAACACAATTCTAATGTTTAAATTGATGTATATTATAATGCATGCGACACCACTGTTTACATCAAATACATGCCAATAGTATGCATGCATCTCGTCATTCTAATGCTTAGAGATGAAATATTATACATACGATGTACTTTATGAATAAAATCATCAATAAATCATAAAAGATATTCTTACATTTCTTTTTCCTGAACCAAAGACTTTTCTGTTTTGAAAATCTACTGTGGAAAATTATTGCTGTAAGAAATTCCATCTGGCTTGAATTTAGGCAACACAAAATATCCTTGCTCGATTGTATGTACGCTTAAGCACACTTGTGAATACATGCAGATAGTTTAAAAAGGTCATTGAAAAATGTTTACAAAAAGAAAATTCACGGTAACATGTTTGTGAGGTCGTTGGTTGATGAAAGGAAGTGGCATCATGATCACACTTGTAGTTGATGATGACACTTTTCACGACAAGAGATTCCTGAAGGGTCTTTATGTCTTGCTATCTAAAGTCAAACTAGAGATTTACTTTTATGAGCAAAAACATGTCTCCCCTTGTAAGCCAATATGTATATTTGACGTGAAAGGTCACGGTACCCATAACGATTCTCAAGATCCATCTAAAAAGTTCACACATATTTGATTTTGACCTTGCTGTCAGGTTACAGTGACCTAATGACAGTGCACTGCACATCATCTGTGGCTGATGCAGGTATACTCAAAGATTCATCAAAATATCTTTGACGGTTTAAAAGTAGAGGCCAGACTAGATGTCACTGAAAAGTTTTCAAGTCGACATTTGACCTTGATGTCGAAGTTACCGTGACCTTTTGAGGGTTCATGGCACATCATCTGTGGGTGATGCAGGTACTCTTAAAGTTTCTTCACAATTTACCATTTTTAAAGTTACGGCCTTGACAAGAAATTATTACGAGAACTAGCAGAACATTACCAACAGAATATGACTCCCTTCTTTCAAAGGGGCAACATAATATTGCACCACAGAAGAAGGATCATAATTATCATGCCTATGTTATCCTGAGATTTGTCCTTAGACATTGATTTTATTTGGATAAAAAAAAATCCTGAAAGAATTAATGTAGAATTTGACCTCCAAACCTTGGAACTTAGAATAAATCCCTACAATATTATTCCATGATGTTTTATGCAACATTTGCTGTGAAGTTATAATTAAATGTGATCAGTGTGTCTTGACCTTGGCATCTTTATCATATACCCAACAGGCCAGTGGCACCAATCCCAACAATGTTTCAGCATAATATTATGCATTGTTCACCATTGAGAAACATTTATTTGACCTATCTGACCTCTACCCTTGACCTTGGTTAATCATAACCCGGTCTAAATCCCTACAGTATTGCTTCAAAATGTTGTGATGTCAAGTTTACTATAATGTCAAAATTAAATTGTTTAACCATGACCTTTTTGATTTCAACCTGAAGGTGACAAAAACAAGACCATTGCAAGAAACAGAATTTTGGTGCCATCACTCCATAGTTTTTTTGTCCAATCATGATGAAACTTCACAGACATCCATTCGTATGAGTTTATGCTTCCACCTTGTGTTAAAACCAAGGACACCATGACTATAAATGGAGTTTGGTGTCATCTCTATACAGACTTCAAATGTTCTCTGGTTATCAAGAAACTTAGCACACATGTTCAGAAACATCACCTTTTGTATAGTTTTGTGTTTTTACCTTCTGGAGTGAAAAGCAATATCGGCATTACTCTAGCTAGAATTTCAGCTGTCATCGTTCCTCCGTCTTCATTTCTTATCCCATTGTTATGAAACTTCATAAATGTCCACAAACCTATACCTTCTGGGGTCAGACACGAGGTCACCTTGACTATAAATAAAATTTCGTTGTCATCACATACAGATTTGTTTTCCAATCTAATTACCATGAAACTCTGCATACATGCTTACAATCATGTCTTTTGTGAGTAGATGTTTCAATTTATGATCAACGTCACTATGGTTAGAATATTTTATGTCGTCTAGCCTCAGACTTTTTATCACATTTTAAAATTAGCCTCTTATCTTTGATCGTAAAAAAAAAAGCAATGGCCAATGTAATAATAAAAGTTTATAAATTGAATGTCTTTACATCTATTTCTGTCACCATGACTTGGGTCTGAGTAAAATAAAAATGTCCACCAATATGACAGATATACTTAAGATATGCTATGTCAATAACTATATATATATAGCTTACACTGGGACTACCTGCTAGTTATCTTCATTGTGAAGATGATAAATATTTCACCTATCAGTATCACCGGTAGTCTTTACCTTGACTTTTGCTCTGTGACCTCTGATTGCATGGCATGTATGTTAGTTTACTTAGGGAGATTTCCATTTGTTATGTAAACCTAATTTTTAGCTCACCTGGTCCAAAGGGCCTTATCAGGACTTGCTGGGGTGCAACATCCATTATTTGTCACCTATTCAGCTGAAGCAGTTCTGGTCCAGAATGGCGAAGTGGATTTTTACTCTATTTGGGCTTGGACATGGGAACTGAGTGTTGTATAAACAAAGGTGTGGTCCATCTGGGGGCAGAGCTCAACAGGGGAGAGATAATTAAATCTTTAGAGATAATTAAATCTTTAGAATTCTTCTCCTTCCTAATGGATAAAGGGAATAAAAACTGTAGCATACATAGACTAAAGGGCTTTAATGTTGTATAAATGTAATCTCCTCCCCCACCCCACCATACTCACATAAAACTGTAGCCTACATAGACTAAAGGGCTTTAATGTTGTATAAATGTAATCTCCTTCCCCACCCCACCATACTCACATAAAACTGTAGCATACATAGACTAAAGGGCTATAATGTTGTATAAATGTAACCCCCTCCCCCACCCCACCATACTCACATAAAACAACAAATACATTTTTATCCATTCTACCAGGGCTCTTGAGGGTCGAGACCCACCCTATGGACTTAGTCCCTAGACATAACATGTAACAGGTGGAGATCCCCACCCTGTAACCATATAAATAATATTGCTAGACATTTAAATGCACTCCTACTGTTTGGATTTGTCCTGGGACAACCTTGCTCCCAGTGACTTACTCCTTTGGTCAAAACACAGAAATGCTTGTGATTGTATTTCAAATATGACTCTTGGGATCAGGAAATCAAATAAAGAAATTAAACTCCTTGAACTATTTCGCCCAAAGTTTAAATACTGTATACCAGTACATTATCCCCCCTAGTTGAACTTTCCCCTTTTTCACCCTCCATAATGAAGGCGTCTTTATTCTGACAGCAAATATTAATGCACAACATACTATATATATTTACATGTCCACAACAAGTTCCTCTATAAGCATTACCAGGAGAAATTGTGTTCATAAAGCTATGAACACAATTTGATAAGTGTCATTTTGAAGCTTTTCCTACCGTCTCGATTAACATGGGACAACCGTTAGAATCAAACATTTTGGAGATGTTAGGCTGTTCCAGGAACCTTGTTCGCACTGACAACACACTGACAATCTAATATTGAAAATATAAGGGATTATCTTTACAGAATGTATTTAGGTCAATGATAACTGAATATATAGAATGTAAATATAAGGATTAAACAGTATTTTTTCAATGTGTATGTAACCAATTTGCGTTCATTCAGCATGAAATTGAAAAACAAGAGGCCCATAGGGCCTGTATCGCTCACTTGGATATTTAAGCAGTCATAGAAAAATATTAAAAAAATAATATTATTCTGTACCACAAATATTTCCAAATATTGGCTCTGTCTCTCAGCAACACCTTTACCTTATTGGGTCCCATTCTCCTGTACCCATTGGGATGGGGGCATACTCTATATCAAATTAGATTAAGATAAAGCAATAGGATAAAATAGGTAAATTTCATTTTCATTCGCAAACTTTGTTGGGCTCCATCTAAGGAAGCTACTTGTTAAATATCACGACTCCATGCCTTTTACTTCTTCAAAAGAAGCTGTTTGCAGTTTTTGCTATATTTGACCCTGTGATCTTGAAAGTAGGTTGAGGTAATTTTTAATAGCCAACTTTGTCGGGCTCCATCTGTGACAGTTACCAGCCAAATGTTATAATTCTATGCCTTACGATAATCAGAAGAAGTAATTTGAAGTGTTTGACATATTTGGCCCCTATGACCTTGAAAGACAGTTGAGATCATTTTCATTCACAAAAATTGTTTGGCTCAATCCCAAGAAGCAAACAGCCAAATAATATGATTCTATGCATTTCGATTATTCAGAAGAAGTCGTTTGTTAAGTTTGACATATTTGACTCCTGTGACTTTGAAAGTGGGTCAAGGTCATTTTCGTTCTCATGTTGTGTTGGGCTTTTACTAACGAAGCTACAAGCCACATATTAAGATTCTAAACCTTTCAGTTCTTCAGAAGAAGTCGTTTCAAGCATTTGACACTTTTGACCCCTGTGACCTTGAAAGTAGGTTAAGGTCATTTTTGTTTTCAAACTTTGTTGGGCATTTACCAACGAAGCTACTTTTACCAACGAAGCTACCAGCCACATATTAAGATTCTATGTCTTTCAGTTCTTAAGAAGAAGAGGTTTTAGGTATTTAACACTTTTGACCTCTTTGACCTTGAAAGTGGGTCAAGGTCATTATTTTCGTTCTCAAACTTTGTTGGGCTCTAACCAACAAAGCCATTATCCAAATATCATGACTCTAGGCCTGTCCATTCTTCGGAAGAAGTCGTTTAAAGGAAAAGTTGACGGACACTGGACGAAGGACAGAGCGGATGGATGGACGGACGGACGCACCATGGCATAAGCTCACTAGCCCTTCGGCACTAGTGAGCTAAAAATGCAGTTCAATCCTTATATCGTTATTCCATGTGAAGGGCAAAATTTAAATGCTGGGCAAATATGGATTTTACCAGTGAAGGGGGAATGTTTTCGTGGGTGAAAATGCCCTGGTATACAGCAATACATTTGTTATGATACTTACTCAAGACAAAGTAACTTCAATTAAAGTTTGTACTTTTCCGATAAACCTGGCCCCAAATGTTCATGAAAGCAAAAACCTTCAATTTTTCAACATTAAAAACGCAGACTACAGGAATCCTTTTGGTTGTGTATTATTTATTCACCACATGAATCTCTGTACATCACTGGAGTTTTCCCATGTGAAGGTTTTTTCTCCAAATATATATATGGTGCCTGAATTGATTAAGGCATACAGAATGAACTCCAACACTGTATGAACGAGTGATTCATGAATCATATTAAGTCTCAGAATTAAATATGGAATTATAAAATATCTAAACTCCATTAACTTTTGTGGCACTGTACATGCAAGTAGGCAAATTAGGTAGACGCACTTCCAGAAAACATTCTTATGTTTCAGACACTCATGGACTTGCCATGCTGCATAGTAATACACAGGGATTAAAGCAAACTTGACATATTCATGACGTCGGAAGATTTTGGACCACACATAGAATACATAGTGCCTATTGTCTGCTAACAAGTACTTGTGCACATACGTGAATTTATAGATGAGGATGAAAGACATAGAACAAAACGCCAAAACCAGTATGAAATTCTTAATTGAAAACTTGATGAAATTTAAAATCTTTGGGACAGAGATCATGTGAGGGGCTGCAAAGACAAGAGCAACTGACAAAAAGTAGAAGATCTGAGGGAAGTTGAGGCAGGCTTGATGATGACTCTTGTCTCCAACTACAATACCATCATTAAGGCGAATAAATGACAGGAATCCAGCTCCAACACATATGTACCAAAAGGTTGATATAAGGATATTGAGTAGTAACTCCAAAATCAGGGATGGTTTCCTCAAATTGGCCCAAACTAAACTGATAAATCTCTTCAGAATTCTTAAATCATTTCCATCATGAGATTTCAAAGGCTTCTTCTCCATTTTCATCCAGTCCATGATACAAGTTTGAGTTGACAATCCAGCCACAAACACCACCCATATAATGTTAGTTTGGCGAAACACTATGGCCACCACACCCATCATTGCTGCCAGCAGTTTGTATCCCTGAAGGTGGAAGTAATACATCATCAGCACAAAGAATATGGATCCAGGGTCTGTGTAGTAGAGGAAGGTGAAGAAATACATCACAGGAAACACTGTCAAGGTCGTAGCTATGGCAGCAGCTCTCCATGGAGTTACCTGTGAAGTGAGAAATGTATTTCATTACTAATGGTTTCTTGTGACATTCAGCCTTTAATATCCAAGACAATAAAACATTGAGTGCACTTCTACCAAAGTAATAAATGCTCAAATTAAAGGTTTTTGCATACTGAAAATATAATAACACTAACTGTTAGTCCCTACAGGTAGGGCGTAAAAATTGTACCTGCTGCCCCCGTTGCATGATCGTAAAAGGCAACTAAATTTGTGATCTTATTTTTTCTCTTCTTTCTAAACAACTTTCTTCTTCCTTATGTCTCCCTTGACAATGCCTCACTTTTGGCCTTTAGTTGAGCGTTTTCCGCCCGTGAGGAAGGCTTTGGGTTCTGTCCCCTGGCCGAGACATACCAGAGTCTGTAAAAATGGTAGCATCCACTCCTGCTTAACTCTCAGCAATTTAGGAGTGGGACGACTGGTTCGCCCGTTGTCAATATAATGTGACCGGATGGGGTGTCCTGCTGGGTGTCTTCGGCAGTATGTTTCAGTGAGGTAGCACTTTAAAGTCGGTATCAGTTCCCCGCTATCACAAGGAGACAAACACGAACATATCGCAGCCTCCCATAACACACATGCATACACTACACGCATGCATCTTGCTCACAGGGGAGACCGTCTTTAAATTACCATGTTGATAGGACGTTAAACAATACTAACCAAACCAATCACTAACTGTTAAACTTGATCAAAGGTGCAGTTTGACGCAATGTATTTGCCCAGACATGCTAGAGCTGACATGAAAGTTGTTGCAGGTTACCTGGGTGTCTGATGTGGTTTTTGAGCTTTCTTGATGATGTGATGCAATAAACTTAAACTGGGGTATGGCGTGATTATGGTTACTTGAGGGTGTGTTGTGATAGAGGTTACCTGTGGGATTGGTGTGATGTAGGGTACCTGAGGGGTGTGGTGTGATGTAGGTTACCTGTGGGATTGGTGTGATGTAGGGTACATGAGGTTGTGTTGTGATGAAGGTTACCTGAGGGTGTGGTGTCACGTAAGTTACCTGAGGGTTTGGTGTCATATAATTTACCCATGGGTGTGGATTGATGAAGGTTACCTGAGGGTGTGGTGTCATGTAAGTTACCTGAGGATGTAGTGTCATGTAGGTTACCTGTGGGAGTGGTGTCATGTGATTTACCTGTGGGTATGATGTGATGTGAATTACCTTTAGGATTGGGGTCATGCTGATTACCTTAGGGAGTGGTGTAGTGTAGGTTACCTAAGGGTCTGGTGTAATGTAGGTTACCTAAGGGTGTGATGTGATATAGGTTACCTGGGGGTGTGGTGTGATATAGGTTACTTGAGGGTGTGGTGTGATGTAGGTTACTTGAGGGGGGGATATAGGTTACCTGACGGTGTGGTGTGATATAGGCTACTTGAGGGTGTGATATAGGTTACTTGACGGTGTGGTGTGATATAGGTTATCTGTGGGTGTGGTGTGATATAGGTTACCTGAGGGTGTGGTGTGATATAGGTTACTTGAGGGTGTGATATAGGTTACCTGATGGTGTGGTGTGATATAGGTTACTTGAGGGTGTGGTGTGATATAAGTTACTTGAGGGTGTGGTGTGATATAGGTTACCTGATGGTGTGGTGTGGTATAGGTTACTTGAGGGTGTGGTGTGATATAAGTTACTTGAGGGGGTGGTGTGATATAGGTTACCTGATGGTGTGGTGTGATGTCGGTTACTTGAGGGTGTGGTGTGATGTAGGTTACCTGATGGTGTGGTGTGATGTAGGTTACCTGTGGGGGTGGGGTGATGTAGGTTACTTGAGGGTGTGGTGTGATGTAGGTTGCCTGAGGGTGTGGTGTGATATAGGTTACCTGATGGTGTGGTGGGATGTAGGTTACTTGAGGGTGTGGTGTGATGTAGGTTGCCTGAGGGTGTGGTGTGATATAGGTTACCTGATGGTGTGGGGTGATGTAGTTTACCTTAGGGTGTGGTGTGATGTAGGTTACCAGAGGGTGTGGTGTGATATAGGTTACCTGATGGTGTGGGGTGATGTAGTTTACCTTAGGGTGTGGTGTGATGTAGGTTACCAGAGGGTGTGGTGTGATATAGGTTACCTGATGGTGTGGTGTGATGTAGGTTACCTGTGGGGGTGGTGTGATGTAGTTTACTTGAGGGTGTGGTGTGATGTAGGTTACCTAATGGTGTGGTGTGATGTAGGTTACTTGAGGGTGTGGTGTGATATAGGTTATATAGGTTACCTGTGGGGGTGGTGTGATATAGGTTACCTGACGGTGTGGTGTGATGTAGTTTACCTTAGGGTGTGGGGTGATGTAGGTTACCTGTGGTTGTGGTGGGATGCAAGTAACTAACCTGTGGGTGTGGTGCAGGTTTTCTGAGGATATGAGTGGTGTAATGTACATTGCATGAGAATGTCAGTAGGTTACCTGAGGGTGTGGTGTGATATAGGTAACCTGAGGGTGTGGTGTGATATAGGTTACCTGATGGTGTGGGGTGATGTAGTTTACCTTAGGGTGTGGTGTGATGTAGGTTACCAGAGGGTGTGGTGTGATATAGGTTACCTGATGGTGTGGGGTGATGTAGTTTACCTTAGGGTGTGGTGTGATGTAGGTTACCTGTGGTTGTGGTTTGATGCAAGTAACTAACCTGTGGGTGTGGTGCAGGTTTTCTGAGGATATGAGTGGTGTAATGTACATTGCATGAGAATGTCAGTAGGTTACCTGAGGGTGTGGTGTGATATAGGTAACCTGAGGGTGTGGTGTGATATAGGTTACCTGATGGTGTGGGGTGATGTAGTTTACCTTAGGGTGTGGTGTGATGTAGGTTACCAGAGGGTGTGGTGTGATATAGGTTACCTGATGGTGTGGGGTGATGTAGTTTACCTTAGGGTGTGGTGTGATGTAGGTTACCTGTGGTTGTGGTGTGATGCAAGTAACTAACCTGTGGGTGTGGTGCAGGTTTTCTGAGGATATGAGTGGTGTAATGTACATTGCATGAGAATGTCATGGTTTGTAACTTTTACCATTTATTTTCTATTTTTAGTAATATAGAGTGTTGTGATGTTCCTTTCCTGATGATACACGAGATATTGAAAAATGGAGTTTCAAAAAAACAGAGACTTATAGTTATCTGCAAATATAAAACTTACCTGGGGATGGAGAGTAGTGTAGATACACAATAACAGGTAACAGTTGGCTGTGGTAAACAGGATATTGATACCACGAAGGATACTTGTGGTACACATATCCACCAGGAGCTGCTGTGTTACCATTGAGATTGGGTACAGGACTCCTACACTGGCCAGGTATGTACCAGGTAATGTTGTTATCATGGGATCCCACTGAAAGTAAAATTAATCCATCAAGCCTGTATCTATAGCAAAAATCTCTCCGGGTAACCAAATATGTCAAAAGGTTATGCATTATAAGTGTAGTGGAACTGAACTTGTTCATTCATTAGCGACCAGTTAGCTCAATTCGTAGGGCATCCATCTACATTTCGGAGGGTCCCAGTTTCATTATCTGGTCTGGCCGTTGGATTTTTCTGCTCCTATCACAAAATTGACGAGCTTGCCAACCCTTGTTTCAAGCACTGGGTGAATGCATAGCAAGGTAATATCCGAACCAGAGTTGTAAATAGTGTTGTCTTAGGGAGTAAAGGCTTAGAAAAAGGAGGGAGGAATGTAGTCACCAGGACCCTCTAAAGTTCAATGGGTCCCGGGTTTAAACCCTGGTCTGGCTGTTGCATTTCTCTTTCTCCTGTTACACTTTATAATTAGCAAAGAGACTTTTTCAAGTCCCAAATGTGTTTTTATTTATTTGCAACGTGTTAATATAACAGAATGTGTGACAGTGATTGGAACCCGAGACCTCCAACTCTTAAACTCTTGTTCTACTTGGTCACCCAGCGCATAGAAATATATTTCGTTTGATACAACTCTTTGACAGGGTGAACAGGCAGCAACTCCATGTCAGAACGGTGCATAACAAAATGGAATATTTTTTTGTTTGAAATACAACACAATCTCTGAATCTCACTCTACCTCAAATTCATTTTAGTAGCTGCACAGGGATCTGTCAATTACTGTCTACAACTTTAGTGAATAATTTGTTTATGCTGATATGACATAAATAATCGGGTGATATTTTTTGTGTGTATAAGATCGACGTCTCTAAAACATAAAGATACAGATTGGATCCAAGTCCCTGTGCCTACTATGCTGTTCATATTAGAAAAGTTGTGTCAGGTCCCTGTGATGTTTTATGTTGTCTTACCGAACTAAAATTGCCACTACAATATTGCTGCACTTGAGGAACATGAAAAACCTCATCCATATATGGAGTTTTCTGGACATTGTTGATGTACAATGCAATGCCACTACTCGACAAAGCAACAAGGAGAAGGCTTGACCAGGTGGCAAATTCGGCAGCCGCGGTCATGGTTTTGTAATCGCGGTAACAACCCTTTAGTGGAACTCTTCATTGTTTGGAGATCCATTTAGTCAGGAACTCCGAAAAAGAAAAAAAGTTGTGAACTACGTCGGGAGCAGGAATGTCTCAAACGACGTAGTAATCATGAACAAAGGGTGGCTGGAACTAGAAAGTGATCCTGGTAAGAAAAGCGTGATTTTCAATGAAATCTGCTACAGAACAAGTTCGTTGCATACTTCGTCGTCTTTCAGCAGGGCCGCTTTTGCGTCCCACGGTTGCAGTTGACCGGTTGATTCTCCACATGCAAACTCCTAGAACACATCATCACAAGCGCAACCATGAAACACTTAGAAGCCAACAAAATACTGCACGACCTACAACATGGCTTCCGAACATCAAGATCTTTCGAAACACAACTCATTACATTCATACAAGACCTCGCACAGAACCACAACAACAACAAACAAACAGACATTATCATAATGGATTTTTGCCAAAGCCTTCGACAAAGTCCCACACAAACACCTACAGTACAAGCTAAATTATTACGGCATCACCGGAACCACATTAACATGGATAACAGACTTCCTATCACAATGCACTCAAACAGTAGTACTTGAGGGAAAACACTCCGACAAAATCCCAGTAACATCTGGAGTGCCTCAAGGAACCTGTTTGGGACCAGTCCTCTTCCTCATATATATATTAACGACTTCCCCGAATACATATCACACAGTACATTAAGACTTTTCTCAGACGACAGCATACTATACAAAACAATCAAAAACAAAGAAGACACGTCAAAACAACAAGCAGATTTAGATGCAGCTAGTAAATGGGAAGAGGACTGGCTCATGAAATTCCATCCAGACAAATGCACCATACTCACTATATCACCAAAACGCACACAAATTAAACACCAATACACACTCCATGACCACACACTAGAATATGTAACTTCAAACAAATATCTAGGCATCACACTTCAAAACAACTTAAAATGGGACAAACACATTAACAACCTCACATCAAATGCAAATATATCACAAGGCATTCTGAAACACAACCTAAAAATAAATTCAACACACATAAAAGAACATGCATACAAGGCCATTGTAAGACCAAAACTTGAATACTGCTCTTTAGTTTGGGACCCACATTAAACAAATAACATAAACCAATTAGAAAAAGTACACCGAAGAGCAGCACGATATGTCCTAAACAAATACCATAACACAAGCTCAGTCACAGACATGATACATAACTTGCCATGGCCAACACTACACACACGCAGAACAAGAACACGCATTATTCTTCTCTACAAAATAATAGACCAACAAGTAGCAATACACACTAACAATCTCATCCCGGCCGACACCAGAACATGTCAAGGACACGACCTTGGTTACAGACATATCTACACATCCAAAGACACATACAGACACTCATTCTTTCCATACACCATAATACAATGGAACCTCCTTCCCACAACAATAATTCAATCGAATACACTAGCAGAATTCAGGACATGCACCACATACAACATAATCGAACATATACAAAAACTACAACATAACTAACACTCACTCACTGCTTTTAACCTGTTTTTATCCTATAGCAAATAACAAAAAAAATCAAAAAAATAATCACTGTACATAATTAACGCACAACAGCACAACGACCCTACTTCCGTAATCGTCGGTATCGGGGGAGGAAGTCTAACAGATAAAGATGAAGAAGCTTTGACACACTGGCCCTGACGACATAGACAGATCTACCGAGTCTGAGAGGTGGTAGCGGTCTTCCGCCTTTACTTATCGCAACTAGGCCTCGGTCGATCTTTTACAACATAGCCAGGCGAGCGTCATGGCGTCTTTTCTGGAGTGATCTCCACCCAAGTACGTCGAGCATGCTCGAGACAAGAGCTGTTGTTTCTGATACAGTATAATGATCCTAGTGATTTGATCTTGTTTTCTGGTGGGCTTTGGCAAATACTTTAAAAGTCCTGAATTAAAATTTGCAGGTCCGTCTGCTATGGCCCCTTAAACACAATATATATGTATTTCAAAAATAGACAAATCGGTTGATACGAACAGAACAAGATCAATATTAACATTAGTTACGTGCTCCTGTGAACAGGCCCCATGTTTCGGTTTTCGATGTTGCGTTCTCACACTCGTTCATGAGATTAAACCCAAACTAACTGCCGATTAAATGTTAGAAAATGATTTAAAGAGGAGTTCATCTTACTCGCAGTGTATTGAGGCACTGAAAGAGCAGATTCTAGCCAGAGTTTCTCTGTGGAGTATAACATATAGATAGATAGATACACCAACAGTGTTAGAGATTTACACGGTAAGACGCTTTTGACATATGTGTCTTGCGACAGTCAGCAAAATCATATATGATAGCAAAAGGCTGACCAGCAGCCTCTTATGTTATAAGAGTAGCCCTGACACCAGACTTAGCCATTTTGACAGATATATGTCTGGGCCAGAGCGCACTGCTCTATGAAAATGTGGAATTCTTAGACACCGTTTGGTATAGGAGAGTTTTAAGGTGCTGACAAAAAAATATCTTCCATGACACAACACATACCTCACATCTATTGGTAAATAGGTTATTTATTTATCCTAATCTACCAATATTTCCACCAATGACTGCTGCATTCTGTCAGTAGAGTCCTCGGTTTTCAATCATTCAAAATTTCCAACCTGAACGAGTGCCATTTTGTAGGTCATGTGAGCTCGAGTGACTAATCAACAAACGCTACTGATCCAAAACCGAAAAATATTATTCTTGTTCAATAAGAAGATTTCGGTACCGACTCTTTTTGTTTACTATTTCTGAGAATTTGCAGCCCAGACTCGCTACCAGATCATAGCTTTGACAGCAATGGTCGCTTCTCCTCACATCATTTAAATATTAACAATGAGCTTTTGACAGTAACTTCAGCTAACTGAACAATTAGAAATATATAGGTCCATGTAGATTAAATTATCATTAATAATTAGTTAGTTTAAACATACATAGTAAACAAACACAGTATCAGGCTTTTACTTATGCAACTGACCTTTACAATAGATTACAAGATCTTGTTCTTTGTAACAAAGGTGTTTATATTTTTACAGGACTGTTCACACTGTTGGTTGAAGATTTTGGTAAGTATCGATATCCATTCAGTTACGGAGACTATAAGGGGATTTTTATATAGGATTTGTCAGGTTGAAACAACCCATAAGTTTTTCAGATGTGAAAAATTGTTTGTGTGCTTTTCAAGTGATGAAGAATCATTTTACAGCCCTTTGTCATTTACTCTAGATGTTCAATTTGGGAAGATACCATACATAAGTGAAAACAAAATGAAAATCAAACTTATGACTTAATAAAAACAATGTGTAAGGCCGAAGGTCCTGATATGGTGAATGCTGTAATATTATTAATGTATAAGTGAATTTTAAGATTAGTAATCAATAAGGATAATAATGAATATTTTGATTTGTGAATTATGTTATAAAAATTTCAAATGTCAATAATTTCCTTTTTTCCTAATATTATACAGGAGTCCAAAGTGTTCAGGTGGAAGAGATCTACGACTTGCAGAAAACCATTGATGGGTAAAACATACATTTTGTAGACTGTATTTTTATTTACAGACAGGAAGTAAAATGTCTTGAAATGTGACTGATTTTGAAAGTTCTTTCCTTTTTTTTATGATTTTTGGAAAAAAACAGAAAATTGAATGCAAAAAGGCTTGCAAATTTAGTAAAAGTTTAAGACCTGTGCCTAGGTTTTGTAATGTTGCCGGTAATTCCATTGGTTTATGACATATTACAAGCCTAGAATGATAAACTCAATCTTCCAATCTTCATGTATATGAACTCCGGGTTTATATGTACATACCATGATACAAATATTTGATTGTGACATCATGATCTTATTACAATACCATAGTTGCAATCAGTCCAAGAAGCTATTCTTGAACCAACAATGTCATTATGTACTAAAGAGATTTGCGTACCAGGTACACTAGTATAGCAATCGTCGTGGTATATGTTTTGCAATTTTTCACTGTCTGGATACAATATTTATCTAGTTTGTAAGTAACACTATAAGATGATGAGAAGCAGAACTCAGATGAATTAAAACAAGGCTGATTTATCTTGATAAAACCCTCCTTTACTAATTATATGATGATTCATTCATATAGAAAAAAATACCAGGGTACGCACATGTAGTTTTTCCCTACCTAGCTTGGTGGTATTAAGTTGTATCTTGCATGCTATTTTCAGTTACATTTGATTAGTATTCTATTGTAGTGTTATGTTAGTTCATGTATCATATCATGTTATTTTCTGTAATGCTTCACGATTTGTACTTTTGATAATCCTGTCAATGTAAGCATTCTTACTTTGTTGTAATATTTTGTGTTCCTTGTTGTAGACCTGTTTATGGATTTATCTTTCTGTTCCGTTGGATTGAGGAACGTCGATCACGACGGAAGACTGTCACAGAGGAAGAAAGCTTTCTTCAGGATGAAAATGTTGTCAACAGCATATTTTTTGCCCAGCAGGTAACCCAAAATTCGTATTATTTTTTCTCATTTAAACATTTCATAATATAATTGATCAAGATGCATTGTATATTTACCACTCTCACTTTTTGCTTAGAACTGAGTAAATGGAAGAGTGCTTAACAATGCCCTTTCAATCGCTGACAATGCAAAGTTTGTACTGCATAAATAAAATGTGTGTAAGATTGGTTTAAACAGCCCTTTTTTTCATTACAATTTACCCATCAATGATAAATGCTGTTTATTTGGGTGACATTACAACAGGTGATTCCCAACTCCTGTGCTACCCATGCCCTGCTCAGCGTCCTGCTGAACAATGACAGGGTCAAGCTCGGCTCAACTCTGTCAAAATTAAAGGATTTTTCGAAAAACATGAGCCCTGAGGTGAGTGAAGCCTTATATTTTGTGTTCTTTATGTTTATAAGTAACTTTTTGATATGTATGGAATATTTCTGAAGGCAGTCAATCAATGTCGTATGAGAGTTGAAGTAAATAAGATGTTGTATATCAATACTTAGTCCGCTACCATAACTGCAGTCTCCAAAATTCTGATTGGTCGCCTGTTAAATGAGTGAGAAATGAATGAACTTTAACATCTCTAGCAAACATGTAAAACTCTCACGATCGCTGTCGCCAGATTTTGGCGACAAATCCCCATGTTTTATAGAGCAGTCAATAGCTGACCATTAACAGGCGACCGATCAGAACACTGGAGCCTGCGATTATGGTCAGTTTTAGGCTTTTAGGGGACTAATCAACACTAAGCTATGATTCTTGTTAAGTTCTTTTGATCCACGAACAAAGTTACAGAATAAAAGTGTATCAGTTATATATGATAGTAATAAGGTAATGACACTAAAAAAAAAAATATAGGAAAAATGAATACTGGCATTCAGAAAGTAAGGTTAGTCTAGAGTATTGAGGTTGCACTGTGTATATGGTACAATAGATGTTACATATTGAATTGTTGTTTTATAGGACAAGGGGTTTGCAATCGGTAATATGCCTGAACTAGCCAGTGCCCACAACAGACATGCCAGGTAAACATTTCCCCGAGGTTCATACAGCTTATTATTTTTCTTGTTTATTTGTCTGAATAAATATTTGTGAGACATTTGAATTTATCTCTGATGATGAAAGTGAAAATTATTATCATCCAAATTATAATTGATTTAAAACAGATCTATTTTTGGGATTATTATGCGACCATTTTTCAGCCTCATTTATAATAGAAAATTGATTTATTTTCACCAAAATTCTGAACAAAATTTAACAATTGGAAGAAAACAAAAAACAAGAAGATGTTGCATTATTCAGATGCCAATGCAGCGTCTTACCTCTAAAATGAAATAATATTTTATATATAAAGGTGTTTTGGTCCTCAAGGTGATGCTTTGTAAACATCAATTTTAAATAGCATCTGAAGAATTTGGATCACTGCAAATACAAATTTTCCAACTCTAAAATTACAGGGCAATTACCAAAATAGTGGAAAAAAAGTTTATCAATTTGAACCATGTTAATCCAACCAACTTGATTATAATCTAAATGCAGAACAATTTCATTTGAAATATATGACAGGTAAAAAGTACATGTTATTAGATTAGAAGTAAATATATAGCGATTCCATTGCAGACCAGAGCCCCGACATCTACCGGAGAAACAGCAGGGAATTTCTACGACAAAAACGATGGAAGCTTTCCACTTTGTTAGTTATGTACCTATTGGGGGTCATCTGTTTGAGCTGGACGGTCTGAAGCCTCACCCAATAGATCATGGTCAGTAATGTAGAAAAGTCACATTAGTGATAAAAGATAAACGTTAGATACACATACAGGTGATCGCACCTTTAACTTTGGTAATATATGTAGGAACAGTATGCAAAAAAAATGAAAAATACTGCACCATACAGCTGTATAATCTCATGTGAAATTGAAACTTATTAAAACTACTATACAGTAAAACCTGTTCATACCAAACTACAAAGGACCTTAGAATTCTGTTTTAATAGCTACATTGTAATTAAAATTTGAATTTGATATTCAGGAGGCGGGGGACAAAATATGACTTCTTTGTAAACTGGAATTTATAATAACCCTTGGTAGGCATACTTATAGTATTAGAGCATATTTTACTGTAAAAATCAGTAAATTTAGAGAAACTCAGATAAATGTCAAAGGCATGCTTTTACTTATCCAAAAGGTAGGATGTGATATACTGGGTAGTTTATCCGAAAGGTAAGATGTGATATACCGGGTAGTTTATCCGAAAGATAGGATGTGATATACCAGGTAGTTTATCCGAAAGGTAGGATGTGATATACCAGGTAATTTATCCGAAAGGTAGGATGTGATGATATAGTTTAAATCAATGGAAGTATAATGTTGACTGGGTTATTTGGCAGGTCCATGGCGTAAGGACGAGTACTGGACTGAGAAATTCCGTAGGGTGATAACAGAACGTCTAGGGATGGCCACTGGAGGGTGAGAATGATATCTTCCCGATGTAGGATAACTCAACAATGGCCTGATCTAGTCACCTATTTAGATGGATCTTAATCAACTGTCATCCTCTTATGTCCATAATTAGTGGTGGATGGATATATATTTTCAATGCCAACAATATATACTACAGTAAAACATTGGTATAATGCCCCTCGTTTCACTTGTGACCTCATTTACCGCCAATATATTTGAATTTCTTATTTTTTTAATAACTCCTTGTTACATTTCCCTTAAGCTATTGCAAAACCCCTTTTAAAGCCAAAATTTCTGCAGACAAGTGATGGCATTATAACGAGAAACAATTAATTTTGTACCTACCTGTATATAATGACACTGAGAAAAGTATTATGGATGTATTTTAATAGTTTTTAATAGAAAATATTTGATGTATCCCAATCAAGTCTGGAGTCCAACAAAACATCAAAATTTTGTGATAAAGTATTTAAAACAAGTGTTTCAAGGAAGTAAGCTTCAAGATAAAAAGCCAAATCTGAAGCTAAAAAATCTGTTTTGTAGAAATCTTTACATTTTGCTTCTGTATAATTCCACCCAGAGAGCCGTACCATGACATCCGCTTTAACCTGATGGCGGTCGTACCAGACAAAAGACAGCTTTACGAACAGAAGCTGACCACCCTGAAGACTAACAGACAGATTGTACTAGAGACATTACAACAGGTAGGTACACACTGTGTAGTCTGGTAGCAAGCTTGTTAACACAGCCTGTAACAGTTTAGACCGTACACTCTAATAAACAGTGATGAAATCGATAATACATTTTTGTATAATAAAAAAATAAACATTAGTATCTTGTATCATAAACCATAATATTTATTCCAAGTACAAATCAATAGTTTAAAACTGCTAATACCAGAATTTATTTATTTATATTTTTGTTTCTTGTTCTGTTTTTTTCTTAAAAATAATAATAATGATAATCAGATTGATTAAAATCAATATTTGGTGCAGTATATGAAAATGTTATTTTCTCTGACTTTTTAATGAATTAATAGTTTGCTTTTTGACCTAAAATTCTGACCACACAACTATATGAACCCATGTCTCCATGTGACCTTGTAGTGTAATGTCACGGAGACAGACTCTGGGGTGAGACTTTGCTTTTATTTTTTAAACTCCTTCTGTATATATTACAAACTAACTACAATATAAATGTTGTGTATATGTGACATAGCAGTAATCAAATATTGTAGAATTGGTTCCTACAAGGAATTTCCAAGAAAACCTTTTGAAGTGTACTATTCTTCCATTCTTAATATCAATATGTATTTCAGACTAAATCTTTGCTAGCAGTTAGCCTAGACAGGTTCTCTTTGGTAACAACAAGTAATATTTAATGTTTAAATGATGATATTTGAATTGTTTTAAGTTTGATGTCATCAGTTGGAATTAAATATTCTGTATCCAAGATTTAAGGATATATACGGTAATTATGTACTATTTGTAAATTTTTAGTACAGTATTTATTTGTCAATGCTTGTGACATCTTCAATTAAATGATTCTGAAAGTGATGGTGTTAAGGTTGTTGCCTGTTTTTGTCTGTTGTTGATGGGACATATGGCAAAGTCATTCCATTATCTATTGTTTCTCTGCCCATATATTTCATGTACGGTTCAGGACTTTCATAAAGCATTTGAGTGTATGTTTTTGACTCCCAAAAATGAGCTTCGACTCTTTGATTTGAAAGGGCATGTGAATTTGACATGTATTTTAACCCTTCCAGGGTTAGACACCTAACTATTTTCGCTTGGTAGTCCACAGGACTAGTTAAATAGATTATTTACTAGTTCTATACATCAATGTAACAAGTCTAAAATTTCCTCAAGCAAACATCTCCAGCACGAAACACAAAACGCCATTAACTGTAGGAGACTCAATCTAACTACTGCCATGAGGTCATGGTGAAGTTTTAGGAAAATTTGACAAATTTCATGCAGTGTATTTTTAGCAGTTTTCCTAAAGGAATAATTCTTATCTTATAATCTATCTGTCAAATAATATTGGATAAAATAATTGTTCACAAGGCCGTTAAACCAGTTAAGTTTGTTGATTCACAAGTCCTTATGAAATCTACTAGTTTCGGACAAGAGGACTAGTGTAAGTATCAAACCATGCCTTCAAACTTCAGGCAAGAGGTGATATGACTACTGAAATTACTAAAGGTCAACTGACAGCTCTGTAGGGTCGAACTTTCAATCCAGATACAAGCAGACATTTTATGGAAGGAAATTGTTGTGAAGTCTATGCAGTGATCCTGTAAATATATATTTTTTCACAATATTTGGGTTTAGAATACATCTAAAACTTATGATAATTTAAAACGTCCCGAAGAAATTAGATTTTTAAATACCATGTGTGACCTCACTCAGTATTGGACTGGACATGTACTATGAACCTATTACTTGTTTACATATTAAAAAATAATTATATGCATGTGTACAGTTTGAATTGGTAGGCATAGAATGTACACAATTCATTATGTTAGTTTTAATTTTGTTCATATTTTTTTCCTTTTTTGTATTACTTTGTCGAATATTTTTCAATAGTTTAATCAAAATTGGTCGTGCTTTTGTTATAAAACACAACATGAAAATAAGATATATTATTCACTTCAATAATTAGCTGTGCTGTGTACACTTATTAACTCATGCATACTGCCATGTATCATTTACACATCAAAGTGGGCGTTTTTACATGGGATTTCTATGGTTGCAATGATATACAAAAAGATTGGCAATTGAAAAGCATGCTTGGAGGCTTTGTGAGAAAGTCAAATGGACCATATTGAAATAAATAACAATAACATTAAATTTAAAAAAATCAATCAAGTTATAACTTATATTAGAATTTTGTCTGAATTAGAATAAAAACCACTGAACCGAGATTAACAGGAATTATGCAGATTTTATACAAATTCAAGCCACTTATATAAAGTACTTTTTGGTGCTTTTCAGTTTCTGAGGATCGCTACGATAGAACAATGCAGTAATTACTCTTGTTACTTTCTTTGAGAACTGAGATTAAATTTTATGTATAATTACTTAACCGAAAATAAGAAAACAAATCTGCTTGTAGTAAATTTGAAATACTTTTGACAAAATAACAATTTTTAATGCTTATTTTTAGGAAGTCTCTAATTTACTATTTTAAAATGGTTCACTTTACTTTGAACTGTGAGTGTGTTTATATAGATTGTGCCTGCAGTGTATCTCAGTATGATGTATGGATGGGAATTATATCTTTTTTACTGCATAAGAAAATCTGATAACTTTCATCAGTAATCATTTTCGTGTTACTACAATAATGTATTTTTTTGCAATTTGAGTTATTTCATTTTCTGAATATGTTGGGGCCTTTTCGTTGATGCAGAACAACCAGTTTATCTGTTTTTGATTGTAACATTTTCCGGTATAAATCCTGATGTACCTGCAAAAGTTCATGCAGGCCATGCAAGGATTTGCCAAGGCTTACCTGAAAGCAGCATCATATTACTAGACCCGACCTTATTTCATAAACAAACAACTCTGGTCCAACCGGTTCAGCTGTTTGGATCGTGATTAAAGAAAGCGGCCCTGGTATAATAACTCTAGGGGAGCTAACTCCCACTGGACTGTAGAGTTGTTTAACATTAGACTCCATGGGAGATAACTCCCAATGTTATTGTCATTTCGATGATAACAAACATCGCACCTCTCACACCATCAACTTGATAATTGATTTTTTTTTCTTTGATAAAGTAGATGAAAGTGTTTGTATCCACTGACCATTCCTAGAAGGAATTTTGTTTTAGATATTTTCAAAATTATTATTACCCTATTGTTGTATTCAATATCATTCAGATTACATGAAAATTGTGTATAATAAAGTAGGTATAGTGTTGAGTGTTCTTGTGACCGTAACTTCAAGATTATAGCTTTAGGTTAATATTTACTTTTCTTGTGTTGGTTTCCTAACTCAAGTTTCTGAAAAATAAGTTATATAGGACGTGTGCTTGTTAAGAAGCAGATACTAATGAATAGTTAGAGCATATGTAAACAGCTAATCTTAGTGAAGCACAGCGTTAAAAGCTGCGTCAAGGGTATAACATGTTATATATTCAATTACTATTTTTAATTCCTTCTTTGATGGAACTTATGTTCATTCAATGTAGTATTACAATATGCATTATTACAAAAACCCACGTAGATCAGCTAAGTAAACGGCTTTCATGTTATATTTTGCCTATAAAGTGTATCAGTAATAGCTGAAGGATTGGAAAGTTAATTGAGACAGTTGGCATAGCATGGATAGGAATCTATCCACAAGAAATTTACATGTAAAATAGTTTGATAAGTGGTTAAAATGTGACTAGGGGAGGATGAAAACCTGGGGTTATTGATGTTAATACCATACACTTAACAAAACATGCACATTTTGAAGTTACTTATTGTGTGTGAACAAAACATGCACATTTTGAAGTTACCTATTGTGTGTGAACTGTTTTCTGAAAGAGATTGTAAACTGTTTTGTAGATGTGGTACGTAAATGTTTACAAGTATATGCTAATGTCACATGACAGAATGGACTACCATTTTATAGATGTGAAAACATGTTTACACACCTTGTATCAGTCTATACTGGTTTAACTCCCTTGGTTGATTGTTGATTATTAAATAATAAATTCCCTCACCCCCATAACCTCTGCAAATGGCTCTTGTTAAGGGAGTTCAGGGAAATATATTGCTTTGTAATATAAAGGGGCCAACTACAAGTAATGGGCGTAGAATGCTATTTTCATGAATTATTGTGAACATCAACTGCAATATTCATGTCCTGTCAAATCTCCCTCTGGCCTTAAACCTGTAGGAACAATCAGCCCGCTAACCACATGCTTTGTTATCATGGTGAATGCTGTTGTAACTATCTTTCAGAGACCCTTATTAGTTTCATACAAATATTAAACCTTAGATCACCCGAAAAATAAGATTACTAAACTGTATATTGACATTTGACAGGCCAAGCAAAAACGAGATTCTTTTATAAGTTGAAAATTCTGTTAAACATTAAAAGTGTTACTGCTTGCGGAATAGAACACCCCCAAACAATAACTGCCTGTTTATAATGTATGTGATGGCACATTGAACAAGATAGCAAATTTAACAAACAAACAAAAAATGAAAAAAAAAGTAAAATAAAATACATGGCTCGGTGGTGGATTTTACACTGGTAGAATTGGTTTCAAGGACAAAGGGGCAAAAATGAAAATGAAAGCAAACATTTCCCACTTTACAGTAATATATTACATGTGTTAATATTTCGAGTTTGATAGTTATTGATTTAATTCAAGTAACAATTTCATAGCAATAGAAAATTGTAAACCTTTTTGTATGATACAACACAATCAGAAATGTCTTCCTTTTCTGTGTTTCAAGCTCCTGGACTCGAAGGTATAGCATCCTAAATGGATTTTTATGGGTGTTTTTATGTTGTTTAGCTTTCACTAGGGACTTAAGCCTTGGGTGCATCCTCATGTGGCCTTGGTCTTATTTCTGTATATCTATTCTTTTCCTGCTCCACAATTTCGGTAGCTTTTTACTCCGGACGAGTATGCTCTGTTTTTACCCTGTACCTATTTATTTGGATTTTTTCTTTATATGTGAATTTGGTGAATTCTGTTTCCTTTTAACTTTTGTTCTATCTGACGTTGAATTGGTGTCTGTTTCTGTGGTGTGCATTTTCTTTTCTTTCACTCTTTTTTTTTTTTGTTCGAATCAAGCTTTTATCTAGTTTTTCTTTTTAGGAGATGTTTGTGTTCCGTTAGTATTTTTAATTGCAGGGAGTTTTCATAAGGACATGTTGTGTAAACCATATCCCTGATACGTCTAATTTCTGTAAATGTATTGTAGTGATTGTGTAACCTTGTTATAAATCAATCAGATCTTGTTTAGTCATATAAATACGTATTTCAGTGTATAATCGGAGAAGATGAAAATAATTAACTTTAAATGAAAAGTTTTGAACAATTTCACTACCATTATGCGCAAAACTATATATTGCTCTAGATAGAAATTCAAGGAAGGCTATATGAATGTACAGAATAGGTGAATTTACCTCCACATGCATGACATATTATAACAAGCATCCCATTTATAGATAGGTGAATCAGTAATGTCCCATGATACCTTTTCCTAGATATTAAGTTAAGGACGTATGCTACCAATATCTGACATGTGTCTCTTTTTCAAAAAAGTTCCACTCTTAGGAAACCTGTCATTTATATTTTATAAATGTTAGTTAAATAGTTTCGTCTTGGTTGTCTCATGAGGTGACACACCATGTCATTCTGAATCATTAAGTTATAAAAATGTTCCAAGAGAGATAACTCTGAAATATATTAGAGGTATAATGTATAAGGTAGCATATAACCTTAAACTCTTACATTAATCACATATATAATGTATAAGGTTGGCTATCAGGGTTTAACTTCCTGTCAACAGCTAAGGCCATTTAAGGACTTGTCTCCATGTGTGTTGTGTATGTTTGCATGTGTGTAAGTGTGGAGGGGTTTATTGTATAAGGTAGCATATAGCTTTAACTCTTACACAAATCACAGGTACAATGTATAAGGAGTCAGTGTGCTAACATTTCTTTATTTTCCTTGTTTAGAATCAGAGGTGCTAGTTTCAAATACTTTTCAGTCTTAAATCTGTATGCTAGATATTGAATAAGGTTGTATTATTGTTTTTTGTCACTTTAAATAATAATTCTGTTCATGTTTTAAAAACACAAATCAACTCTCTGTATAAATATATCAGAACTCGGGTGACCGTTAAGGCCCATGGGACTCTTGTTATAACAAGTAGGCATGGCTTTGAGTTCAGACACAGAATTGATCTGTGTCTTCATAGAATCCATGCTACTTACCACTAAGACATATTTGAAAGCTGCCCTCCAGGTTCTACATCTCCCGATATGGTTATATAGTATTCTAGATTGTAACAGGATCTGGTTTGTAGTTTTGTGTAGTTGGTGTTGTAGAGACATGTCTATTTGTTTATGTGTTGTACAGTAGATAAAATCAATAACAGACACATCTATGTGATATTAATACTGCATACACATTGTCCTTTTATAATTTACCTATTCTAAACACGTCAGGCAAGGTACCATGTACAGGCTTGGGAGATTCCTAATTATAAGGATTGTTCTAAAACTTCCCCCAAACTAGTGCTCTAAAAGTAAATACTCTTATGCAAAAAGGCCAATAATTACCCAGTAATGGTAAAAAATGAAAGACTTATAAGTCTTACTTACGGTAAACCTCCGGTCAGTTCAAATAGCAGATAGTTCAAACACACCTTTTGAACAATAAAAATAATCATTTTCTGTCTAGTGATAGTTCGAACCCTGTTTACACACATTTCAGATTGTTCGAACACACAATTTGAGTACTGAAATTACATAATTATTGATCGAGGTTGACTATCGGCGATGCAATAATAGCCTCACAAAACTCGCTTAAACTTAATCTATTTGCGCATCTACAGCATTCAACTACTGAATAACGGGTAGTACTCATGTGCGACCATTGTTGTCATCAATATCGGACAATTTGTACACAAATAAGCCACATGTCACCGATAATTGAGTTTATTTCATTTCTTGTAACCATGTGCGTGCAGGTGCCAGTAAAACATCATCAGGCCCAAACCATGTATAATATCCTAACAGTACACGGAGCGTGGAATGTTACCGTCACATCGCTGACAGACATTGTGTAGTGTCATGATATTGCTGTGATTACAATTTTATTATATAATCGTCACCTGTCCACCGATCACTGATTGATAACTAAATTGATATATTACCTATACATGTGCCAAAATAAAAATATCTGACCAGGTGGTCGAGCGAACCAAATAATCCGTACATACAGTTTCAAACCACCCTCTGCATTCTGATCAGTACAGCTGAACTTTCTTCAATACTCGAGAAAACATCTACTGCTTTGCGGCCAACATACTTGTCTCTGCTTTGCAATTGAACTTAATAATTGAGTATTAATATGTAAGTAAATTCAGATTTGCAAATATATATCGCAATAAGGCTGTCGTTGTTCCATATCAATGACTGGACTGTTTGCCGTGATTTTTGCCGATGTCGACTCATATAGTTCAAACTACTCTTTATTTTAGTGGCTATAATTTCGTGTAATTCGAACGGGATTGACAATATTTTTAAAATTTTGTTTGAACTGACCGGAAGTCAATAAATTTATGCCAAAACTAAGGAAATATGTTTGGAAAACAAATGAAATTGAAAAATGACAAGAAACCTCTTGTAATTAGACAAATACCATTTGTTTGATCCAAAACTTTAAAGAGTCTGAATTATAATTAAAATGATTAAATGCCTTAAAGTGTGTTTATTCGAACCCCTAAATGATCCTAATGCTAAATTTTAAACACCTGTATGAATCTTGGTTTTGGAAAAAAAACCAGGATGAAGATACCATAACTGTTCTCAACACTTCTGTAGATATTAAAAATGTGCTGTTTAGTTTTCTCTTTACTCGTAAAGGAATGATAATGTATCTACCGGGTGTCTAAAGTTTTATAAAATGAGAATGTGTACATGTAGGTGTGTTTAACAGGAATACTGTTACCTAGGTAGGTACTGTACAAGGGAATGACAACGGGAAGGTGTTTAACAGGTACAGGATGCATGCCTTATTAATATTTCACATGTATATGTATAACCAAAGCCACTGACACCAAGAACCCAAGCATTTAAGTAGACAGTTGTTTCCTATACATATCATTGTATTTGATGTAGAAAGAGTAATTTGTAGTTCATTATGATTTTTTGGGAATTTCACGATACAAAAATGTTTCAGAAATAATATAAACATAAGATACATATTACTGAATAATTTTACGAAGAAAGATAATTTAAGAAGCATGTATCTTGCATAATTTTCATCTGAAATATATTTTCATATTAAATCTAGTTACGATAGATATTGTGTTGTCCCCATTTAGAAATGAAGATATGTAAAGTGTTTTACTGACATCAACATTGGAAATGAATGAATAAATTGAATTGGTGAGGTTTTATAGACATGGCTAACATTTACAAGGTCTGTCTCTTGTAGAAATGTTTTGACACGACACCAATTTTGTTAATTTTTGGTGAGAAATTGTATGCATGTGATCCAATAAACCATTATGTTTTTCAGATGGTTAAGGTTACTACACCAGGGCTGTCTGCAGCTGAGAAAGAGAAATATATGGTAGCGGTCAAGAAGCACGGTCAGCTCCCAGATGTTATTGTAACAAGGGAGACAACTTCTACAACCTTTACTATAGACACTAACAGTGCTACCAAGACAACAGTGGTGAAGGCATGTCCCAAACAGGAGAGTAATGTAGGGGATAATGTGGAGGACACTAGTGCTAGTGAGAGAGTGACCACCACAGACATAGAGGGGGGGAAATGTGATACACCTGCTGCTACAGACTCCGAACCTTCTAGAGACGTCACTACACCTCTCACCATAGAGACCCAACTAAGTGGGTCCTCGCCGGGGCCAAGCAGTGAGAGTACCGACACCGCTTCAGAGGCTGGAAGCTGCTTCAGTTCTCCAAACAGTACTCTGTCCTCCTGTAATAGTCCTCGGCTGGCTGGAGGTATATATCACACCCAGCATGGAGCGGATTATCCAATTTCTGCTCTGGTTTTGCATGCATGACATAGTTCACATGTAAATCTTTTTGGAAACTTGGCTTAGTTTGAATGTATACCAAATATTAACATCCTCAAATGAGGATACAAGTAAAGAATTATGGGCAAAATGTGTAACTGATTTTTTTTTGATAATTTGATGTAATTGTGATCAATATTATTTGTTTTCTCTATCCACAGAGACATCCCCAGGAGGGACAAAGCGAGAAGGAGAGTCCAGTCACGGCCGACACAAACATCGGTTCAGCAGTAACCAGGCGTTTACACCAAAGGTAGGACAAAGCTTATGGCTTCTTTTTAAACCTTAAGATTTTAATTACCAAGCAAGTCTGATTCAATTCTCAGAGGGGAAAAGAATATTTTTAAGTGTACTGATGATTTTTGTTTTCCAAATTAATTTTTACTGAAATTAACTTTTTTCACATCTTATCACAGAAGTTATTTAATAAAGAGCTTACACTGTAGACTATGTGAATTGTTGATGTGACATTATCATTAAGATTATCTTTACTTTACAGGATCTTTTGGCTTTGCTGAAAAATGTAGAAAATGAAATCGCTCTGTGTGAGACTAATCTAAAGGATGAGATTGAAAAGAAAAGAAAATACCAGGTAAAGTCTGAAGTTTGCAACAATTTAGGATATTTTCCTATCAGGGAAATCTTAACTTAAAGTTGTGATCTGATCCTTACATCAGGTATAGAGATGTTAATTGAAGTCCGTTTCATATGTAAAAACAAAAGAATCGTCAGAACCATTTTGTTATTTAAGTCTGATTTAAGTTTTAAGTAGTTTTAAAAAAAACTTATTTATCATATCTTGAAGGCTGTGCACTTTGTTACCTTATATATCAAAATATTGCTGGGAAATACCTGCTGGAGTTTGCTATACAGATAAGATTGTATTGTGTACACAACTTCTTTAATACTGGAGTACTTCGTTTTGAAAATTAGATATAGTCTTTGTGATTTGCAAAGAAAGTGTTGTCCGTGAATTTAGACTAAAATTGTCAAAGTATTGCCTCAGTCTTAATGATTGGGACAGTTTTTATTGCGATTCCAAGTCTCCCCTGTTTAGTTTATACCTGTTTGTTAACAGATTGACGACTGTCGACGAACACACAACTATGACCAGTTCATCTGTACATTCCTGTCAATGCTGGCCAAGGAAGGTCACCTTGCTGACCTTGTCCAACAACAAGTTTTGGCCAATAAGCGACACGGCAGCGTCAGCTCCGGACGAATCACCAAAGTGTCTTTAAATGATCGTCGCAAACGGGCACGACCAAAAAAACGACGGTGAAATTATTATCAGTGAACTTGTCAATATGTCTAATGTATGTGAAGAAAACCTGTCATTTGACTCCAAGAGTAACACAATCTTAGGCTTGAGCTTCATATTGTTTTAATTATACATAAAACATGTTAATTTTGAATTGATGTCTTTTGCGTTGTGAGTGTTACACCTGGTGTGTAACCTGGCTATTGTGACAAAAATTGATACTGATATGCAGATTTTTTGTTGACAGCATTTTTCGTATTGTAAAGCATTAGTTTATGTTGTTTAGCATTCCAAGGTATTGGCTTTATACTCAATACTCAACAATATCTAATTCAGCATCTCACAAACAAGTCAACACTTACTGGACATAGCATTGGAGTTCAAGCATCCATCCATGATCAGTTAGTTGTCTTCTGTTTTGAATTGGACAAGGAAGCTGAGCAGAATTTGTATAATATTGGTATTTAAAAGTTTTAACACATGATGCAGGCATTGTGACAGAAGTTTCGTCCAATTTAATAAGGGTGATTGAGGGATGAGTTGAAGGAAGCTGAGAGAAATCTGTTGAATAAAATGTTACATTCTAGGTATGTAGATATACATTCTAGGTATGGTATGTAGATATACATTCTAGGTATGTAGATATACATTCTAGGTATGTAGATATACATTCTAGGTATGTAGATAGGAGTGTGTGTGCATGGTCCAAGTGAGTATACTCGTGAGCTTTTCTAGAATGTTAGGAGGAAGATTGTATAACAGGGTGAAAGTTAAACTGCTATTTTGGCAGTAATTGAAAGTGGAGAATACTTTTGTCAGTTAAAAAGTGTTATTGTAATACAAATGTACAGGTAATAAGAAAAGTTGAAAGATTCGAGGGGAGAAATCGATTTGCATGTTGAGAGAGTAAAACAGGAAGTTTTGTAGGTGCTAATTGTGCAGTGTATCAGAAATATGCAAGATTGATACATGCATTTATATACTGTATTTGACCTAATAAACCCCCAATTTTTTTAGAAGTGCTCTATATCCTTTTACTGGATGGAGCATTTGATGCCTTCATCATAATTTACCAACTCTCTTTAAAGATGTGTCAATTTTGACCATTTTTTAAAAAAACTTTTTCCCAATTTACTAATCCAAGGACAGTTATTAGGTCGAAGCGGTAATAAATGTGGAAAGTTTTCAAGTATAAAGTATTCTCGAGTCTCTTTGTAATATTATCACTTTATCAATTGGTATCTCATGTTCTGGATAACCACAAATGTGTTCTGTTTCTACTTTGCAAGCTATGACATTATAGATTGCTCTTGATGCATTTAGTCAACATTGAGCTGAGGATTTGATGAAATACAATGTAAAATACAATCGATACTTGTTTTCTGTGTTTTTTCTTCTTTTCTTGTTCTGTAATCTGCTTTATGTTGACAGGTTAAAGTCATTGTCAAGATGACGAAATGCTACTGTAAGACAATTTAACAGTTGTGTACTGTAAAAGTATTTGTGGTCACAGCTTGTAATTTTAGCATGAAAATCTCATGCTAACCATTGTGCAATACAGTACTTAATTTAAAATAAATCAAAGGTATGTTTGCTTGCCACATAGATCTGAAGTGTACTTGAATGCTGAAGAACGAGTGTGCCAATACAAGCATTCCATTGGTGCCTAATAACCCTGCAGACTAAAGGTATACCTATCTGTTAGTATGTACTGCAACTTCATGGCATTTGGTGAGGATGTTGTATGATTTAATAAAGTTTGATTGAAAAGCATTCGCAATCAGATTAAAGAAATCAAACCTTGAATTACATAGCTTTTGATGAAATAATAATAAGTAGTATAGGTGTCTGCTTCTAACCACCAACTAGTAGGTGAAGTTAAAATAAGTACCATCAGACAGTTTTCTGAAATGGACCTTGAATGACCTTCACCATGAAAGAATAAGCATGCCTACCAAGTTCCCAATCATTTGAAGTTTAGAATATAGGTTTCGTACAGCAGAAACATTAATATTTACTAATAGACAGATGTACAAGATGACTCCATGCTACACCTCGCTGAAGACGGATATAAAACCAACCTGTATCATGGCTCTAAATGTGTATGTACAGTAAAACCTAGATATTATGTTACCTCGTTTCATTTACAATTTTGCTTACCCCCAACATATTTCAATGTCTCTTTTCTATTTTTCTTAGGAATTCCTTTATATAACTTTCTCAATTTATCACAAAACTCATTTATAACACCAAAATCTCTCTGGATAAGTGGTGGCAATATAGCAAGGTTCTACTGCATCTTAATATTATTTTACAACACGGAAGTATTGTTACAAGTCTATCAACTCGAACCATCATTGGTGGTGGAAAACATTTTTATTTTACAAACAAAGAATGAATGGCACACTTTGCCGACTCTCTGTATCCTATACATAGATCAATGATGATATCACTGCTAACAGTGTACACGTAGTGACTCTTTGTATCCTATACAGAGATTAATCAATGATGACATCACTGCTAACAGTGTACACGTAGTATGTCTTTATAAATCAAGTTCATGGTCCTACAAAGATCACTTTAAGCACTTCCTGTGGTGGTATAGCCAGTGTCTAGATGTTAATGATACGACTCAGTTTCTGTACTCGATTCAGTAAGATGTCTCCTTGTTTTATCGTAGCCTGAAAAAGAAGGAACAATACATCAACTTACAATTCTTCGCAACACATGAACTTTTAATAAAAAAAATCATCAAAATAAGTATAGTTATTCAGAAAATATAAACAACAAAATTAAATGTATGGTATGGTACAAAATAATAATTATAATCTAGCATGGACGATTTTGTTTCTTTGAAAATAAGTAGAAACTTTCCTGAATGAAATTTATTTGAAGGTTAAATTTTAATCAATCTCAACTTTACAGAACGGCACCAATGAAAGCATGTTGTACAACTGTTTATATTGCAAAACTGATCATTTTGAACAGAAAAAAAGAGTAACATTGCAAATAACCCATCAACAATGCTTGACCTGAATACTTTACAATAAGTTTCATTGAACAGCATAGAAATAGTGAGAGCAATCTTTGAATAAAATTTTACGTAACATCCTCATGCCACAGAAATATTTTCCAGAAAGTTCAGCATGAAGGCGAGGAAAGTGGAGCAATAAGTAATTTGAGGAGTGTTGATGGAGGTGACATACCTGGTACTGCCAATTCTTATTGTCGGGTCTATTTGTCACCACAATGCCCTTCACCTTGTCGATCTTGCAGTGGAGACGACCAGCAGCGATGAAGCGAGCCAACTCTCTAGATAAAAGAGAATATCTTGGTAACCAATCCAATTTCTCAAAACAATGAACACAAAAAACAGGAGGCAGTTTGAAAGATTTCATTCCTTACAATGTCCGTGTCTTATTCACAAGAAGTCTTTTTTAATGTCTAGGAATATAATATATGTTCTGTTTAAAGAATTTTAGTATTAACATTAAACTTTTCTCATGTTGATTAATTACAATGTGACTGACTACCATTAATTTTTGGGAGAGGGTACCAAAGTCTGGTGTAAATAAATCTAGTACACCAACTGACTCGAAAATCTTTTTTGATCTGCTCAACAAATGAACCACTTAGTGCTGTGTATTATCTGAAATTCTTAATTGACAACATCCTGCACTTACTGGTCAATGAAATCCACAGAAACTCCAAATGCACCAGCCATGTACTCAAGGGCCAGACTTCTGTAGGATTCTAGGAGCTGGGTGTAGGCAATGATCCTCATCTCGCGTGTGTAGTACCGGTAGTGGGGAGCTAGGAACCGGTCATACTTCATTGTGTCCTCCATTTGGGCTGAGGATGTACAAGTGTAAAATGATATCACAAAATGTTACATGAAATCATTTAAACTTATGTCTAGATTAACTTGATTACATGATGATCCATAAAATATTAAATTTCATTGTAAATGTTGAGTTTCTATTCCTGTATATAATACCTGTATGTATTAGTCCCTTGTTAATTCATAACAATGGAAATGAGAAGGAATGGAAACCAGGTATAACATGTATGTATGGATATGAAAATTCTTCCTAAGTGTGTAGAAATTTGGTAAAACACAACTACAATTAAACAAATTTCATATTTGGTTTAAACCCATGACAAGCCTTGCATTTTATCAAACCCGAAAGCCCTTTGGTGGACATGAAAATCTTATAATTATGTCTACAAAGGACACATGTACCTTGCATTTGTAGAAGTTGAACAAAACAGGATCCTAAACACCAAGCTTTGTGACCTTGAACACTTACCTAATGTTCTGAAGAATTCTGCATAATGACAATCATACATAGAAAACAGGTAGGTGCGAACTTTTGGCAAACTGTGTAATACCTCCAGTACTTCAGATCCTTTGACAACCTGAAAGACACCATTTTGTTTATATCAATTCAGTGATACACATTCTTAACAAAACCATAAAAAAAGAAAACCAAGTAAAAATTATCTGGGGAATTGAAAATGATTCTGTATACATCTTGTTCACTTATATTGTGCAGTTCAGGTTTGTCATTATGAACTTAATGCTTCATTAACATCACTGGTGTTAAGGTGGCTCCACACTTTCGCAATTAACCAGCAAAATTCGTTGAAACTTTCATATAATCGTTATGCAACTATGTCGAGTTGATTTTATGAAAATCTAAACATTCCGATAGTTTGGGGAATTTTTAGGAAAAAATACCAAAAAATTGAATTTTCGTCAATTCTAATATTTTCCGGTTTTTTGTGTGTGTGGCATTGTTCGGAACAATAACAACAATAATAAAATGAAAAGAAGCATTTCTAATTAACCCTACAAATATTTTATTTATCGCAAAATATGTAACACATGTTACACAAAGTGTTTTTTATTGAATTTGTACGGATAAAAGTGATTATCTACAAGCTAAAAGCACCCAGGACACAAAGTTCTATACATATAGAGTGGGAAATTGAACAAAATTTACACAATGGCTTTATAATTAATTTATTTTTACATTTTACAATCACTTTGATCCGGGTGAGAGTTATCTTCCTTGAAAAAAATCGGAACTTTTTGCAGAGGGGTGACATTTACACAATGACAGTTGTCTCTGTTTACATATAACAAAAATGATGGAAATAAATCAAAAATATGATATCAAAATTATCAATTTATTGTTCTTTAATGGAACCAAATTACCCTCAGTCATGTACACTTTGGACATCATTCCACAGTCCGCTAACTCACGGTATATTTATAATTACATGTCAGACCAGAGGCTATCGCATGGTATACCGTTCTCACGTGCACTCACACATGCATTTCATAGGTATCTTGATATTTTACAAAACATTATTTTCACAGAGTAAGCTAGTAGACTACATTTGTAAACACGATTTAATCGACAGAGCGAAACTCCCTCAACAGCGAAAATCGTAACGACCTCGAGCTTATGAACTCGTGTAAACACGCGATATGCACATGTGAGGTTGGTACGTCCGCATTCCATGTGTTTCCTATATGACCTTCTTGAGGTCGTCTGGTCTCATGTCACTGTCTTCCCGTGAGTCTGTTTATGTCTATGAATTGGAAAGCTTTATTCCTGAAGTACGTGTGAGTATACATTTCCCGGTAAAATCTTGATATCGGGTGTTGACATATCATCGGCACGCACGTGTACTATTGTTTACCATGGGCCTGTTCGTTTATGCGGAACAACCGGTTTGACCGTTTATAAATGTAACAATTTCGGGTGTAAATCCTGGCGGACCTGCAAATGTGTATGCAGGCCTTGCAAGGCTTTCTCAAGACTCGCCTGAAAGCAGCATCAGATTACTAGGTCCGACCTTATTTAATAAACGAACAACAGTGGTCCGATCGGTTTGACCGTTTAATCGAAAACGGCCCAGCAGGTGTTACTATAATTTGCACTACGATATTGAATGCCCGATACGCAATACGGAAATGACGACACGGTGTACATGCACATTTCGATTAAGATAATTGAGTCCTAGCTGTACTTTTTCCGGAAGTATGTCACGAAAATGGACGCTGATGACGATGTGTCGAGCCACCTTACCTAGTCTGGCAGTTTTAATTGTGATATCTAGCTACAAGTGTTAATTGGGAGTTTTGTATGTAAGGTTCAACTGTATCCAGAATGTGCTAGTTGATAGACTAGTGCCACAGGATTCTATGATGAAGTTAATTTTTGCACCCTGTAATTAAAGTTTTTTGTCCCGAATCCTTAACTGACCTTTTCCCTGAGCTGAGGTCGCTCCAGGGCAATCATACCACAAAAGACTGTGTAAGTTACAAAAGTCTGGTAATCCATCAGCTCGTAAGAGGTGAAGGTCGCAACTGTGTCCAGAAAGAGTCCAGCAGCCTTTTTAAAGTCCCGTATGGACATACAGTACACGCCTCGGTAGACCTTTAGTCTGTTACGTCGATCCCAGTCACCTCCCTCGTCTATCAAACTGGAAGAAATTACAGGTTATACTCAAACAACAGGGAAACAAATAGTTTTTCGACAATTCTCAATTTAATTTACTTAAAAGACTAAGTTGAATGTCCTGTTCAGGGGTCATGCTAAAGTAATCCACCAATTGGACAGCTAGGTGACTTGGAAAATTACTTGACTGAATTTTCCAGCTGTATACATTTATCCCATTCAATAATCTGAAATATGTGTAATAAAAAACACATATTCCTAAACATTTATAATTTCTCATAAAAGAGAGACAGACTTTACATAATCCAGGACTTCATAACGAGAAACAAATTGGCTCATCTGTTACAAGAGCCTACTCAGGAACTTGTCCTTGCAGGGAGTCTCTTTCATGTTTATATACATCTATTGGTCATTATGCTAATGTGTACCCTGATTCTTTTACAGTTGGAATCTTCCTTTAAATAGTCCTTGCATCAGGTAATGAAGACTGGAGGAAGACAGAGATTCAGACACACGATTAAGTCTAAAACGATACACTTTTTATGTCAGAATGTCATTTATCTTTCGTAACTTTCCCTTTGGATTTCTGATGCTATCTGGTCCCAGGGTTTTAACTATGAATCAATTTTAAAGCTCTGGCAAAACTTTAACACACTGTGACCAATCATGACCACAGCTAAATGATTCTGTGAGAACTAACGTTTGAGCTTTTTCAAGATTCCTTGTGATGAGATCATGATCCATATAGAACAGGCCCATCCTGATGAGGTGAAACACAAGGTCAAGTCTGTACCCAAGGGTGACTGTCTTCTCCTGAGTCTTACGGAACTGTGCCAACGACCCTTCCTGTGCAATAACAAGTAACAGTAGTATACAACACTGAGAAAAAAACCACTATTAACTAATGACAAAATCTATTATTACTCGGTAGTAGACGCACCTTCAAAAATCAATGACAAAAATATTAAAAGTAGGTGCATCTTCAAATTTCTAGTAAGACAAAGTCACACTAAGATATGAACCTGGGAATACACTATGAATATATACAAAATGTGTGACTACAATTACCTGTAATGGTGATACAATCAAACAATATATCAAAAGATAAACATATTCTTCAACTGTAGATAGTTTTTCAGATTTATTACTACTAAAACCGATTGAAATCTCTTTTGAAGTACAAATAGTCCAATAAGGTTTCATATGTTGGCGCCCTAATTGTTTTAAACCATACATGTGGTAACTTAGTGCACTGGTTTACTTATATGGGTTATAGGTTTTAGTGGACAGTTTTAATGCAAATGACCTCTGAACAACATAGCTGGATTTTAAGAGTGACTACTGATCATGACAAAAACTATTTTTAATAGAAACATTTTCCAATGTCTGATAAAAGGCAAATAGTCCAATAAGTTTATATATATGCACATGTGTTGAACCCCACCCCCCATTTATTTTTAAACCATACTGGTTTGCTTATATATGCATTATACTAGGTTATAGTGGTCAGCTTTAATGCAAATGACTTCTGAACAACATACCATTGTACCTTGATTTTAAGTGTAAAACCATCTTTTTAGCACAACTTACCTCCAATCTAAAAAATATAACTTACCTTATCTCCAATTTTACATAAATACTCTGCTTTTTTCAACATAAACTCTCTAATTTCTGTTTCTCCCAGGTTCGTTTCTGCATCTTCTATTGATGCATCCAGTGCTTTCAGTTCTGTTTCATTTATCTTTTGCATTTTCTTTAACAAAGTTTCATCACATTTCCAGTCTAGTTCTTTAGACACTTCTTCATAATAAGGTGCCATACCTACAAAAAACAAGCACATCCGGTTATAGTGATCTTTTTCCTTACTTGTGGTTGTTTAATAAGAGTGACAGTGTGGAGCACTATATACACCCACAGTATATCAGTGAAATGGAAGTATTATGATTCAGAAAGGGATATACATGTCACTAGCAGTTTATAAATGGTACAAGATGCACATATAGTTATACATGTACTGGTGAAATGATCAAAAGAAAGTTGAAAAGCTCCAGTGATCCACATGAAATAAGCATGTGTTAATTTTAGGATCTGATTGTAATTTTATAAGTGATACTAAATATGAATCACTTTCAAAAGCAATTTATTTCTTTTATTTTCATATATTTTGAAAAGTGTCATACTTAGGCACTTCTGATGTGTTCTTGCAATGAAGTATACAAAATTATCAAAATACATATGTGTTTACTATTACCTGTCTCAGCTTAGCTAATTCAATAATAAAACTTCATTGAGGGACTTGGATTTAGTAAGTTCATGACCATGCATGTTTTATCAAAATCTTAATATTTGTTAGGTTTAGCCTGGAATGATACCTGTACAAAATTCAAGTTTATAATCAAAATGGATTCAAATCAAATTTGAGCAGGTTATTGATAATATATTTGTAGAAAATTTCATGAAAATCAAAGTATTACTTCAGAGTAAATGCAAAAAAACACTAGACTTTTCAAAAAATCGAAAATGACCACTGTTTGCCATATTGATTTTCAGATTTACATTAAAATTAAACTTGAGCTGGTAATTGATACTATTGGTGTGTAGAAAGTTTTATGAAAATCAAAAGATTTCTTCCCTAACCAAGGAAATCTTTAGTAGGCATGAGGACTTCTCCAGAGGGATTCCTATGTAATTTTTGCTTTGTAGGCATTCATAAAACTACATTTGTACTAACAATACTCAGAGGAGTGGAATTATTAGTTTTCCACAATATGGTGGTCTTGCAAAGAGAGAGGCTGGTAATTTTGAAGAAAATAGTTAATGGATTTAAAAAATAAACAGTGTTTGTGTGATACAGGTAGGTAACATGATTTTGGGTATCTAATCATCCTGTGATCATCTGTGAAAGCATTACGATGGAGGTCCATCCTTGCTGGATATACATTTTTTCTATTATTCTGTTAGTAATAAAAGACAGTTCTTGTTTTCATTAAAACCTTAGTTGTTATTATGTGCCACCCACCAAAGAGGAAATCGTGAAGCTGACCAACTTGAAATCAGTTGGTGTGCAAACTTGGGGGGCAAGCCTCATGGTGATATTTTGAAACAACACCATGTGGCAATGTTGTTCGTTGTTAGGTGTTTATTTTCCCCAAACAATATTACTTTCTTCTATCTGTTGATCATAAGTGTACAAATTTAAAATTGATAAGGTTTGATTGTTAATCATTATCAAGGTCTTAGATGTGCAGAATCATATGACGACATAAAACGAGAATATTGCTACATAGGCGGGAATGACATCCAGGTTTCCACAAAATGTCCTCAATTCAGGTTAAGAGGTGCTGTGAGTTATTGCAATTGGTAGGCCTAATCTTCAGAAATATTGATTTTATAATGTCTCTTATATATATTTAAAATTCATCCTGCCAAGATCCATCCTTGAAATTCAAAATGAAATGTTGCACCCCGGAAATATTTAATACAATTTAATACGATTGTTAAGTTAGACTAGTTTAATCTTTTGATATACAGCAAAAGAACTGTGCAGTAGCATAATGTTAACATTGGCTTGTTTTGAAATTGATTGTGGTTTTTCTGTAATCTTCAAAGGACAGCTACCAGCTTTGAGCATAGCAATTGGTGTTTTTTAACCTGAAACCGAACAATCTGATACCTTGTCAAGACATTATAAATTGGTGCAGAAAACTCAGATGAGCGTAACCCTTGAAATTTCGATGGTGGTAAAAATGTTATCATATCAATAAAAATATTTTCAGTAAAGTGAATACGGTCATATAATGCAACAACGAAATGAATTCGTGATGAGACTATGACATAAAGAATGCATATAAAATCATATATTATGTGAAGCTAAAGAAAAAAATCTTTTACTCTTCATTTTTGCATCAGTAATATACAGTAACTATGAAGTGAAGCTGTACTGTATGTCTTGTAACAATGCAACAAGCGTGATGACATGCAAAAATTGAAGCAAAAAAAAGATAGTATATTTAAGTTTCTCACTATTTGATTCGATAGCTTCTAGCAATCTTCGTCGTAGATCTTTATCATTTTTGTATTTGCTAGTTCCTAAAAGAAATCTCCACTGAGCATGCTCAAAATTAGGGTTTTTGGGCAGACCCTCTTCTTCCAAATCCTCGACCGGCATTTTGTAAACGGAAGTGGAGTGCGCTATTTACTCCGTATCGTGATTGTTTAAAAAATAGATAGATAAAATAAAACATACTAAATTTACGATTGGCAATATTTGTATATTAGGAACGAGATATATTTCATTATTGGAAAATGTAGTTTTTATATTTTCTTTTGTAAAAAGAAACTAAATATTTTAACTGCGTGCCTATTGTATCCGGCAAGTACTTTCCTTAGCAGACCGCAGTCACCTGTCAAAATAATCGAAATTTGCTAATGCCACAGCTTCTTCGGTAACAGTTGACGTGTAGAGGAGACAAGCGGCCATGCCTGGCATCGAAAAATTGCACCTGGAGGATGCACTGGAGGACAGTCCTCAGGTATAGTCCCAGTTGTGAATGGGGGGAGGGGTATCTGTCAGGTTTGATGAATATACTTTTGACCTAAAATCAAATATACCCAGACACAATTAACATTATAATAATCATGTCATGTTTGCTATTGATACATTTCTAATAGTTGACTATTCATAATCGAATAAACATTGTTTATTTCGTCATTTAGCTCGTCTAATTACGGAATATTGAAATGACATTTGGAACTAAAATGATCGATACATGTTGTTTATGACAGTGAAGTGAGTTGACATGACTCAACAGACTGCTCACACGTATCCCCCCACCATGATCAGCTGGATACATGGCACAGATGGTCTATGATGCAACAAAACATATATAGTGATAAAATGATTTATGCTTCCTAGTTCTTTACTCGGGTTGATTTATTAAAAAAAGGTAGAATCATTGGGGACTACAGCAGCATGAATCATCCCACAATTTATACTAAATACATAGAAATAAGAACATATACATCGAACTGAAACCCTCCCCCACCACATTGATTATATCTATTTATAACTTCTGTTACTAAAAAAACATTTGGTGTCACTGATTTTTTGATGTCACTGATTTTTTTTCAGGTAAAGTCATGTAGTTTAGGTAAGGTGATTGCAATTTCAAGTCATTCTGAATTGACAACAAATTGATTTTAAGGGTGGTAATCATTAAATAGTTTTGCTCACACTGAATTTATGCCTGAGACAAACACACTGTTAGCCTTCTAATTTTAGCGGTGTTCTAATTTTAGTTGCTTCTTGCTATGCCTTTAAATTGTCTGCTAATTCATGTCCATGGCTAAAATACTCCAGGGGTTATGCTCTCATTTGCTCTCTGCACCCCTGGAATATCTCGGACCAAACTGAAGCAGGCAGCAAGCTATTTGATTGGTCTCAGGTAAAAAAAAAAAAGACCACTCAATAGGCTGATACCTGTCCTTTGAAGATTACAGAGGAGTGACACTCGAATTCAAAGCCAATAAATTTTTCTGTAACATACTCGTGAGATTCTTTTGATATAAACTAAAGGTCGAAATCGTATTCATGTCCTTTTCCACCAATTTGGATCCCATATCTAAAATGAAATATCTTGAAAAGAATAAAAATGGTCAAAAAATGTTGTCCAAATCACTTTAAGCCAAAAGGTAGAATAGCGATGTTTACATTTATCTTATTTCGATGGTTTTGTTGAAAGTTCAGGATTGCGTAGAGTTTGCCTAAACATTGTTAAATATAAATTAGCTATGAATAATGTATATAAAAATGCTTCATTTGTCCATATGTACAAGCTGAATGTACTTGTACTAATTAATACTGTAATGGTTTAGTAATTTCCTCAACAATAATGATAGAAAAGATGAAATTCTTATATGTAAATTTATATTCAAATATTCTTTCATTTATTGTCACCAGTATGAGCAGAACAACTGCCTTGTATAATTACATTTGGCCTGTATACACAATAATTCGGACTGGACAGAACTTTGTTTATGAGAGACCACTGTACCATGTCGTTCAGAAAATCTAAAGATCAAGGGGTCCAATAACAGCCTTATGGGTAGCATGTAGCCTTCCTTTTGCATTCTACTTCAATTTTCCTTTTCTAAACTAGGTGAGATGTTAGTTTATATTTTTTACCAATCATATATGTTGGTCATACCTATAGACATTAATGATAACAGAATTGTATATGTTTGTTTATACCTATAGACATTAATTGATAACAGAATGGTATGTTTTGGTTAGGAAACCACTGAAAAATGGTATATTTATAGACATAGACATGTATGGCCATAATAAATTAATTGCTAGATTCTCATCCAAATTCTTTTCAAAATTGGGGCTGGGGGGGGGGGCGAATTTTATTTTTTATTTTTTATTTTTCCTAAAATTCCAAATGGTTGCAAATGTGTTAAAATAGTTAAATAAAGGCGCATGTTCAAGGGACATTTATCTTTATTTTTTGTTAATAACAACTTTGAGTATGCAGTATACACATTGAACACCATTTCACTGTTCAGTCCACATATATATCTGTACTAACTTTTGGTATGAATACACACCACATTACTTTTTCACATATCGTCCTCTTTTAATTACAGTGACCTTGCCATTGGCCAAACAGTTCTGGCATATGGGGTAGTTTTCCTCAGATGTAGCCACATTGTCATCTGTGCCACAATGGAAGCATCCTGCTTAGAAACCAGCAGAGAAATAGGCCAGTTCAACTGGCCCATCACATGTCAGATTTTTTCTTACAAACACTGATTTTAACACATTTTCTTGTTCAGTTTCTACATCAGCAAACTCAGAACCACACGTGTACGACAAATCGCCCAACATAGTTTGCAATTCCTTTCTTTTCTTTCCTCTTACAACATACTTGCAGTAGAGAACACGAGGCTTGTCACATTCAGAACAGAATATCCCCATTTCAACATTTTAAGCAGTTTGGGCGGTGGGGGAGAATGGCATACCATGCCCAGGACCTGGCTTGTGTCCTAGTGAGGGCCTGTGCTTTTCACTAGTTTCGTGTCCATATAACTGATCAAAGGACTTGTACTTGTCACCAGTATCAGGTTCTGGGTCTGGCAGAAAGTGAAGACCTTCAAAAGTATCTGCAGGTAAGTTTGGTCGTTTACAAAGAGTGCAGGTTGCCTTCCCACACTTTTTGACACAGAACATATAATGCCTGATTTTGCAGTGTGAGGAAAGAAAAAAATGGAATTGTTTCCGTATTTGTACTGATAAATCCAACTTTCTGATCGTGTAACCAGTCGGGCAGTAACGGCCCTGTTCCCACACTCGACGGGCGCAGATTTGTCAATTGTTCCTTCGGCCAATTCATGAAAGACTTGTTCAGTAGCAAAATACTTGTTTTAGTATCGGCTACTGAACAACCATACCAATCTTTAAGAACGGCAAGTTGCCGTTTCAGCTTTAGAATTACAAAAACCAACTTGCAGACGACGAGTTTTCCACAACCGGAAATTAATAATATAAAACTAATTTTTGAAGCAGAAAACGGGGGAAAAAATCTGGATTTCGTATTTTTCAATTTTTTTCGCAAATAAAAAAAATTGGGGCGGGGCCTCAAAGAGGGGGCGGGCGGGGATGAGAATCTAGCAAATAATTTATTATGGCCTATTTCGATTGGTGACTTTTAACATTTTCTGGAATCAATAGAGAAATGGTTGAAGTAAGAGTGTTCCAGAGTGATCAATGCATTAAAAAGTCTTGATTAGTAAATCTTAATTAAGCACTTATAATTTAAGTCACACAATATTTTTTACAAACATGCAAATTATTTATTGTTCCACATTTTCACTGAAAGAGAAGCATGTGATCTATTTTCAAATCAGGGAATTGGTAATCACATTCCTGTTTCATTTACTTTGTTTTTAATAATTGTACTTATAAATGTAATGATAGACCTATTCTTGGATGGGGAGGGGGGATTTCTTAAACCCCGTGAAGAATGAAATGCACTTTTGAAGTGTAAATTTTCAAGGAATATGTGGCCATTTTTGGAGAAACAAGTTCTGGTCCCAAGGACCCCCTTTTTTCAGACTTTATTGATACATAAAGGTTGTCTCCAGTTATTTGATAGTGGATCTCAAGACCCTGTTTACAAAATGAAGAAATATGCTATGGCTGTCAAAAGGATAAATAAAGGGACCTGACATTTCCATCTACCGTTATGTAAAAGAGCTTAAGACTCTCAGTAGGATTTCTGGACTCAACTGCAGACTTATTCTAATCACGTAGTTTGACATTTGTCAAGCAGAACACACAATTCTGTATTTACTAGCTAGAGCCATTGATTTTATAATACTTGTACATCTCAGTGGTCAATATAAGACAGAAAAGCTCTCGGTTTCTAATTCAACATGTTGATGATAAGAACCATGGGACAATTTTCCATTTGCTTAATTTGCATTAATATCCAAATACTTATAATGGCCCATTCAGTCACTTAACACACCTATTTTAGATGAAAATTAAGCACTTATGAAAATATACAAAAATATTCTGTATAACAGGACACTTTTTTGCCCAGTCAAATATTTGCCTTTCACTGGTTATTTACAAAAATAAACTGTATACCGGGAAATGTTTTTGCTCAGTCAAATATTTGTTCTCCACTAGATAAATGTGTATTTGTCCGGTGTAAATTTTGCCCTTCACATGTAATTACTATTTATAGGGTAAACTTTGTACTAGTATTTGTGTCGTGATAAATTCGCCCTTATTGCAGACACAAAATAAAAGACAAAAAAATTAAATGTCAATAAGCTTATAAAGCAAATTGTCCTTGGAATGGTATTAAAACAGAGCTAATTTTGACGGGAAGAGCAAAAATCTCAGCTTAGATGTTTCCAAATTTAAAGCTCCCGGACCCATGTTCCCAAAATAGTAAAAAGCAACCCACTGGGTTTTCATTTGATCATGTGTTAGACCAAACAAGTTTATGATCCCAAATGAAGGATAGGTATAAGTTGTGACAAGGTCCATTCTGATGGTGTAGCTTTAAACCAGGTTCCATCACAAGATTTGGACGGTACAGTAAGGTATGATTTCCCCTGACGCAGGATTCAATTAGCATTTAACATGATGGAGCGACACATCAAACGCCAGTAGGATCATTGGAGATAGATTCTGACCTGCAGCATGTGCTGGAGAAGCTGTGCAGTACTTATATACACAGTTTAAACATACTACGGTGAAATGTATTGATCCATCTGAATCACAACTATCTGCCACAGACAATGCAGTAGGCTGTCTGAAACCAGCACAAGCTACGATTAGATTACAAATATCTTCAAGGCAAGAAAAGCAATTATATTGGTTAAAAAGATGTAAACTAACCTTGTTCCATATATAGTCAGCAATATTAGATGTCTGACTTGAGTGATGGACACTTTTGTGCTGCAGTGACGAGAGTGCAGAGGGCTTGTAGCCAAACAGGACAAATAATTGTGAAAAAGAATTTGATATGGATTCCAAGAGGTGATTTTAGAAAGTAAATCTGACCTTTGATCTGTACCTTATCTTCCAAATTTTGAAGTCAAAATGATATAAAAAAAAATATGCTTGGATGCAGGTAAACTGTATTAGAATGAAGACATTGATTTCTGCTAACTGAAATAACAGCACCATTATTCAAGATGGTTTTCACTTTATACAAGTTTTGTAATGATACATCAGTATACACATTTTTAGCTCACCTGCCCGAAGGGCAAGTGAGCTTATATATGCCATACCCCGGCGTCAACTTTTCCCTTTAAAAGCCTTTATCTCCTGAATGACTGATTGGATTTTAACTTAATTTGATATGAAGCATCCTTGGGACCAGGGGCTCAATGGATTTATGAAATAAGGGTGTGGGCCCCTAAGGGGTTTAGTTAGGGGCCAAAAAGGGGAAAATTTAGAAAAAAAATCTCCCCATTTGTTCCTGAGGAGGAGGTGAAGTTTAGTATAGTTTATATAGGAAATAAACGTAATAGGCCATATCTTCCATTGTTTTGAACGGAAGTTGTTCATATTTGAAAGAAATACTTATTACGGGAGGAGGGTCTGCTGGTATATATTTTGTGAGCCTGCTCCCCTAGGGGGCTGAGTTAGGGGCTAAAAAGGGGGGGGGGAATTTTAAAAATCTTCTTCTCCAGTTCTAGAAATGCTAGAATCAAATACTACTCATACCTGTAAAGGCCTTTGGGTGGTTTATAAAATTTGTGATTTTCATGCCGTTTGCCCCTGAGGAGGGGGTGAAATTAAGTATAGGTAGTTTATATATGGAATAGACATAATAGGCCATATCTTCCAATGTTTTGGATGGAATTTGTTCATATTTGACAGAAATACTTGTTAGGGGAATGAGGTCTGCTGGTATAATATTTATGAGTCTGGTGGTGGGGGGCTGAGTTAGGGGCCAAAATGGGAGAAATTTGGGGAAATTTCAAAAATCTTCTCTAGTTACAAAAATACCAGGATCAAATACTACCCAAAGCTGTAAAAGCGTTTGGGTGGTTTATAAAAATTGTGATTTTCATGTCTACCAGGCCCTCCGTTTGCCCCTGCTGAGGGGGTGAAATTTAGTATAGTTTATGTAGGAAATATACATAATAGGCCATATCTTCCAATGTTTTGAACGGAGTTTGCTCATATTTGACAGAAATACTTGTTAGGGGAGGAAGGTCTGCTGGTATGATTTTTGTGACCCTGACCTCCTCGGGGCCGGGTTTGGGGTGAAAAAGGAGGCGAATTTCAAAAATCTTCTTCTGCAGTTCCAGAAATGCTAGTATCAAATACTACTCATAGTTGTAAAGGCAATCGAGTGGTTAATATACTTTGTGATTTTCATGTGCCCCAGGTCCCTAGTTTGCCTTTTGGAGGGGGTAAAGTTTGGTATTGTTTATATAGACAATTCGACAAATGAACAGCCATCACATACTTTTTATCTCCAACCCAACTAATGTGCTAGTAAAAGTAACAACCATAATTCTTTATGAATTTTAAAGTCTCCATAGTAACGCTTCCAAGTTCTTACCCTACATGTCTGAAGTGGTTACAAATTGGCATTACAGAGCAAATGTAAATATTGTGCCATGATTGCTTAAATAACCAGGTTAGCGATACAGGCCCCCTGGGCTTCTTGTTCTTTCATAGACTAGAAAATATCTAGGTCATCTTAGGTATGATTTGACATTGTTCAGGCATAAAAGTAATTGTCAATGGACTAAATATCTCCTGAGCAGTTTAATTATCTAGTGCTGTCAATCTGATCAAAAGTGAAATTTCATTTTAGAAATGTCACAGTGACTCATAAGTAAGCTGACACACCTATTGTTTAATTACCTTGATAAATAGGCCATTACATGTGTATAAGTGGGATAACTCATTTCTAATCACATCTGAGTACCTCTGTGCATTTCTCAAATGGAAAATAGAAATTAAATGTGAACTTATGCATATCCTCATCAATGTAGCATTGTTATTTGAGCAGGTGGATTTTATTACCCTGATTTTACAAGGCACCTGTTGATTTCATCCATAGCAAGAATTTACTAAAACTTAAGTTGACTAGGAATCATGTTTACATAAGAAAAGTCTCTGTGTATATTTCACATTTAAAACAAATCTCCCATGTTGAAGATAATACCCATAGGTGAACCATATTCTCTTATGCAAAATTTGTACTATAGGTAACAACATGGTTTCAAGGTACCAAGAGATTTTGTTCACCTTTCAATCTCGGCAAGAAAGTGCCAAATTATGAGGTAATGAGATATCACGTAATACTTGTTATCAGTACAGTGAATACTTTATCCTAGGCAAAAAAAATCTTAAAGTTCTTAGTTGAACTGGAATTATTGTGGGTGAAATTCCGAGAACACACAGCACAGTGATATGCTGTATCAAAGTCAAAATACACAGAATTCTAGTCATACTATCTTAAATAAATCATTCATTGTCCGCCTGGACCAAACTGATTCCCCCATCTCCCCACACTCCACCCACCATAAGAATAAAATAAATAAAATAATTGGGTTTTTTTGTTTTTATTTAATAAGCTAGTCATTCCTTAGGCTGTTTGGCATCTCAACTTTAACCGACATGTTGGAAATGTTTTTGTCTAACAGTGTACTTGTCACTGTCAAGTCAAAGCATACATTTTGTTGAAGTTATTAGAACCAGTAGAAAAAATGACATTTGTGTCCCAACCTACCCAAACATAAAATGCTGGTTCAGGTTGAGGCAGATACACATCTGATTAATACTAGCCTAATAGAAGGAGTTCCAATAGTAGCTAATAAGTCACTCTCCCATTGTACAGAAATCTCAGTTTTTGGTGCAAAATGGAGTTGGCACTGAAGTGTAAACAAGTAAGAATTGAATACTTTTATACATATGTTTGTAAAATCATCAGTAGCCTTGACATACAGGTTGTTTTTCATATACATCTGAACTGGATGACATGCTGCTATCTCGTTAACACCTGAAGGTATCTTATCACTCACAGGGACCAGTATACTCATCAACACCAGTGCTCACTATCTATACACCTGTCAAACTATAGCTTAGTATGGGGAACCAAGGAGATGGATTATGAAAGAGATTATTAAAAGAATTTCACAAACAGGTACTATCATATGGCCTGTATTTCAATAGACTGATACCCAGTGACGGACCCACTGCACTATAGATTTGGAGTTGTTTCACATGATAACCATAGATGTTGAATAGAATGTATTGGAATGTTTTTGTTTCAGATGAGAATATAGGTACTGACAGAGAACTATAGCTTTTGAATACATGTAGTTGTGTAAACTTGTCTCTGCAGTAATCCTTTGAATGTAAATGAAGGGCTTGTTTCAGACGAGGTCTCTGTTGACATTTGTTGTGTATACCAGTTTTCTGCAGTAATTCTTAGACTGTGTATAAATGTATTGTTTCAGACGAGGTCTCTGTTGACATTTGTTGTGTACACCAGTTTTCTGCAGTAATTCTTAGACTATGTATAAATGTGTTGTTTCAGACGAGGTCTCTAGTGACATGTGTGTACACCAGTTTTCTGCAGTAATTCTTAGACTGTGTATAAGTGTGTTGTTTCAGACGAGGACTGTGTTGACATGTGTGTACACCAGTTTTCTGCCGTAATTCTTAGACTATGTATAAATGTGTTGTTTCAAACGAGGTCTCTGTTGACATGTGTGTACACCAGTTTTCTTCAGTAATTCTTAGACTATGTATAAATGTGTAGTTTCAGACGAGGTCTCTGTTGACATGTGTGAACCCCAGTTTTATTCAGTAATTCTTAGACTATGTATAAATGTGTTGTTTGAGACGAGGTCTCTAGTGACATGTGTGTACACCAGTTTTCTGCAGCAATTCTTAGACTATGTATATATTTGTTGTTTCAGACGAGGACTCTGTTGACATGTGTGTACACCAGTTTTCTGCAGTAGTTCTTAGACTGTGTATAAATGTATTGTTTCAGACGAGGTTTCTGATGACATGTGTGTACACCAGTTTTCTGCAGTAGTTCTTAGACTGTGTATAAATGTATTGTTTCAGACTAGGTCTCTGTTGACATTTGTTGTGTATACCAGCTTTCTGCAGTAATTCTTAGACTGTGTATAAATGTGTTGTTTCAGACGAGACATCTGTTGTCCGTGTTTGAGAAGGATGCTCTGGCTCTGAAGAAATACAGTACTGGTCTGCAGACATATGTGTGTACACCAGTTTTCTGCAGCAATTCTTAGACTATGTATAAATGTGTTGTTTCAAACGAGGTCTCTGTTGACATGTGTGTACACCAGTTTTCTGCAGTAGTTCTTAGACTGTGTATAAATGTATTGTTTCAGACGAGGTTTCTGATGACATGTGTGTACACCAGTTTTCTGCAGTAGTTCTTAGACTGTGTATAAATGTATTGTTTCAGACGAGGTCTCTAGTGACATGTGTGTACACAAGTTTTCTGCAGTAATTCTTAGACTATGTATATATGTGTTGTTTCAGACGAGGTCTCTGTTGACATGTGTGAACCCCAGTTTTATTCAGTAATTCTTAGACTATGTATAAATGTGTAGTTTCAGACGAGGTCTCTGTTGACATGTGTGTAGACCAGTTTTCTGCAGTAATTCTTAGACTGTGTAAAAATGTGTTGTTTCAGACGAGGTCTCTGTTGGCATATGTGTGTACACCAGTTTTCTGCAGTAATTCGTAGACTATGTATAAATGTGTTGTTTCAGACTAGGTCTCTGTTGACATTTGTTGTGTACACCAGTTTTCTGCCGTAATTCTTAGACTATGTATAAATGTGTTGTTTCAGATGCGGTCTCTGTTGACATGTGTGTACACCAGTTTTCTTCAGTAATTCTTAGACTATGTATAAATGTGTAGTTTCAGACGAGGTCTCTGTTGACATGTGTGAACCCCAGTTTTATTCAGTAATTCTTAGACTATGTATAAATGTGTAGTTTCAGACGAGGTCTCTGTTGACATGTGTGTACACCAGTTTTCTTCAGTAATTCTTAGACTATGTATAAATGTGTAGTTTCAGACGAGGTCTCTGTTGACATGTGTGTAGACCAGTTTTCTGCAGTAATTCTTAGACTGTGTATATATGTATTGTTTCAGACGAGGTCTCTGTTGACATTTGTTGTGTACACCAGTTTTCTGCCGTAATTCTTAGACTATGTATAAATGTGTTGTTTCAGACTAGGTCTCTGTTGACATTTGTTGTGTACACCAGTTTTCTGCAGTAATTCTTAGACTGTGTATAAATGTGTTGTTTCAGACGAGACATCTGTTGTCCGTGTTTGAGAAGGATGCTCTGGCTCTGAAGAAATACAGTACTGGTCTGCATGGTTGCTGCCAGAGAATCATGAAAGCTCAGGTACAAATTGTCTTTGTTTTAAAGCATTTAAATCAACATTACTTTACGACACGTTTCAAATCTCATTTAAATGAATTTATCAATAGGCTCTAATTTGTTTGGCTTTTTTCTTCCTAGCAAAAAGATATACAAAAAGGAGATATATTTATTTTACCAATTGAAATATCCTTTTTTCACCAAATCACGTTCACAATGGAGATTAGACCAAAACAATATAATTGTATGTTTCAGGTACCCCAACCGTCCCTAGTTTTTACCTCCGACCCTAACAATTTTATCTCGCTCTAATACACTTAATTGTCCTTTTTGAACACGCTGAAAATGTAAGCATCATTATGACACCTCTATTTCATTGACAGTTATCAAAACCAAGTTTTGTAATTTCTTAAAATAGCTCCCCCCTCAAAATACAAAATAAATAAAAAAATAAAACCCCTACAGAGCTATCCTATTTCATACAATCATGTAACTTGAAACATGCATATATTTTTTGGGGTCTTAGGTCTCCGTTCCTCTTGATTATAAAGCAGACCAACCTACTGTGCTGTCAGTCATGATATTTGTCATGTCAATAATTTTATCTACAATATTACTGGGAATATAATCAAAATGTTCTAACTCTATAAAAAGGCCTGCAACCTATAGTTGTAATTCTATAAATATAGAGGAAATAACATAAATCTAAACATTTTAAATGCCTAGATATACTGGTACATTAAAAATGGTAGGACTATCTACCTTAATTTACTGAGTGACTCAAAAAATATTGTACTTTGTGCTTGTTTCGAGAAACGACATTCATGATGTTGTTATAATTTGTGATAAATCCTATCATCAGAACTTGTGACACCCCATACAATTGTTGTGATGTATAAATTCACAAATAGGTGATATTATGTTTTTGTTATTAAATGTCCTCAGAATGAGCTGTGTGCTGCTACACAATCTCTGGCCCAGCACCTCAGAGACTATGAAATACAGGTAAGTTAATCCACTGTAAGGTTCTACCAGGCACTACGATTGATTTCTGTTTTGTAATTAAAGTGCACCCTCATTTGAGTTTATAAATGTGTTTGGATAGTTATGAAACTATGTTCAAGCAGAAAGCTAAAAAATAAATACCTGGAACTCTGTTCCAATGAAAATATGTCTCCTTTTAGATAGATCTAGAACAGCTTGATTGTTAGGGATTGGATTAACTAATAACTGTGGATAAAGAAATATAATTTTCAGTCTTTTATTGCATTGCTAAATATAAAGTTGTTGATGAGCTGAACTTGTAATATTTGTCATGTTTCAATACTTATACTTTTGTTCGACCTTTTCCAGAAATTTTCTTTGGAAACAGAGGACAGTATTTTAACATCTACACTCAAACAATATGCCAGCTATCTAGATGATGTGAGTATGAACAGTTTTATTTGTGTAGATGGTCCCCGGATATCTATGATAAATAAGGAATTGGAACCAAAGAATGAGAGTTTCCAGTCCTCTATTTATGTTCTAAGATGTGATAGTAGAATCTATCAGTCCTGTAAGATGTGGACAGACTTGAGAAGAATCGGAACACTCAGATTTTGTCCAGAACTTGATAAAGCCTGTGATTTTAACAAATCAGTTTGGAAAGTCAACAATTGTACATATATCTACACCAAGTAATGCAGTGGAACTGATTATGGCACAATATTTTCTGAAGATAATCCAGATTAATATATTTGCTGGATTGACTAAAAAAAATCATTTAAATGTATTTGGATTCAACTTGTTTCGGTTGTGCCTATGAATTAATTCATATATAAAAATTTCACTTATCTTCTTGTTCACAAAATTATGATCTTATTTTGTACTAGGTGAGTTCAATCCAGCAGGTATTGTCAGCCCAGCTGTCTGAGACCATGATGTATCCATGTACCAAGTTCCTACAGGCCGACCTTGAAGGTATGGACCAGATTTATATAGGGTTGTAGCTACCAATTTGTTTCTTTTGGCAGAAATAAAATACTGTAAACCAGGAAATGTTTCGCCCAGTCATACTTTCGCCCTTTGCCCATGAAATCAGTTTTTGCCCAGTGTTACTTTCGCCCTTCACATTTCATTTCTCTGTTTATCATGTTGTTTACTTATATTCACTGTAATGATAAACTCGCCATCATCACGGAGGGCGAAAAATAAACTGCAGCGAAAATTTCCTGTTGTGCAGTCGTCATGTAGGTTAGAAAGTATATACTAGTAGTATAATTCAGACGGAGCTGGAACAGTCTTGTAGGGTTAGTGAGTACTAAGCAGACCTCATATACTGTGGTGTACTTGCAGACTTTATATACTACTGACAGAATATTTTGTTATAAATGGCCCCAAATCAATGACTGCAACCTTGTCTTTGACCCTGGCTTTAGCAACAAACTGTCCAATCCAACCAAATAATCCAATAACCCCTGATGTCATCTAAATCAGGTTTACTCACACTATCATGTCTTACCAAATTGATCCATTTCCCGTCCACGACAGCTAAATCAGATTTCATTTTGTACTTGGACAATAATCTTAACCTGGTCGAAACTTACGTAAAATTTAACTGCTCTTTCAATTTCTCTGCTATTTATCACAACACATTTAGATAAGAATTAATGTATGTAAGCTGTCTTGTCATTACAGATTATTTTACACTACTTTGTACTTTCAGAGGTGACTACCCTGTACGAAATGTTCAACATTGCATCAAGCGGTAAGCAATCTTAATTATATATGTTTTCCTCATACTTCTAGCATCATGAATTTGTGGCTTGCCTCATACTCAGTTCAGTAGTGCAGATTTCTTCTTGACTCGGTGATTTAGCTTCTATAAATATAAACTTTGTTAGTCCCTCACCGGGAACTGGGGAGGACTATTGTTTTGCATCCTGTCCGTCCATCCTTCCATCCCTCCGTCTGTCCTTCCGCTATATTGTCCGGACTCTATCTCCTACACATCTTGTCACTGGAACTTCATACTTGGGGCATGGGTTCACCTTGGTGAGGCGGTGTGTCGTGTATTAAAAGTAGGCCACTCTGATCTACATTTTGACCTTTGACCCACATCAAAGAAAAAGTTTGTGCGGGCTCTATCTCCTACACTTCTAGTCACTGGACCTTTATACTTGGAGTATGGGTTCATCTTGGTGAGGCGGTGTGTCGTATATTAAAGTAGGTCACTCTGTTTTTGACCTTTGACCTGCATCAAAGAAAAAGTTTGTCTGGGCTCTATCTCCTACACTACTAGTTACTGGAACTTCTATTCACATTTATACCACCAAATGCAATCAAATAATGAAACGCTATAGAATACATAGTAAAACGGTACCACTAACCAGTAAACATCCACCAGATTTATTTGCAATAGTAGCACTGACACTATTCCTTATTGAATACGGTGGGTCTATCAAACATTCATATATAGAATTAGTTCCTGCACAAATTTATCATCTGTGACCATTCGGTGGGGGACTAAAATTCGCCGAATTGTCTTGTTTATTTTACAACAATTATGAAACAAATTTTTACAACTTATACTAATCACTCTTGTTGACCCAGATGTTAGGGCGCGTCTTACTGTGGGAGGAAACCAGAGTACCCGGAGAAAACCCACGTGGTCGGGCAGGTGACCCCATACCCTTTCACATCCGATTGGGGAATCTAAATCCTCGAAAAATTAGTGCGCTATCCACTGCACCACCTGATTTAGCTTCTAAGTAAAAGATGAGAAAACTAAAGAACTGCAGTGATTTCATTTCAGCTAGTGTTATATATTAACTGTATAGAAATATGTTAGGAATAAAATGAAAAATACAATCGGTTATATCAACGGCATAGAGCTCATCTATATATTTACAGAACACGGCAGTGCCCAAAGTAGATACATGAAATTATCAAAGAGGAGAGAGGATGACAGAACTAGGAACGAGGCTAATCAAGATTTATATTTAACGAGGAAGAAATTTCATCAGGTAATGCAACATATATTTCTTTACTTTTGTTGAATGACATATAAAACAGTGTGAAGTAGTTCTGTTCTTCTCACACCGACCGTCACCAAACGAAGTTAGAGGGAGGGATGGGCGTGTATAATATTTGCCTGATCGCCTGTCGACACAATTTAGTCCACACTATTCTTTCTAGCGGACTGTACCAATTTTAATTAATCTTTGCACAGAGGCTTTTGTATGGTAGGGAGTTATGGCCCTTGACTTTTGTATGGTAGAGAGTTATGACACTTGACTGTTGTATGGTAGAGAGTTATGGCCCTTGATTTACTCACAGCCTTGTTCAGTCTACTACTCCTACAGAATAAGATTTCAGACATGTTACCTGTCATATAAGCTAGTGCGTGTGTAACTGTTATAATGCTCTTTGATATTATTATCTCATATATGAATTAAAATATGTTTTCATAAATACATTTGAGCTAATAAACAGAGTTAGACACTTAACTGTTTTTGAATTATAGTCCTCAGGACTACATGTAGTTGAATAAATTATTTGCAAGTCCTATGTCAATGTAACTAGTCCAAGATTTCCGTAAGAAAAGACTTTCAGCACAAAACATAAAAACTAACTGACTGTAGGGAACGTAAAACAACTACTGCCATAGAAATATGGTGAAGTTTCAGGCAAATTTTGACAATCACCATGCAATATATCTGTATTTTAAGCCTTTTTCTGATCTATTTATCAAATGATGTTGTGATAACATGTTTGTACAAGCCCAAAGGACCAGTAAGGTTTGGTTGCTCGTCTCGGACTAGAACACAAATGTTGGTGTCAGACCCTGATAAAATCTTATGCTGTTCTAATTGACATCAAATAATTACTGCTTTAATGAATATCCTCTTCAAACACTAAATTAGGAGAACAAGACATCGTAGGCAGCAAATGGTGAACAGGAAATCAAAACTTCTGAGAAAAGCGGTTTATTTTTTCTTCTTGTTTAATCATTTGCTTTAATGACTCTTTATTAATGCGCTGACTAATAAATAAACAAATTTGTTCTAGATTTTATTTTATTTTTAAGTCACCATCAAGTTTCCTAGTCTTTCCCTATACAATGCATACCCAGGAAAAACTTGAATTACATATATATGACTGTTATTTCAGACTTGAATTACATATATATGACTGTTATTTCAGACATCTTTACACTACTTCTCCTGTCTAAATGCCCTACAATACAAGAGGAAATTCTGTCTTTTGGAGCCTGTCATGGGCTACCTCCATGCACAGAGGGCCTTCTTCAGGATGGGTCAGGATGCTGTCGGGAAGACAGATATAGAGGACTTCCTCAGCAACATTGCTGCCAGTGTGCAAGGGTAGGGAAACAGTTCCTTTATAGCAGGATTTCTCTGATATAATACAAATGAATAGCTTGTGTTTGATTGTGAAATCTGTAAGAAACGTTTTAGAAATGCTTAGAGAAAAACTTTTTATCGTTAAAGGGTACAGCATGAACTACAGATGGAGACCAAGAAAACAGTAGATTTGATTGACAACCTGGAACAGCAGAGTGCACATCAGTATCACGGTCAGCCTCCTGTGGACATGCCTTATATACCCCCCAACACCTCCCTCACACAGAAAGCTGGATACCTCTACATCCGCAGGTAAGATATATTGGTCAACTCCTAACCCCCAACGCCTCCATCACTCAGACAACTGGATATCTGTACATCCACAGGTAAGATAATAACGGTCAACTCCTAACCCCTAACACCTCCATCACTCAGACAACTGTATATCTGTACATCCACAGGTAAGATATAATGGTCAACTCCTACCCCCCAACGCCTCCATCACTCAGACAACTGGATATCTGTACGTCCACAGGTAAGATATATTGGTCAACTCCTACCCCCAACACCTCCATCACACAGTAGACTGGATATCTGTACATCCACAGCTAAGATAATAATGGTCAACTCCTAACCCCCAACACCTCCATCACACAGACAACTGGATATCTGTACATCCACAGGTAAGATATAATGGTCAACTCCTAACCCCCAACACCTCCATCACTCAGACAACTGGATATCTGTACATCCACAGGTCAACCCCTATACCCCCAACATCTCCATCGCTCAGACAACTGGATATCTGTACATCCGCAGGTAAGATATATTTGTCAACCCCTATACCCCAAACACCTCCCTCACACAGGAGGCTGGATATCTGTACATCCACAGGTCAACCCCTATATCCCCAACATCTCCATCACTCAGACAACTGGATATCTGTACATCCACAGATCAACCCGCTATATCCGAAACATCTCCATCACTCAGACAACTGGATATCTGTACATCCACAGGTCAACCCCTATACCCCCAACATCTCCATTGTTCAGACAACTGGATATCTGTACATCCGCAGGTAAGATATATTTGTCAACCCCTATACCCCCAACACCTCCATCACTCAGACAACTGGATATCTGTACATCCACAGGTCAACCCCTATACCCCCACCATCTCCATTGTTCAGACAACTGGATATCTGTACATCAGAAGGTAAGGTAATAATGGTCAACTCCTAACCCCTAACACCTCTCTCACGCAGGAGGCTGGATATCTGTACATCAGAAGGTAAGATAATAATGGTCAACTCCTAACCCCCAACACCTCCATCACACAGTAGACTGGATATCTGTACATCAGAAGGTAAGGTAATAATGGTCAACTCCTAACCCCTAACACCTCTCTCACACAGGAGGCTGGATATCTGTACATCAGAAGGTAAGGTAATAATGGTCAACTCCTAACCCCCAACACCTCCATCACACAGTAGACTGGATATCTGTACATCAGAAGGTAACGTAATAATGGTCAACTCCTAACCCCTAACACCTCCATCACACAGTAGACTGGATATCTGTACATCAGAAGGAAACGTAATAATGGTCAACTCCTAACCCCTAACACCTCCATCACAATAATGGTCAACTCCTAACCCCCAACACCTCCCTCACACAGGAGGCTGGATATCTGTACATCCAAAGGTAAGATAATAATGGTCAACTCCTATTCCCCCAACACCTCCATCACACAGTAGACTGGATATCTGTACATCATAAGGTAAGGAAATAATGGTCAACTCCTAACCCCCAACACCTCCATCACACAGTAGACTGGATATCTGTACACCCACAGGTAAGATAATAATGGTCAACTCCTATTCCCCCAACACCTCCATCACACAGACAACTGGTTACTTGTACATCCAAAGGTAAGGTAATGGCTAACTCCTATACCTGAAACACCCCCATCACACAAAAGGCTTTTTATCGATACATCTGCAGGATAAGACAACAAACTTACCAGTCCTGTAACTAAAGACTCTGACAAATTCATAGAATGCATAATATAATTACCTGTAACACTTGGCTAGATCTGATGACGAGTTAAAGCAGCACTTGCATTGGTGTTGTAATTTCTAAATACGGAACTTCTGTTTATCAACTTGCATTGATATCTAGATTTTAGACAGCACGTCATGTTTTGAAACATTTTAAAATTGTGAGCTTGAATAGTGGTACAGTGATGATTGCCTTTTACAAATTGCATGCATATATTTTATTGGACCATTTACAGCTTTGTAGCTTTCATATCATGTTATTTACACATTTACGTTCAAGTTTGTGCTGTATTTAATTTGTGGTGTTGAGATCGCTGTATACTCTATTAAACATGTAAATCCGTATTGAAAAGTAAGAAATAACATAGTACAGAGATGTATTTAGGTGTTTATTTTCCATCCCCTAATTTTAATGACACAGTTTATGTTTCTATGTTGCTTTGTGTTATTTACTAGGTCCAAGATGTTCCCTATAGGGTAAGGAGAGAGTGGTGGGCTGCAGAGGCGTTGTAGTGGGAACACTCTCCAAACCATCTCTCTTTTACTTAGATGTCATGACATATACCCTGGGTATATAATATCTGTGTGACGCGACTCATTTATAAATTCAAACAATAGGCTTCTTATGACTATTCATTCAGTTTAGAGCGAGGCTTTGCCAGGTGCTAAACTTCAAAAAGCTTATCCCGAGGGTTGTGATTTTCTGTAGGGCAATACACAGGAGTGAATGATTATTTTTCTTCCATGCTTACCTACAGTAGACATAAGTGGTAATGGTGTACCCAGTGCAACAAGCCATCATCATAGACACATGGGTTGTGTCACAAGACTGATGAGGCTTCCCTGGTGCAATGGTGGCATTTTCAGAATAATATTGTGTGTGAGTCGTGAATTGTACTGAAGCCCAACCTTGCTGATCATAATCTTCCTGTAGAATGGTCTTACAAACTTCTTGGTTTCAGAGATATGCGTTGACAGAGTTTAGAATGACAAAATGATGGTTTTAGGCTTCAATTAAAACCAATAAGGTGGTAATCTGATGTGTCCTACACTAATTTAGAGATGCTGAAGTGAAGGTATTTGTCCTCGTATTGTCATGAATAATGCCATCACAGACCATTGTGATTCCCTGTTTTAAGGACAAAATCAGATTAAAGGCTGCTCTTGGCCAGAAGGCAACGATTGAGAGAAAGCTGTTATAAATGTGTATTCAAAACAGAAAACTACTGATAACTCTTAACAATTGAAAGCATAATTACCTAACAATAAAAATTCAGTTTTTAGGAATATTCCAAAAGAGTTTCTTTAATTTTTACCTTGATTTAGTTTCTGAGAATGGTGTACATGTGTTGAAATATGTGTATCAAGTAGTTTTTGGGTTCTTTGGAGAGTGCTCCTTTGTACAAGCCTGACTCCCTTTAAGCTATACACATCATTCATCAGCCTATCATTATGCACAATCTTACGTGTAGATTTGATGTGTTTCAATATTTAAACTCACCAAAAAGTTTGATGGATTGTTTTTTTATTTGTGTGTTGCTAACTCTAAACTTGATTCATATTTCTTCATTATTTTAGTTTATCATGTTTGAGTTTGTTTTCTGTAGAAGGTTATCAATTTTAATAGAGTCAATACTCGTTAATCAAGCCACCAATAATCAGGTATCCCATTATCCAGGAAACAGAATGTCCCACTATCTAGTCTGTGTTTTAGGAGACAGATTGTCCCACTATCTAGTCTGTGTTTTAGGAGACAGAATGTCCCACTATCTAGTCTGTGTTTTAGGAGACAGAATGTCCCACTATCTAGTCTGTGTTTTAGGAGACAGAATGTCCCACTATCTAGTCTGTGTTTTAGGAGACAGATTGTCCCACTATCTAGTCTGTGTTTTAGGAGACAGAATGTCCCACTATCTAGTCTGTGTTTTAGGAGACAGAATGTCCCACTATCTAGTCTGTGTTTTAGGAGACAGATTGTCCCACTATCTAGTCTGTGTTTTAGGAGACAGAATGTCCCACTATCTAGTCTGTGTTTTAGGAGACAGAATGTCCCACTATCTAGTCTGTGTTTTAGGAGACAGATTGTCCCACTATCTAGTCTGTGTTTTAGGAGACAGAATGTCCCACTATCTAGTCTGTGTTTTAGGAGACAGAATGTCCCACTATCTAGTCTGTGTTTTAGGAGACAGATTGTCCCACTATCTAGTCTGTGTTTTAGGAGACAGAATGTCCCACTATCTAGTCTGTGTTTTAGGAGACAGAATGTCCCACTATCTAGTCTGTGTTTTAGGAGACAGATTGTCCCACTATCTAGTCTGTGTTTTAGGAGACAGAATGTCCCACTATCTAGTCTGTGTTTTAGGAGACAGAATGTCCCACTATCTAGTCTGTGTTTTAGGAGACAGATTGTCCCACTATCTAGTCTGTGTTTTAGGAGACAGAATGTCCCACTATCTAGTCTGTGTTTTAGGAGACAGAATGTCCCACTATCTAGTCTGTGTTTTAGGAGACAGAATGTCCCACTATCTAGTCTGTGTTTTAGGAGACAGAATGTCCCACTATCTAGTCTGTGTTTTAGGAGACAGAATGTCCCACTATCTAGTCTGTGTTTTAGGAGACAGAATGTCCCACTATCTAGTCTGTGTTTTAGGAGACAGATTGTCCCACTATCTAGTCTGTGTTTTAGGAGACAGAATGTCCCACTATCTAGTCTGTGTTTTAGGAGACAGAATGTCCCACTATCTAGTCTGTGTTTTAGGAGACAGAATGTCCCACTATCTAGTCTGTGTTTTAGGAGACAGAATGTCCCACTATCTAGTCTGTGTTTTAGGAGACAGAATGTCCCACTATCTAGTCTGTGTTTTAGGAGACAGAATGTCCCACTATCTAGTCTGTGTTTTAGGAGACAGATTGTCCCACTATCTAGTCTGTGTTTTAGGAGACAGAATGTCCCACTATCTAGTCTGTGTTTTAGGAGACAGAATGTCCCACTATCTAATCTGTGTTTTAGGAGACAGATTGTCCCACTATCTAGTCTGTGTTTAAGGGGACAGATTGCCCCACTATCTAGTCTGTGTTTAAGGACACAGAATGTCCCACTATCTAGTCTGTGGTTTAGGAGACAGATTGTCCCACTATCTAGTCTGTGATTTAGGAGACAGAATGTCCCACTATCTAGTCTGTGTTTTAGGAGACAGATTGGCCCACTATCTAGTCTGTGTTTAAGGGGACAGATTGTCCCACTATCTAGTCTGTGTTTAAGGGGACAGATTGCCCCACTATCTAGTCTGTGTTTTAGGAGACAGAATGTCCCACTATCTAGTCTGTGTTTTAGGAGACAGATTGTCCCACTATCTAGTCTGTGTTTTAGGACACAGAATGTCCCACTATCTAGTCTGTGTTTAAGGGGACAGATTGTCCCACTATCTACTCTGTGTTTTAGGAGACAGATTGTCCCACTATCTAGTCTGTGTTTAAGGGGACAGAATGTCCCACTATCCAGTCTGTTTTAGGAGACATATTGCCCCACTATCTAGTCTGTGTTTTAGGAGACAGATTATTCCACTATCTAGTATGTGTTTTAGGAGACAGAATGTCCCACTATCTAGTCTTGTGTTTTAGGAGACAGATTGTCCCACTATCTAGTCTGTGTTTAAGGGGACAGATTGCCCGACTATCTAGTCTGTGTTTTAGGAGACAGAATGTCCCACTATCTAGTCTTGTGTTTTAGGAGACAGATTGTCCCACTATCCAGTCTATGTTTTAGGACACAGAATGTCCCACTATCTAGTCTGTGTTTAAGGGGACAGTTTATCCCACTATCTAGTCTGTGTTTAAGGGGACAGATTGCCCCACTATCTAGTCTGTGTTCAAGGGGACAGATTGCCCCACTTTCCAGCAAGTGGTTTAGGAGACAGATTGTCCTACGATTCAGCCCATGTTTTTGGGGACAGATTGTCCCACTATCCAGCCAGTAGTTTAGGGGACAGATTGTCCTACGATTCAGCCAGTGTTTTAGAGGACAGATGGTCCCACTATCCAGCCAGTAGTTTAGGGGACAGATTGTCCCACTATCCAGCCAGTAGTTTAGGGTACAGGTTGTCCTACGATTCAGCCAGTGTTTTAGAGGACAGCTTATCCCACTATCCAGCCAGGGTTTAAGGGGACAGATTGACCCACTATCTAGTCAGTGTTTCAGGAGACAGATTGTCCCACTATCCAGCCCATGTTTTAGGAGACAGATTGTCCCACTATCTAGTCTGTGTTTAAGGGGACAGATTGTCCCACTATCCACCTCATGTTTTAGGAGACAGATTGTCCCCCTATTCAGTCAGTAGTTTAGGGGCCAGATTGTCCTACAATCCAGCCCATGTTTTAGGGGACAGATTGTTCCACTATCCAGCCAGTAGCTTAGGGAACAGGTTGTTCCACTATCCAGCCAGTAGTTTAGGGGGCAGATTGTCCTACAATCCAGCCAGTGTCATAAAGGACAGATTGTCTCCCTATCCAGCCAGTGAATTAGGGGGTTTGTACAAAATTGTGGAAGTAATCCTGTCATTTCACTATGAAGCCAATTTAGCTTTGATTAAAGGGTGGCTTGATTATCTTCTGGGAACAAAAATATGACTGGATTATCCTACTGTAAACAATAGATGGTTGAATTATTGAGTCAATACTGCCATAGATCTCTTCTATATTTATGAATCATATGATCATAATCTATCTAAATACTGGTAGAAGTATAGTAGGATTAAGGGATTCTGTAATAACTATGTGATGTGGACAGCAGAATCTCATCCTATGATTACAAATTTTACTCATGTCTGCACCAAGACTCTGTCAAAGTTTAGACGGTTGTAATATTATCCTGAGGTTGGAGATTTTCTTGTCAGTATTTCGTAGTCACTATAAAGTATTGTATTGTCATTTAATTCATAGTATTTTTCTTCTACACCTAAAACTTAAAAGTGATGTTGCTGCCATGTACATACATGTTACAGAATTAATGATGTGTTCCTATTGGGATACTGTATCAGGTTTGTTATACGAAAATGTATGTTACCTGGAGTGCTACCTAGTCACCTATGTAACAAAATGAGCTGAAAATTAGGAAATTAATTAGAAAGAACGGAACCAACTTATTACATGCAAGATAGTGGGTATCAGTGAGAGCAGCACGATGGTCAAAAGTACATCTGAGGTCAAATTTACAATTTGGGTAACACTGTGAATTGATTGACGGGGGACTGTTGCATTGTATATAGGGCTATCCATCTAGTGGCGACCAGGTACTTCATGGATAACATAGAGATAGCAATGAGAGTGTGAACTCCCCAAAACAGACAGGGTAACTGTCATTGCCATAGGGTACATCTAGTATTGTTGTTTTGGAAGGGGAAAGTCAGCTTAGAAGTTAGATTAGAAGTTAGATTAAAGGGCTGTACGTGCCTCATTACTTATGCACAATAGGTGGTACCTACTCATGCATAGTTTATGTTGGATAAATTGTTAAAAGTACTTAGGGAAGATTTAAGAAGTAGTCCGGAGTTAAGAGTGGGAGTCCATTTAAGAAGTAGTCCGGAGTTAAGAGTGGGAGTCCAGAGTTGAGAGTCGAGATTTGAGGTTTGGGAATGTGAGCCTCAGGAGAGAGAGGCCAGGGAAGGCCTCAGTGGGAGGGGCCAGTGATGGCCCGGGTACAGCACCTGGTGTGCTTTAGAACTATGTGTTTGATGTTGTAACTCTGTATAATCTGTGTGTAGGTAGATTGCTGTCATGTTCCAGAAATATGTTAAAAAGGACATTCAGTAGATTTAAGACTGTCACGGCCACAATGCAAAGTAAATAAAAAGCTGAAGTCCACATGTGTTGTCAGCATGTTATGTAACACCTACCATTCACCTCATAGTCAAATATATTCAATATATAACAACATTGCAGCTAGATAGATCCTTTACCAATTAGTGTATATACAATCCATCCACTTTATCCAAAATAAAAATCACATCACAGCCAATAAACGTAGTGTATTGTATATTTCCCATGGTGTAGATACAAATGTGTATTAAGTTCTGTTTCTAGTATAGCAGAAAGTCAATCATACTCTTTTTGTAGCAGTGTAGATTTTTATGTTAGTTTCATTAGCATTAGTACGTGTGTGTACAGACTAACACGTCATCAAGGGGATTTATTAGAAAAGTATGCTCATAAAACTTAAAACAAAACTAAAAAAAGAAAAAGTTCTGTTAAAAATCAATTAATTATTCTTCAGATGTACCTTTTTTTTAAATCCTTAATTTTTAATCTATAACTTATTTTAATAACAGCCTTTATGGTACCTTACTGTGATATTTATCTTCTGTTCGGAAGAGTTCTAAACTAAAACACTTTTAAAATATCTTTTATAAATGGCAGGTAGGATTTATGTTACTGAACTAATTATAATGACAATGTACACTAGATCTGAATTATTAGATAAACATATAACACTAATTTTAAAGATTAAAGGGAGGTAAATCCAACAGAAATTGTTGTTAAATGTATTTTGAAGGTAAATATCTATCAGGTTTGCTTAATAAAATGTTTAGTTCCTAATGAACAACAAAGATTTGAAAGATTTTTATTTCATTAGTATAATTTACTAAATTTGTTATGTCTAAACAGATTATATTTCTCTGTGAAAAGTCTATTAAATTTCTTTTTATTCTTCTCCACAGTAAGCAGCTGCTGGCGACAAAGTGGGAAAAATGTTTCTTCTTCACCCAGGCTGGCAACCTGATGTGTCAGGCCAAGGCTGAGGTGAGTCGGCCATCTTGTACTCGTCGGTCAACTTGACTAACATCATGATCTTGTCATGGCAAGGCCATGACTACATAAGGTTTCCAGAAATGTTTGTTTATATAGATATACATAAACTAATAATTTGAAAAATGTTTAAGAGCAGTGTACACTTTGGGCTGCAGTGCCTTCAGTGGAGTTGTGTCCCATTGTTGTAATAACCATCTTTATTATCTGTTGTTCCGTGTCATCTATAAACTGGCAAACTCTTGGTCACATCATTCTTGCCTTGTCTTTCTGGATGATTTTATTCAAACATGTAACATCAGTCTAGTTAGAAACCATGATTTGGTGATGTATATTGAACTGTCAAAATGAGTATATTGTTGTATTCAATCAATATACTGAACAGATCTAAGGAGGTATATACTGTACTAGCGATGCAGTCAGTTTTGATAAATCACAGTAACAGAAATATATCAAGATGGAATCATGCTTACAAATGTATGGTCAGTATATGATGTCAACGCTGTATCCTGTTAATGGTTACATAAAATTCCATTTGCAAAATAATATACATTTCATCTAATGCTCAGTGGCTAAAAGAAGGTAGATAGCTCTTGTGATAATATGTTAAATGGATATTTTCATTTTTTCAGTGATTTAAGTTTTAACAATAGGTTGGAATCATTTACAGTGTGTCATATAGCAACGAGATTCTACTTCTCATTCACAGACTGGTTGTGACACTGAGGTTGACAGCCACTCCCAGACTCCTAATTCACACACTGGTTGTGTCACTGAGGTTGACAGTCCCTCCCAGACTCCTCATAAACAGACTGGCTATGACACTGAGGGTGACAGTCACTCCCAGACCCCTCATACACAGACTGGCTATGACACTGAGGTTGACAGCCGCTCCCAGACTCCTAATTCGCAGACTCGCTGTGACACTGACGTTGACAGTCACTCCCAGTCTCTTCATTCACAGACTTCCTGTGACACTGAGGTTGGCAGCCTCTCCCAGACTCTTCATTCACAGCCTGGCTGTGGCACTGAGGGTGACAGCCACTCCCAGAATCCTCATTCACAGACTGTGAGGTTGACAGTCACTCCCAGACCCCTCATACACAGACTGGCTGGGACACTGAGGTTGACAGTCATTCCCAGACTCTTCATTCACAGCCTGGCTGTGGCACTGAGGGTGACAGCCACTCCCAGAATCCTCATTCACAGACTGTGAGGTTGACAGTCACTCCCAGACCCCTCATACACAGACTGGCTATGACACTGAGGTTGACATCCACTCCCAGACTCCTCATACAAAGTCTGGTTGTGACACTGAGGTGGACAGCCACTCCCAGACTCCTAATCCACAGACTCGCTGTGACACTGAGGTTGACAGCCACTCCCAGACTCCTCATACACAGTCTGGTTGTGACACTGAGGTCGACAGTCACTCCCAGACTCTTCATTCACAGACTGGCTGTGGCACTGAGGTTGACAGCCACTCCCAGACTCTTCATTCACAGACTTACTGTGACGCTGAGGTTGACAGTCACTCCCAGACTCTTCATTCACAGACTGGCTGTGACACTGGGGTTGACAGCCACTCCCAGACTCTTCATTCACAGACTGGCTGTGGCACTGAGGTTGACAGCCACTCCCAGACTCTTCATTCACAGACTGGTCGTGACACTGAGGTTGACAGCCACTCCCAGACTCCTCATACACAGACTGGCTGTGACACTGAGGTTGACAGCCACTCCCAGAATCCTAATTCACAGACTGGCTGTGACACTGAGGTCGACAGCCACTCCCAGACTCCTAATTCACAGACTCGCTGTGACACTGAGGTTGACAGTCACTCCCAGACTCCTCAGTCACAGACTGGCTGTGGCATTGAGGTTGAAAACCTCTTCCAGACTCCTCATTCACAGACTGGCTGTGACACTGAGGTTGAAATCCCCTTCCAGACTCCTCATACACAGACTGGCTGTGACACTGAGGTTGACAGCCACTCCCAGACTCTTCATTCACAGACTGGCTATGACACTGAGGTTGAAAACCACTCCCAGACTCCTCATTCACAGACTGGCTGTGACACTGAGGTTGAAAACCACTTCCAGACTCCTCATACACAGACTGGCTATGACACTAAGGTTGACAGCCACTCCCAGACGCTTCATTCACAGACTGGTTGTGACACTGAGGTTGACAGCCACTCCCAGACTCTTCATTCACAGACTGGCTATGACACTGAGGTTGACAGCCACTCCCAGACTCCTCATACACAGACTGGCTATGACACTGAGGTTGACAGCCACTTCCAGACTCTTCATTCACAGTCTGGTTGTGACACTGAGGTTGACAACCACTCCCAGACTCTTCATTCACAGTCTGGCTGTGACACTGAGGTTGACAGAAAATCCCAGACTCCTCATACACAGACTGGCTGTGACACTGAGGTTGACAGCCACTCCCAGACTCCTCATTCACAGACTGCTTGTGACACTGAGGTTGACAGCCATTCCCAGACACCTCATTCACAGACTGGCTGCAACACTGAGGTTGACAGCCACTCCCAGACTCCTCATTCACAGACTGCTTGTGACACTGAGGTTGACAGCCACTCCCAGACTCCTCATTCACAGACTGCTTATGACAGGTTTTACTAGCTGTGGTGTTTAGACTACCTTCAGTTTGACCCAGCAGACTTAAACACACATTTGGGCTAACAGGCTATAATAGATGTGGTGTTTAGACTACAGTTTGACCCAGCAGACTAAAACATACATTTGGGCAAACAGGCTATAAGAGCTGTGGTGTTTAGACTACAGTTTGACCCAGCAGACTAAAACATACATTTGGGCTTACAGGCTATAATAGCCTTGGTGTTTAGACTCTGACCCAGCAGACTAAAACATACAATTCGGCTAACAGGCTATAATAGCTGTGGTGTTTAGACTACCTTCAGTTTGACCCAGCAGACTAAAACATATATTTGGGCTAACAGGCTATAATAGCCATGGTGTTTAGACTCTGACCCAGCAGACTAAAACATGCATTTGGGCTAACAGGGTATACTAGCTGTGGTTTTTAGACTACCTTCAGTTTGACCCAGCAGACTAAAACATATATTTGGGCTAACAGGCTATAATAGCGATGGTGTTTAGACTCTGACCCAGCAGACTAAAACAAACATTTGGGCTAACAGGCTATAATAGCCAGGGTGTTTAGACTCTGACCCAGCAGACTAAAACAAACATTTGGGCTAACAGGCTATAATAGCCAGGGTGTTTAGACTCTGACCCAGCAGACTAAAACATACAATTCGGCTAACAGGGTATACTAGCTGTGGTGTTTAGACTGCCTTCAGTTTGACCAGCAGACTAAAACATACATTTGGGCTAACAGGCTATAATAGCTGTGGTGTTTAGACTACCTTCAGTTTGACCCAGTAGACTAAAACATACATTTGGGCTAACAGGCTATAATAGCTGTGGTGTTTAGACTACAGTTTGACCCAGCAGACTAAAACCCAGCAGACTAAAACATACATTTGGGCTTACAGGCTATAATAGCCATGGTGTTTAGACTCTGACCCAGCAGACTAAAACATACAATTCGGCTAACAGACTATAATAGCTGTGGTGTTTAGACTACCTTCAGTTTGACCCAGCAGACTAAAACATACATTTTGGCTAACAGGCTGTAATAGATGTGGTGTTTAGACTACAGTTTGACCCAGCAGACTATAACCCAGCAGACTAAAACATACAATTCGGCTAACAGACTATAATAGCTGTGGTGTTTAGACTCTGACACAGCAGACTAAAACATACATTTGGGCTAACAGGCTTTAATAGCTGTGGTGTTTAGACTACCTTCAGTTTGACCCAGTAGACTAAAACATACATTTGGGCTAACAGGCTATAATAGCCATGGTGTTTAGACTACAGTTTGACCCAGCAGACTAAAACATTCATTTGGGCTAACAGGCTATAATAGCTGTGGTGTTTAGACTACAGTTTGACCCAGCAGACTATAACCCAGCAGACTAAAACATACAATTCGGCTAACAGACTATAATAGCTGTGGTGTTTAGACTTCCTTCAGTTTGACCCAGCAGACTAAAACATACATTTGGGCTAACAGGCTATAATAGCAATGGTGTTTAGACTCTGACCCAGCAGACTGGCAATACAATATATAAAGGTTAACGTTGGAGAGGAGTCTAGATTGAAGCCAGTGCATGTTATCATTACATTCATGGGGTAGGATTGGCAACTGCCATAATGTCATGATATAAAGAGGAGTTCATGGTATATTACATGATATTAAACAAACTTATGTATGTATAGCAAATAAATAAAGAAATCTTGTTTTTAGGAAACCATGATGTAAAATGCGATGTGACCTTTTTCTCTATTTACTTCCAGAATTTGTCCAAGACTAACAACCCCTTTGTAAGACAATACAGTGTATATATATATAGCATAGCACTAGGTGGGCGGGGACCCAGCACTGCACAGAAGATATTTTTGACAGAAGATATTTTGGTTTCTTTTAATTGAAGTGTTATTATTATTTTGAAAGAATAGAATTAATTGTGAAGTGAATTATGTATGGTATGTGAGATTTATTTCTGTATTAGGTTTGATTTTAAAATGCATACTTGATGTTGTGTCATTTTAATGAGTCAATGACAACAGAATGATAATTAGATCATGCTTGTTGAATGAACTAGACGTTCTATACATGTATCATAACAGTATCATTACCTGTAGTTTTAGCAACCACAAACAACCATGCTCCACCCTGTTTATGCTATCCCAATGCTGTAACTGTCCTTCACGTACCCAAATATCCTCCATCAACCCCTGTGTTTTACAAATATCCCAAAACGACCCATGTTTGTTACAAATACCCTCAAATGATCCATGTTTGTTACAAATACCCTCAAATGATCCATGTACTGGTACGTTACAATACCCTCTAACGACCAATGTCTTCAGCAATTTCTTTTGTACATTTATATCATGAAGTTGAGGTTTCTAAGCCTACATTTATCATGACTCATTTAAAATGTTGTATGTGTTATCTGTCAAGGGAAATTTCTGTTCAGCTTTTTGGTGTAAATATTGATTTGGTATAAATTTGCTTTGTGGCTGTTTTTGTAAATCAATTGAGATGAATGTAAAACAGAAATGGTTTGTTTATATGAACTCTTCAATCATCTCATCATGTCGTCTTACACCTCGCTTTAACACGAACGACCCCAAATTCATTACTTTTATATCAATGCACACTTACAACTGCAAATTTTGAAAAAGAAAAAGAAATCCTTGCAGAGCAGTGATTGATCATGACTTAATGTTCTACATCAGATATTTTACTTTTGAAACTATGCCTCAAAGAAATTTTATTGAGGATTACAGTGAATGAGTAACCAAGTAATTATGATGGTGTCCAAGAAAACTAATGATCCTCCACAACTGCATGTTCAAAATCAAAGGGCCCAGCTCTCGGCATCACTCTGTACACTTAGGCTTTCTTCTGACAGATGTCACTGTATGTGTCATCTTACAGATGATCTGAAAACTGTTATGGAAATCTGCATACTTGTGATCACAGGCTAAATTAAAACATTGATTCAAGATAATAGAAAATTGCGCTGCATCATAACAGAAAAAATGTATATAGGAAACAACATTTGTGAGATTAATGACATCCTTACTAACTTACCTACAATATGTAGATATGTTATATATAAACACTTTTTAAAATCCATGCTTTCTTCATTTTTATCTAGCTGGCAGGTAGTCTGGTGCTGGACCTGAATGAGCCCGGTGTAATGGCTGAACCGTGTGAAGCAGACGACAGGCGATTTGTGTTTGCTGTGGTTTCTCAAAAGAAAAAGTAAGGTCTTTGTAAAGATTATAAATGGAATGTTACAAGTTGGAATGGGAAAACTGGTGTATGGTGAAGATTTAGATTTAGTATAAAAAAAAAATATCACATTTATTTATTTTTTTGAATACCCATAACAAATGTTGATGGGTCATACTTTGGTATGGGGAGTGTCCCTTAGTCAGGTTGTCCATCCTTCACTAAATATGACTGGATTAAATTTACACTTGGTCAATATTTAGGGAGAAACCATAAAAAAAAAAGAAGTAAGGAAATCAGAAAAGAAAAGATAGATCTTAAGTGTTGCTTTAGGGGCAACCATTTTGATTTCTTTAACGACACGGAAGGAAACTCCAAACATAAAGGAGGTTCCGTATTACTATATTTAGTCTGTTTGACATGCTGTACGATACAGCAGACCTATTCTTTTCCATGCAGGGATCAAGTATTTTGAGAACAAAGGTGGTTTTTTTTTAAGTGCATACCAAATGTAGACATGCGCTACACATGAATAGCTGTCAACCTTTGTTGTAAGACTTGTTCTTTGATCTATTACAGATCGATTGTGGTACAGGCCGAGAATGACCGGGAGAAAGATGAGGTAGGTCAACCGCATTTTCTTCAAAACGTATTGATGATTTCTAATGGTTGGCTTCATAAAAATAGAGTTGGTTCCTTAGTTTTGATGTACATGTATAGCTATGTATGAAATTTTCTTCAAAATGAGTATTCAGCTGATGTTTATTTTTTGTTGATAACTTTTTTCATGTGTGGATCATTGGTTTTGTCCTTACCTTAATACCAATGTAATGTTTCCTTACCTATATACCAATGTTATGTGTCCTTACCTAAATACCAATGTTATGTGTCCTTACCTAAACACCAATGTTATGTGTCCTTACCTAAATAACAATGTTATGTGTACTTACCTAAATACCAATGTTATGTTTCCTTACCTAAATACCAATGTTATGTGTCCTTACCTAAATACCAATGTTATGTGTCCTTACCTAAATACCAATGTTAGTGTCTTTACCTAAATACCAATGTTATGTGTCCTTACCTAAATACCAATGTTATGTTTCCTTACCTAAATACCAATGTTATGTGTCCTTGCCTAAATACCAATGCTATGTGTCCTTACCTAAATACCAATGTTATGTTTCATTACCTAAATACCAATGTTATGTTTCAGTGGATTTGCACAATCAACAACATAGTGAGAGAAAGTGGCTATGAGAAAGGAACCAGAGTTTCCTCCCATCAACCAACACAGCAAAGCAAGAAGGTAGTCACCTTTATAAGGTCTTGTAGTGATTATGTAAAGGGAGGAGGTGAAGTCCTTAATTAACTTTCACCCAAAAGAACAGGTAAGTGTTTACATGTATAGACACACAAATGATGGAGGGAAAAGTTGCCACCTGACCTCCAATATTATAAACTTACATACTTTAGGGCAAAATTACCATTCAACCTCCAGTCCTATCAACACAAAAAATGGAGTACAACGTCCCTACCTGACCTCCAACACAAATGGCAGGTAAAAATTCACCCTTATGAACTTACATACCTTAGGGCAAAGTCCCATCCAACCTCCAACATTATAGACAAAAACAGCGGAGGGCAAATTCCCCCATTAAACATAGTTGAGCAGGTTGACATTAATCGTATACATTCAAATTAATTACCTTGACCTAATTTCATGGTCACAGGGGTCAGACAAGAAAAACATTTAAACCACTTCTACAGAACCATAAGGCTTAAGATGGATGTCATGATATTTTTCCTGTAGCTTGGTAGGGTACAGTGGAGGGCTCTCAGGTTTGTTCAAATGAATGATATTAAACCCCATAAAGGTCATTGGGTTCAAAGGGGTCAAATACGGCTTGAAAACATGTTTTAACCTGATGAGAAGTAACTTAAACATAACGTTTTTATTGTATATAGATATATTACAGTATGTGTATTTGTTAATTTATAGGAGAGGGCTGGCAGCAGTAGTAGCATGACAAAACAGGCATCTGGCTCAGTGTCTGGCTCCAGTAGTCCTGACGGCCAAAGTGTCAGCAGGTAAGAGTCACAACCTCGGGTAGGGTGTTGTTGTGGTTTAGTTCGGAGTGCCAGAGTGTTAGTAAGTAGGAGCCACACCCTGGGGTAGGGTGTTGTTGTGGTTTAGTTCGGGGTGCCAGAGTGTAAGTAAGTAGGAGTCGCACCCTGGGGTAGGGTGTTGTTGTGGTTTAGTTCTGAGTGTTAGTAAGTAGGAGTCACACCCTGGGGTGGGGTGTTGTTGTAGTTTAGTTCTGAGTGTTAGTAAGTAGGAGTCACACCCTGGGGTAGGGTGTTATTGTGGTTTAGTCTGAGTGCCAGAGTGTTAGTAAGTAGGAGTCACACCCTGGGGGAGGGAGTTGTTGTGGTTTAGTTCTGAGCACCAGATGGTAGTAAGTAGGAGTCACACCCTGGGGGAGGGAGTTGTTGTGGTTTAGTTCTGAGCACCAGATGTTAGGAAGTAGGAGTCACACCCTGGGGTAGGGTGTTGTTGTGGTTAAGTTCTGAGTGCCAGAGTGTTAGTAAGTAGGAGTGACACCCTGGGGTGGGGTGTTGTTGTAGTTTAGTTCTGAGTGTTAGTAAGTAGGAGTCACACCCTCGGGGAGGGTGTTGTTGTGGTTTAGTTCTGAGTGCCAGAGTGTTAGTGAGTAGGAGTCACACCCTGGGGTAGGGTGTGGTTGTGGTTTAGTTCTTAGTGTTAGTAAGTAGGAGTCACTCCCTGGGGTAGGGTGTTGTGGTTTAGTTCTGCGTGTTCGAGTGTTAGTAAGTAGGAGTCACACCCTGGGGGAGGGTGTTGTTGTGGTTTAGTTCTGAGTGTAAGTAACTAGGAGTCACACCCTGGGGTAGGGTGTTGTGGTTTAGTTCTAAGTTCTGAGTGCCAGAGTGTTAGTAAGTAGGAGTCACGCCCTGGGGTAGGGTGCTGTTGTGGTTTAGTTCTGAGTGTTAGTAAGGAGGAGTCACACCCTGGGGTAGGGTGTTGTTGTGGTTTATTTCTGAGTGTTAGAGTGTTAGTAAGTAGGAGTCACACCCTGGGGTAGCGTGCTGTTGTGGTTTAGTTCTGAGTGTTAGTAACTAGGAGTCACCCCCTGGGGTAGGGTGTTGTGGTTTAGTTCTAAGTTCTGAGTGCCAGAGTGTTAGTAAGTAGGAGTGACACCCTGGGGTGGGGGGTTGTTGTAGTTTAGTTCTGAGTGTTAGTAAGTAGGAGTGACACCCTGGGGTGGGGTGTTGTTGTGGTTTAGTTCTGAGTGTTAGTAACTAGGAGTCACACCCTGGGGTGGGGTGTTGTTGTGGTTTAGTTCTGAGTGTAAGTAACTAGGAGTCACACCCTGGGGTAGGGCGTTGTGGTTTAGTTCTGAGTGTTAGAGTGTTAGTATGTAGGAGTCACACCCTGGGGTAGGGTGTTGTGGTTTAGTTCTGCGTGTTCGAGTGTTAGTAAGTAGGAGTCACACCCTGGGGAAGAGTGTTGTTGTGGTTTAGTTCTGAGTGTTAGGAAGTAGGAGTCACACCCTGGGGTAGGGTGGTGTTGTGGTTTAGTTCTGAGTGTTAGTAACTAGGACTCACACCCTGGGGTAGGGTGTTGTTGTGGTATAGTTCTGAGTGCCAGAGTGTTAGTAAGTAGGAGTCGCACCCTGGGATAGGGTGTTGTTTTGGTTTAGTTCGGAGTGCCAGAGTGTTAGTAAGTAGGAGTCGCACCCTGGGATAGGGTGTTGTTGTGGTTTAGTTCGGAGTGCCAGAGTGTTAGTAAGTAGGAGTCACTCCCTGGGGTAGGGTGTTGTGGTTTAGTTCTGAGTGTTAGTAACTAGGAGTCACACCCTGGGGTAGGGTGTTGTGGTTTAGTTCTGAGTGTTAGAGTGTTAGTAAGTAGGAGTCACACCCTGGGGTAGGGTGTTGTTGTGGTGTAGTTCTGAGTGTTAGTAAGCAGGAGTCACACCCTGGGGTAGGGAGTTGTTGTGGTTTAGTTCTGAGTGCCAGAGTGTTAGTAACTAGGAGTCACACCCTGGGGTAAGTAGGAGTCACACCCTGGGGTAGGGTGTTGTTGTGGTGTAGTTCTGAGTGTTAGTAACTAGGAGTCACACCCTGGGGTAAGTAGGAGTCACACCCTGGGGTAGGGTGTTGTTGTGGTGTAGTTCTGAGTGTTAGTAACTAGGAGTCACACCCTGGGGTAGGGAGTTGTTGTGGTTTAGTTCTGAGTGCCAGAGTGTTAGTGAGTAGGAGTCACACCCTGGGGTAGGGTGTTGTTGTGGTTTAGTTCTGAGCATCAGAGTGTTAGTAACTAGGGGTCACACCCTGGGGTAGGGTGTTGTTGTGGTTTAGTTCTGAGTGTTAGTAACTAGGAGTCACACCCTGGGTTTGGTAGTAGACAAGAGGGCCAGATTGCCAGTAGGTAGGAGTCACACCTGAAGTAGGGATGTGGAGTCTAAAGAGTGTGGGTAGCTAGGTCAGAGTCACATCATGGGGTAGTGGATGGGGTGGTAGTAGGTCAGACAGGCTTAGGGATCACAACCTAGGGCCACATGCAGGAATGGGGTTAATATCCTGTCTATGAGGGATTTTACAGGGATGCTATACTAAACATGTTTCATTGTACTGTCATTTACAGGGTTATTTATTATATCTAAGTACCTAGTATTTGTTGTTGTGTTCTCTCAGTTCCCCAGCATCTAGGCTGTTCTATTAGATACCTATCTCAACGTATTGTTGGCGTTTACTGTGTGAATTCATGCTACCAACATTTCAACCAAGTTAAGGCAATTATTTTCTAAAAAATGTGATATTATTGTAATACCGGGTATATTGAATTATAATTAATGAAAAGGTGACAAGAAGAATGTTGTTGGTATCATGGTGTGTTGTATCTTGTGACCGACCAGCATGTCTGAGTGGAAGAGTTATAGCCCTGAGCACCATAACACTTGATGTACTACTGTTATTACTTACACCATCAACACAATTTCTCTTCCTTTTTACATGCTCTTTCCTTTTGGTTTCCTGAGGCACCTGTGTTTAGCCTGTTCTCAGAATAATGTTAGCAGGTAGGGTCCTATGCTACCTTATCTACGTTATGATATTTCAGTGAGATAGCACTTTAAAATGGCCCTTCAATGGCAGCATCATCTGCAGACACATCTATAATGGTCGTAGCTTCTCGAAGGACTCAAATGTTAAAAACACAAACATCAGATTTTGTTACCAGCGTAATGATAGTGACAAGCTAGTCATATTAATATCAAAGTTTCTTCAATCACAAACACACTGGAACCTGTCTAATATAAAACCTGACTTACTGGATCCTGGTATTTAAATAATAACTATATCTTTTTCCTAGGAATATTCTAGCTGTCTCTTTTTATTGAAGCGATGAACATTTTTGTCTGTTTCATATTGTAGCCTGTATCTAGATCAGGACAGCTTATTTTTGATTTAAACTAGCAAAATATAATATGCATATTTGCGGGGCTCTTGGACATGTAAGTATTTTGTATATTTCAAATTTGAATTAAAACCAAGGGATAACACCATATGTGTTAACACATTTTTTAGCTCACAAGGTCACAGGGGTCAAATATGTTCAAAACTTCAAACAACAATATCCTAAGAACCATTTGGACTAGAGTCATAATACTTGGGTATGTTATGAAGACCAGCAGTGCAAATCTTTATCTTAGTTATAGTACTGAGGTAAAAGGTCAACTTTAAGTGCTAGTCAGGGGTCAAAGTTCAACATGGGTTAAAGCTTTAACAATCTTCTCAAGTATCATAAGGCCAAGAGTCATGATATTTGGCCAGAAGGTACATGGGATGGAATTCTATAAAGTTTCCTTATTAAAATGACCTTGACTTACTTTCAAGGTCACAGGGGTCAAAATGTTAAAAACTTGGAACAACAATATCTTAAGAACCATTTGGTCTAGAGTCATGATACTTGGGTATGTTATGTAGACCAGCTGTGTGAATCGTTTTCTTTGTTACAGTAATGATGTCAAAGGTCAACTTTAAGTGCTAGCCGGAGTCCAAGGTCAACATGGGTTAAAAGCTTTAAAACTAAAATTTCAAATTTCAAACAAACAATATCTTAAGAACTGTTTAAGAGATGTTAAAATGTCTTGTGTTCTAGTTACCAAATTTGGTCTGAAGTTACCTATATATCAGTTTCATGTAACAAAAGAAACAGTAGAGCGATACTGGCCCTCTGGACCTCTTCTTTTCCAATACACACATACACACTCCTCTCTCTTCCTCTTATTTCAGCTTATGTCAGCCTATTGTGTGGGCTAAAATATGATTTGCAGAATACACTCCTTTAAAATCAGTTTAAATAAAAGCCTTTTTCATTGCACAAATTTGAACTATTTGTATTGTGCTACCTACAAGCAATATAACCTGGATATGACACCTTTGTTTAATACAGTCAAACCTTGATATAATGCACTTCATTTGGCACCAATTTACTGCCAATATATCTCAAGGTTACTATTCCTTGATCCATTTCCTTTCACTATATTGTTATGGTGTCATTATATTGAGGTTTTACTGGATTAAGATATTTTGTCCCACTACTGCTCCACAAGGACGTGAGCTGGCTATATTATCTGTCGTACACTTACTGTGTCTGTTGATTTCTCTGCATGTGTATATCAGTCGGACTTTGACCTCTGCCTCACACCAGGTAAACCTTCCAAGCCGTTACACAATGTTTTCATTATATATTTACAAAATTATAAAATCAAAATTCAAAGTTTAATAGCAGATCATGTTGTCCAGTAGGTTGGGAATACTTTTAATTGTAAGTTCAGAAGAAAGTTTAACATGTTACAACCATCTTTACTTACTGTATAACATGAACTTTTTTGTTAATAAACGTTCATGGTTTTCGTGGTTGCTATGGAACCAAAAATATAAATACAACAAATTTCATTGATATGCTTGACTACTGTTTGTTTATATGGGGAATACAAGAAAGATTTTACCATGAATTAATCTTAATAGTTTCAAACCAAAAAGGAGAGTACTCACGAACATTTCCTGTTAAACAATAAATGTTATTGACCGTCATTGTGTGAGGTAGAGGTTGGCATGGTTACCTGGCCAGTTAGAGTTCAATGGTTTATTTTCTAGACTGTGTGTTGATCATGTTGTTTCCTTTCTGTGATGTACAGTAATGCCAGTAACAACAACAACGCGATGTCCCCGACGACGACCTCTGGCCCCGCCCCCTCCCCGGGCGATGTTTTCCTCCCGGATGCACCCATACAGTTTGACATAATCACGCCCACGGATGAGAACGGCACCGTGACAACCAACCTGCCTGGCCCCCCAAAGTCAGTGCCATGCCCTGTAGCTTTTATTTTGTCTTTTGTTGTGATATCCTTGTTGGTGATTTTATAGATGACATGCCCTTGGCTTCGGGTAGGTATGCTCCTATAGTGACAGTAACAGCTAAGATATTCTATATTATCAGAAATACTGCCTATTCCACGTTTCATTTTAGGATTGGTTCAGAACGCTCCCAGTCAAAGTAAACCAATCCTTTACGAAGATCTTGCAAAACATTGAGCAATATTCACAAAATCGTGGTAGAGAAAAATTTGTTTATTTTTGTAGATCCTACAACAATTTGTTGAGCTGAGTAAAATACGTTATGGAATGTTATAGAAAACTCAAATATTCTAGTAAATGCACATAAACAATAGCAACAGGTAAGTAAAACATGTGGTTCAAACATCCAGGATTAGTCATGATAACTAAGTTATAACTATACTCTTGGGGATAACTGTTTTACTGGCAAGTACCGGTACGTATACTATGTATAGGTTCATGTAGATAACAACGTCCAGAGATTGTGGTACTATCTTGTTGATGTAGGTACATGTAGGTAACTACGTCCAGGGATTGTGTTACTATCTTGTTGATGTAGGTACATCTAGGTAACTATGTCCAGGGATTGTGGTGCTATCTTGTTGATGTAGGTACTAGGTAGGCACATGTAGGTAACTTAGTCCAGGGATTGTGGTACTATCTTGTTGATGACGGTACATGTAGGTAACTATGTCCAGGGCTTGTGGTACTATCTTGTTGATGTAGGTACATGTAGGTAACTATGTCCAGGGATTGTGGTACTATCTTGTTGATGTAGGTACTAGGTAGGTACATGTAGGTAACTTAGTCCAGGGATTGTGATACTATCTTGTTGATGTAGGTACTAGGTAGGTAACTACGTCCAGGGATTCTGATACTATCTTGTTGATGTAGGTACAGCTAGGTAACTACGTCCAGGGATTGTGATACTATCTTGTTGATGTAGGAACTAGGAAGGTACATGTAGGTAACTTAGTCCAGGGATTGTGGTACTATCTTGTTGATATAGGTACAGGTAGGTAACTACGTCCAGGGATTCTGATACTATCTTGTTGATGTAGGTAAATGTAGGTAACTACGTCCAGGGATTGGGGTACTATCTTGTTGATGTAGGGACATGTAGGTAACTATGTCCAGGGATTGTGGTACTATCTTGTTGATGAAGGTACTAGGTAGGTACATGTGGGTAACTTAGTCCAGGGATTGTGATACTATCTTGTTGATGTAGGTACTAGGTACGTAACTACGACCAGGGATTGTGATACTATCTTGTTGATATAGGTACATGTTGGTAACTACGTCCAGGGATTGTGGTACTATCTTGTTGATGTTGGTTCTAGGTAGGTAACTACGTCCAGGGATTGTGGTACTATCTTGTTGATGTTGGTTCTAGGTAGGTAACTACGTCCAGGGATTGTGATACTATCTTGTTGAGGTAGGTACTAGGTAGGTAACTACGTCCAGGGATTGTGATACTATCTTGTTGATGTAGGTACTAGGTAGGTAACTACGTTCAGGGATTGTGGTACTATCTTGTTGATGTAGGTACTAGGTAGGTAACTACGACCAGGGATTGTGATACTATCTTGTTGATGTAGGTACATGTTGGTAACTACGTCCAGGGATTGTGGTACTATCTTGTTGATGTAGGTACTAGGTAGGTATGGTATATATATCTAAGGATCATGAGTGTTCACTAAGGTATAAGGATGTATTCCTGATAACATATACTGACACAAGGTAGAATGTGTGTGACTGCATGAATGCGAGTCGACTTTAAAATTACATACCAATATATTTATATATGTCAAGCTAACATTTTGAAAACTAGCTTATCATAGCAATTTGATGTACTTTGGTCATGTAATTTTAGGTAAACTGTATTTTTTTGAATTTGAAAATTGTTCATACTGTATCATAAATACATTTGTTGATACAAGTTTCAGTAGATCTGACGAAACATTTTGAGTATAAAATAACTGTGATTGTATGGTTCTATTTGTGTGCTGTTAATGGCTCCTTCTGGACTGTTTTGTACTGTGAGTATTTCTTCTGTAGAAGTGTTGTCTGCTCCTCATACTTGTTTGGTGTTGTTAGCTGTCATGAGTTGCTTGCGCTCGGGCTATTACATGTATCATGGCAAGGAATGCACATTGATTTTGATTTTTGTTGGATGTTGTTAGCCTGATATACTCTTGTTTATTTTTAGCTTTTACTTTTATTCATTAATTAATTTATAAGTGTAGTTTAGTATTCAGCAATGAACATTTTTGAGGCATATTTTTTCATTGGTCACACATTCAGCTGATATAAATCTACTGCTTTTATTAATGGTTTAACTTGAGTGAAACTTCATACAAGCATTCAGCAACCTTTAAAAGGTTCACAGTTGAGGGTACTGGCACAGAGGTCATGGTCATACACACATGTGTTCAGTTCTCAAATACAGTACTTGGATAAGTTTACTTATTGCCAAGAGCCCTAGATCAAAGGTATTGCTTTTGTAAATAAGAAATGGCCATCATCGCCCCATAAGATTTAGATGACAAGTTTTCAGTACTGAAATTCCTTTATCAAGTTTGATTTTCAGACTTCCTTTGGCCAAAAGTCAAGGCCACAGTTACTGCAGTTAAAAATTCTTTTTATTGTTCTGACATCTTCTTTTTTTCTGAGAATTTGATGAAACTTTCCATTTTCCATTACACATAGTACAAAATACTATATAAAATACCTCCAACAATTTCCCATTTCAGGGCCCTGAGTCATAGGTCAAGGTCACTTTTTTCTATGAATAGAAAATTACATGCTGCTTCAAATGAGGCCATGCAGTTGTAGCATTCATGTCGCACATTTATTGTGTAGGTTTAACTATGACCTTGCAAAAATGAAATACAATTGAAATCACAAATAATTAACTCGCGTAAGCTTCTACATATTTTGTGTGCATGAAAGTGTTGATTCACTGTAATATTTAATGATGCTTTCCAGAGAACTACATTTATTAAGAGTAACAATTTGACCCAAATTAATTTTCGTATAATAATGATGGTCATAATACCAGATCGGTTTAAGGTGGTAGCAGTATGTAACCCTCATTAGCACATAGAGTTCGGCTTCAGTTTGACACATGTTTGTTTTTTGGCATGGTGTGCTCTATTTTTTACGGGTTAGTTTTTACTGATCCATCATTAAAGGATCCAAATAGCATGTCACTGGCTAATGTTTTTATTTTCAAATTTAAAAAAAAATGATGAAAAAAATGAAGTTTTAATTATGGTTTATTTTTTGTTTGCCTGAATTTTACAATGGTCAAAACCTCCTACTGAATATGAATGGCGTTACTGGCAAGGGTGGCAAACGAGAATTTTCAGTTTTTACTTTCTTTGCATTAGCTATCAGCTATTGAATGCCAGCTAGTGTCACTATTCTTCTAAAACTTATTGGAGAGCTCAGTGGTAATCAAGTCCAGGGAAGCTTATTGGGGAGCTCAGTAGTAACCAAGTCCAGGGGAGCTCAGTAGTAATCAAGTCCAGTGAAGCTTATTAGGGAGCTCATTGGTAATCAAGTCCAGGGAAGCTTATTGGAGAGCTCAGTGGTAATCAAGTCCAGGTAAGCTTATTGGGGAGCTCATTAGTAATCAAGTCCAGGGAAGCTTATTGGAGAGCTCAGTAGTAATCAGGTCCAGGGAAGCTTATTGGAGAGCTCAGTAGTAATCAAATTCAGGGAAGCTTATTGGGGAGATCATTGGTAATCAAGTCCAGGGAAGCTTATTGGGGAGCTCAGTGTAATCAAGTCCAGGGAAGCTTATTGGGGAGCTCAGTGTAATCAAGTCCAGGGAAGCTTATTGGGGAGCTCATTGGTAATCAAGTCCAGGGAAGCTTATTGGGGAGCTCAGTAGTAATCAAGTCCAGGGAAGCTTATTGGGGAGCTCATTGGTTATCAAGTCCAGTGAAGCTTATTGGGTAGCTCATTGGTTATCAAGTCCAGTGAAGCTTATTGGAGAGCTCAGTGGTAATCAAGTCCAGGGAAGCTAATTGGGGAGCTCAGTAGTAATCAAGTCCAGGGAAGCTAATTGGGGAGCTCAGTAGTAATCAAGTCCAGTGAAGCTTATTGGAGAGCTCAGTGGTAATCAAGTCCAGTGAAGCTTATTGGAGTGCTCAGTGATAATCAAGTCCAGGGAAGCTTTTTGGGGAGCTCATTGGTAATCAAGTCCAGGGAAGCTTATTGGGGAGCTCATTGGAGATCAAGTCCAGGGTAGCTTATTGGGGAGCTCAGTAGTAACCAAGTCCAGGGAAGCTTTTTGGGGATCTCATTGGTAATCAAGTCCAGGGAAGATTATTGGGGAGATCATTGGTTATCAAGTCCAGGGAAGCATATTGGGGAGCTATGTAGTAACCAAGTCCAGGGAAGCTTTTTGGGGATCTCATTGGTAATCAAGTCCAGGGAAGCTTATTGGAGAGCTCAGTGGTAATCAAGTCCAGGGAAGCTTATTGGGGAGATCATTGGTAATCAAGTCCAGGGAATCTTGTTGGGTCCTTGTACGTGTATTGATCCATGTTCAATATGTTGGTATTTAAACTTTGAGAAGGACAACTAGAAAACTCATTAGTTTATAAGGAGCAGGACAACTAGCAGACTAAATAGTTTGTTTATCAGGACAACTAGCAGACTTAATAGTTTATTAGCAGCAGGACAACTAGCAGACTTAATAGTTTATTAGCAGCAGGACAACTAGCAGTCTTAATAGTTTACTAGCAGCAGGACAACTAACAGACTTAATACTTTATTAGCATCAGGACAACTAACAGACTTAATACTTTATTAGCAGCAGGACAACTAGCAGACTTTATAGTTTATTAGCATCAGGACAACTAGCAGACTCAATGATTTACCAGTAGCAGGACAACTAGCAGAATTCCTATTCCACTAGCAATAGGACAACTAGCAGACTTTATAGTTTATTAGCAGCAGGACAACTAGCAGACTTTATAGTTTATTAGCATCAGGACAACTAGCAGACTCAATGGTTTACCAGTAGCAGGACAACTAGCACTCACTATTTCACTAGCAACAGGACAACTAGCAGACTTCCTATTCCACTAGCAACAGGACAACTAGCAGACTTTATAGTTTATTAGCAACAGGACAACTAGCAGACTTTATAGTTTATTAGCATCAGGACAACTAGCAGACTTTATAGTTTATTAGCATCAGGACAACTAGCAGACTTCCTATTCCACTAGCAACGACTCAATGGTTTATAATGAGTTGGACAAATAAAGCTAGCTGACTCAATAGTTAATAGCAGCAGGACAATAAGTATTATCACCTCTTTATAATTCTAGTACTCACTGATATTTAATGAGACTTTCCTCCAGCCATGACCATAACAGCTACCAGATATTTAACTTCTCCAGCACTAAAAACCAAATATTGATATTGTCATGTCCAAATCATGGGACTGTGATATCTGGGTATCAATTAAGTAAACATGAAAATAAATTATTATTGGATTAAATTATTTCCTCCATAAAATGTGGTTTGAGTTTTAAAATAACCAGGGTTTGACAATCTATGTAAATAATCAATTATTGTTTGTGTAAGTGAATGTTTGTGATTACAGATTGATCAACCCATTTGTTGAGTCTTCAATGTTTGTGATTACAGAAGGATCAACCCTTTCGACCAGTCTGCCACGGATGTACTGGATACTTTAGATGCTGCCATTGAAAACGCATCATTTGTGGAGAGTTTTCTGGTTCGATTCCTGGGTTCTATGGAGGTGAAGAGTGACCGAGGTTGGTGTAAAGTATTCTCAATATTCCTGTATATATCTTTGGTTAAGTCCGTTTTCATTATCTTAAAAATGTATCAAAGTCAAGGTCATTGTTAACGCTCAAATCTCTTGTCTCAGACATAACCCTCTTGTTACAGTAGATACCTAAATAGGAATGAACATACAGGTCCATCACACTAACTAGTATCATATAGTAGGATAGGTAAATTCACCCTTGATTGTCTGTGTTTTTATGTTCTTTCCGATACCCTTGATTGTCTGTGTGTCAAGGTGCTTTCTGATACACTTGATTGTCTGTGTGTCTAGGTGTTTTCTGATACACTTGATTGTCTGTGTGTCTAGGTGCTTTCTGTTACCCTTGGTTGTCTGTGTGTCTAGGTGACTTCTGATACCCTTGATTGTCTGTGCGTCTAGGTGTTTTCTGATACCCTTTATTGTCTGTGTGTCTAGGTGTTTACTGATACACTTGATTGTCTGTGTGTTTAGGTGCTTTCTGATTCCCTTGATTGTCTGTGTGTCAAGGTGCTTTCTGATACACTTGATTGGCTGTGTGTCTAGGTGTTTTCTGATACACTTCATTGTCTGTGTGTCTAGGTGCTTTATGATACCCTTGATTGTCTGTGCGTCTAGGTGTTTTCTGATACCCTTGATTGTCCGTGTGTCAAGGTGCTTTCTGATACACTTGATTGGCTGTGTGTCTAGGTGTTTTCTGTTACACTTGATTGTCTGTGTGTTTAGGTGCTTTCTGATTCCCTTGATTGTCTGTGTGTCTAGGTGCTTTCTGATAGCCTTGGTTGTCTGTGTGTCTAGATGCTTTCTGATAGCTTTGGTTGTCTGTGTGTCTAGATGCTTTCTGATAGTCTTGATTGTCTGTGTGTCTAGATGCTTTCAGATAGCCTTGGTTGTCTGTGTGTCTATGTGCTTTCTGATAGCCTTGGTTGTCTGTGGGTCTATGTGCTTTCTGATAGCCTTGATTATACCCTTGATTGTCTATGTGTCTAGATGCTTTCCAATACCCTTGATTGTCTGTGAGTCTAGATGCTTTCTGATAGCTTTGGTTGCCTGTGTGTCTAGATGCTTTCGGATACCCTTGATTGTCTGTGTGGCTAGGTGCTTTCTGATACCCGTGATTGTCTGTGTGTCTAGGTTCTTTCTGATACCCTTGATTGTCTTTGTGTCTAGATGCTTTCTGATTCCCTTGATTGTCTGTGTGTCTAGATGCTTTCTGATACCCTTGATTGTCTATGTGTCTAGATGCTTTCCAATACCCTTGATTGTCTGTGTGTCTAGGTGCTTTCTGATACCCTTGATTGTCTGTGTGTCTAGATGCTTTCTGATAGCCTTGATTGTCTGTGTGTCTAGGTGCTTTCTGATAGCCTTGATTGTCTGTGTGTCTAGGTGCTTTCTGATAGCCTTGATTGTCTGTGTGTCTAGGTGCTTTCTGATAGCCTTGATTGTCTGTGTGTCTAGGTGCTTTCTGATAGCCTTGATTGTCTGTGTGTCTAGGTGCTTTCTGATAGCCTTGATTGTCTGTGTGTCTAGGTGCTTTCTGATAGCCTTGATTGTCTGTGTGTCTAGGTGCTTTCTGATAGCCTTGATTGTCTGTGTGTCTAGGTGCTTTCTGATAGCCTTGATTGTCTGTGTGTCTAGGTGCTTTCTGATAGCCTTGATTGTCTGTGTGTCTAGGTGCTTTCTGATAGCCTTGATTGTCTGTGTGTCTAGGTGCTTTCTGATAGCCTTGATTGTCTGTGTGTCTAGGTGCTTTCTGATAGCCTTGATTGTCTGTGTGTCTAGGTGCTTTCTGATAGCCTTGATTGTCTGTGTGTCTAGGTGCTTTCTGATAGCCTTGATTGTCTGTGTGTCTAGGTGCTTTCTGATAGCCTTGATTGTCTGTGTGTCTAGGTGCTTTCTGATAGCCTTGATTGTCTGTGTGTCTAGGTGCTTTCTGATAGCCTTGATTGTCTGTGTGTCTAGGTGCTTTCTGATAGCCTTGATTGTCTGTGTGTCTAGGTGCTTTCTGATAGCCTTGATTGTCTGTGTGTCTAGGTGCTTTCTGATAGCCTTGATTGTCTGTGTGTCTAGGTGCTTTCTGATAGCCTTGATTGTCTGTGTGTCTAGGTGCTTTCTGATAGCCTTGATTGTCTGTGTGTCTAGGTGCTTTCTGATAGCCTTGATTGTCTGTGTGTCTAGGTGCTTTCTGATAGCCTTGATTGTCTGTGTGTCTAGGTGCTTTCTGATAGCCTTGATTGTCTGTGTGTCTAGGTGCTTTCTGATAGCCTTGATTGTCTGTGTGTCTAGGTGCTTTCTGATAGCCTTGATTGTCTGTGTGTCTAGGTGCTTTCTGATAGCCTTGATTGTCTGTGTGTCTAGGTGCTTTCTGATAGCCTTGATTGTCTGTGTGTCTAGGTGCTTTCTGATAGCCTTGATTGTCTGTGTGTCTAGGTGCTTTCTGATAGCCTTGATTGTCTGTGTGTCTAGGTGCTTTCTGATAGCCTTGATTGTCTGTGTGTCTAGGTGCTTTCTGATAGCCTTGATTGTCTGTGTGTCTAGGTGCTTTCTGATAGCCTTGATTGTCTGTGTGTCTAGGTGCTTTCTGATAGCCTTGATTGTCTGTGTGTCTAGGTGCTTTCTGATAGCCTTGATTGTCTGTGTGTCTAGGTGCTTTCTGATAGCCTTGATTGTCTGTGTGTCTAGGTGCTTTCTGATAGCCTTGATTGTCTGTGTGTCTAGGTGCTTTCTGATAGCCTTGATTGTCTGTGTGTCTAGGTGCTTTCTGATAGCCTTGATTGTCTGTGTGTCTAGGTGCTTTCTGATAGCCTTGATTGTCTGTGTGTCTAGGTGCTTTCTGATAGCCTTGATTGTCTGTGTGTCTAGGTGCTTTCTGATAGCCTTGATTGTCTGTGTGTCTAGGTGCTTTCTGATAGCCTTGATTGTCTGTGTGTCTAGGTGCTTTCTGATAGCCTTGATTGTCTGTGTGTCTAGGTGCTTTCTGATAGCCTTGATTGTCTGTGTGTCTAGGTGCTTTCTGATAGCCTTGATTGTCTGTGTGTCTAGGTGCTTTCTGATAGCCTTGATTGTCTGTGTGTCTAGGTGCTTTCTGATAGCCTTGATTGTCTGTGTGTCTAGGTGCTTTCTGATAGCCTTGATTGTCTGTGTGTCTAGGTGCTTTCTGATACCCTTGATTGTCTGTGTGTCTAGGTGCTTTCTGATACCCTTGATTGTCTGTGTGTCTAGGTGCTTTCTGATACCCTTGATTGTCTGTGTGTCTAGGTGCTTTCTGATACCCTTGATTGTCTGTGTGTCTAGGTGCTTTCTGATACCCTTGATTGTCTGTGTGTCTAGGTGCTTTCTGATACCCTTGATTGTCTGTGTGTCTAGGTGCTTTCTGATACCCTTGATTGTCTGTGTGTCTAGGTGCTTTCTGATACCCTTGATTGTCTGTGTGTCTAGGTGCTTTCTGATACCCTTGATTGTCTGTGTGTCTAGGTGCTTTCTGATAGCCTTGATTGTCTGTGTGTCTAGGTGCTTTCTGATAGCCTTGATTGTCTGTGTGTCTAGGTGCTTTCTGAAAGCCTTGATTGTCTGTGTGTCAAGGTGCTTTCTGATAGCCTTGATTGTCTGTGTGTCTAGATGCTTTCTGATCCCCTTGATTGTCCGTGTGTCTAGGTGCTTCCTGATACCCTTGATTGTCCGTGTGTCTAGGTGCTTCCTGATACCCTTGATTGTCCGTGTGTCTAGGTGCTTTCTGATAGCCTTGATTGTCTGTGTGGCTAGGTGCTTTCTGATCCCCTTGGTTGTCTGTGTTTAGGTGCTTTCTGATTCCCTTGATTGTCTGTATATCTAGGTGCCTCCTGATACCCTTGATTGTCTGTGTGTCTAGATGCTTTCTGTTACCCTTTGTCTAGGTGCTTTCTGATACCCTTGATTGTCTTTGTGTCTAGATGCTTTCTGATACCCTTGATTGTCTGTGTTTAGGGGCTTTCTGATACCCTTGATTGTCTTTGTGTCTAGGTGCTTTCTGATACCCTTGGTTGTCTGTGTTTAGGTGCTTTCTGATACCCTTGATTGTCTGTATATCTAGGTGCCTCCTGATACCCTTGATTGTCTGTGTGTCTAGATGCTTTCTGTTACCCTTGTTTGTCTTTGTGTCTAGATGCTTTCTGATACCCTTGATTGTCTGTGTGTCTAGGTGCTTTCTAAAACCCTTGATTGTCCGTGTGTCTAGATGCTTTTTGATACCCTTGATTGTCTGTGTGTCTAGGTGCTTTCTGATACCCTTGATTGTCTTTGTGTCTAGATGCTTTCTGATACCCTTGATTGTCTGTGTGTCTAGATGCTTTCTGATACCCTTGATTGTCTGTGTGTCTAGGTGCTTTCTGATACCCTTGATTGTCTTTGTGTCTAGATGCTTTCTGATAGCCTTGATTGTCTGTGTGTCTGGGTGCTTTCTGATACCCTTGATTGTCTGTGTGTCTGGGTGCTTTCTGAAAGCCTTGATTGTCTGTGTGTCTGGGTGCTTTCTGATAGCCTTGATTGTCTGTGTGATTAGATGCTTTCTGATAGCCTTGATTGTCTGTGTGTCTAGGTGCTTTCTGATACCCTTGATTGTCTTTGTGTCTAGGTGCTTTCTGATAGCCTTGATTGTCTATGTGTCTGGGTGCTTTCCAATGAACTTTGTTTGGTTTTGTGTCTAGGAGATTCCCTGGTTCATGAGACTATGAGACAGATCATGGCAGCTCGGGCCATACACAATGTGTTCAGGATGACAGAGTCCAGACTGGTGGTGTCCAGCGAGTGTATGAGGTAGGTGTACTGTTTAATGTAATAGTAAAATGTCAGTGCTAATTAAAAGCTCAAAGTCAGTGTCCATATCCCAATATACTGAGTTGCAAAATTTAGTATACACTTTTGCTGTTTTAATATCTTTGAATAGATAAAGTGATCCTCTGTGCAATAAATTAGTTACCAGGTATATGGTTTGTTACTGAACTACTATGGAACCATAGAGGGTCAGTAAAATCCATACGGGGTTCGGCCTTCAGCCTCGCCCCCTATTTATTTTACTGACCTTCTATGGTTCTGTAGTAGGTCAGTAACAAACCATATAACAAATATACTCCACCTACCTGTCATAGATGAAATTTGGACATCTCTTCAAATGATATAAATTCAATCTACCAAATTACATGCAGGAGTCCTAAAGAATGATAATACAGGATAATATATAAATATTTTTTGAGGACACATGTAAAATTTAAATCAAAAATATTTTCTATATTATTTAAACTGAAAATACAAAATATATAATGGTATGTTTTGGGATTCAGATAAATCACCTTCAGATAATAAACATAAAAAAATAGATCTACACATATTTAAAAAAAAGTTACTTTGGAAATATATAATGTGATGCATGTGTACTATTAAGTGCTTTAAGCAGGAAACCACTAGATACATTATATATGTTTTTAACCTGACCCTTTGTTACAGTTGTATAACTTGAATTTCTCTTTAATCCAGATCGTTCTTTTATGTAGATTGATACAGCTTGACCCGTTTGTTTGAGGTGAATTTCTGTTCATCCTGATCTTTGTTTTTTCTAGATTGATAGACCCGGGGACAAATAATGTTAGAACACAGTTTAACTTGGCCGATATATCCTTTTGGGCAGCTCATCATGAAAACAACAGGTAAGCTTACACACACAAACTCTTAATACCCCAGACCAAAGTAATAAGTCACCAGACCAAAGTAATAAGTCACAAGGCCAAAGTCTTGAGTCATCAGGCCAAAGTCTTAAGTCACCAGACCAAAGTAATAAGTCATTAGGCCAAAGTCTTGAGTCTTCAGGCCGAAGTCTTAGCTAGCAGACCAAAGTCTTAAATCTTCAGACCAAAGTCTTAAGGCACTACAGTCTTAAGTCACCAGATCAAAGTCTTGAGTCATCAGGCCAAAGTCATAAATCACTAGGCCAAAGTCTAGAGTCTTCAGGCCAAAGCCTTAGCTTCTAGACCAAAGTCTTTAGTCATCAGGCCAAGGTCTTAAATCTTCAGACCGAAGTCTTAAGCCACTACAGTCTTAAGTCACCAGACCAAAGTCTTTAGTCATCAGGCCAAAGTCTTAAATCTTCAGACCAAAGTCTTAAGCCACTAGTCTTAAGTCACCAGATCAAAGTCTTGGGTCATCAGGCCAAAGTCTTAAGCCACTAGTCTTAAGTCACCAGATCAAAGTCTTAAGCCACTAGTCTTAAGTCACCAGACCAAAGTCTTAAGCCACTAGTCTTAAGTCACCAGACCAAAGTCTTGAGTCATCAGGCCAAAGTCTTAAATCTTCAGACCAAAGTCTTAAGCCACTAGTCTTAAGTCACCAGATCAACGTCTTGGGTCAAAGTGAACAACGTCCCTTCTCTACGTCTCCATTCACCACTCAAAGTCATATGGCTCTGCTTGCCACAGTAACTGTAATTCCGGAGTAACACTATGCAAGATAAATAATATCACTCTGCCGCTTTGATCACTTGCCTTTCACATAATAAGAAATACAATGTACATCTCAATTCATTTACAAAAGTAATCTCCTTCCTGTAAATGTATTAAAAAGTATGCAAAAATGTGTTCATCATATTAAACAGGGAGAGTTTTCTTTAATTTCAAATAAAGACATTTCTGTTGCAAAAAATCCTTATCTGTAAACATGCATTATGTCTTGAGACTTGTTGTTTCAGACTGTTCGGGTTTATAACAAGGACTAAGGCCCCAGGAGCTGCAATCTCAACGTTCGCCTGTCATGTGTTTGAGTGTAACGTGTCTGCTGAAGAGGTAATAGCTATAGGAGTTATATATAGAACCGGAGATATAAATGGTCAGTTGAACGTGTGTTTTCTATAAGAAAACATTTGACTGTTGTTGTCATGATGATTGTAATTATCTTCAAAATCCAAGGGTTCTGCTCACGATACACACATCTAGGAAATACGTCATGACAAAATTGAAGGTCCGCAGTTAGCTATTTGATTGGTTTTTTTATATAAAATACTGACCAATGGCTAGGCTGATAGCTGGCTTTGAAGATTACAGAGGAGAGCAACACCTGACTGCAAAGTCAAGGCTGTAGAGAAGATAGGTGTATTAAAATTGGAAACAACAGATTTCGAAAAAATGGTCATAATCAACTCATGTTTATGAACAATCTATAAAGCTTCATCAAGGTTTAATATGCTTGAAATCTAACCCATAAGAATTGATATTTGCCATAATAGATGATTACAAGTTGGGTAACTTGAAATGTTTTAGACCCCTAACGTTTTGGTATATATATGTTTTATATCAAGTTAACACTGTGGTTTGTTTGACTGTAGATATGCCAGGCGATCGGTACAGCCACAAAACTTGCCTTCCAAGCCATCATGGTAAGTCTCTAATTTAGACTTGGTGTCACGTTGGTTGTGAACCTGACTGTAAGTTGGCAGTATCTATGTGTGCTATCCTGTAATACCGTGTTTACTGTGCTGTGATATCTACAGTGTACTGTCTTTTGCTGACATTTTCAAAGATAAATATTGATTTATGAGGAGTGTCACTTGTAAAATTCAAATATCATGTTAACATCAATTCAGACACAAATATCAAACCTGATTGTAGCTGATATTGTTTACTTGTGAATAAGTTATCAGAAGATCTGTCACAGGAGCAGGTATTCACACGAAGTGATTAACGATATAGAAGTTTGTGTAGAATAGTCTCAAAGTAAGTCAGGACACTCAAGATGTAGAGTTACACAGATATTCAATTATTATGTTTTAAAATTTCACAGTTCATGGGTATTTGTTTTAAATGTGACTTCATTGCCACAGAAAAGTATTTTTACGACCTCCCCCCTCCCCCTGCTCACTCACACCCTGTAAATCATGTGGGCTAGACTACTGTAAAGGTCAAAGTAATGGTTAGGAGGTCAAAGGTCAAGTAATCCCGTGACTTCAATATAGAATTTTATCAATTTGCATTTCACAACTAGATGCTGTGTTACGTAATAACCTGATACTGGCATTCTAGTCTTAAGTCACGTCTTACTCCTAACTTTGATTGACTCGAGGTTTCATATATGTGCAAACCGAGACTAGATGTAGTATTGTGTAGCATTGTTAGGTATGTACTACATCTTATGGTGACAGCCATGGTAAAGGGTTAGAATCCAAAGGCTGTAATACACAAAGTTATTTTTGCCTACACAGAAAACTTGTTCCCTATGATGATGTCCCAGCAGCCTATAGTCCATGGTACACACAGCTTACATAAGGAATAGAGAACATGGTTTTCATGTATCAGTCCTAGTTCACCTGGTTTTTTTTATTTATCCGTATTCCCTTTGATGATGTCCCAGCAGCCTATAGTCCATGATAGACACAGCTTACATAAGGAATAGAGAACATGGTTTACATGTATCAGTCCTAGTTCACCTCGGGGGGCGTATTTATCCGTATTCCCTATGATGATGTCCCAGCAGCCTATAGTCCATGATAGACACAGCTTACATAAGGAATAGAGAACATGGTTTACATGTATCAGTCCTAGTTCACCTCGGAGGGTTTATTTATCCAAAATCATAGTTACAATTTCCCCAGCAGGATTAAGTCATCATACGTCAAGCTATTGTTTTCATTTCTCTAAAGGATACTGGTATCACCGCCATTTCAAAACTATTTATTTTTTGAGATTGTGCTTCAATCATATTGTGAGAATTTAAATTAATAAAGGACAAAATGACAACATCTTTCCATTGGTGAAATGTTCTGAATTCATATTTATATGATATTTTAATTTGCAAATATGCTTATTTTGTGAAATATTTCAATTTCCTCATTCTCCCATTTTGTGCTATAGACGTATTTATTGATCTCTCACCAAATAAGTAAAGTATACATTTTTTCTCAACAAACATTAATGATGAAAAGATACAGTGATTTCTTATTCATTAAATTGCCGGATTTAGAAGGAGCCTAACACAATCCTTTCATAGCCAAATATTTTTGAGAAGTTGGGTCTCCTCAAAAACATCCTGGATCCTGCTTTACTTGTAAGGCTCCACTACCTACTGTTTACTATGTACCAGACCATCTACCACTGCCTACAGCCAACTAGACTTCCTCAAAAGTTCAGAAATCACCTGTCTATGAACAGACTGTCGCTTTTCTGACGTCATAAATAATTATCATCATTCGCTCTTTGTGCAAGGTAGTGAATATTAAAGGCAGTCTGTTGTATTTTTTTTCGATTTTCTTCTCTCTAGATAAATTTGATTTATCAGATGTGAAACAACAGACAGACCATATTTCAGTAATAAAAAGATGATAATTCTGTAACTTCTTATTGGCTGATTACCGGGTATATATCCCCCACCACACACACACAACAAAGTTAGATGGGAAGGGGGTAGGTTCTGGAGTAAAGTTGTCTATTGACAGCTTAACCCATTCACCCCTAAAGTCACATTTGAACCTTACCAAATCAAAGACTGGGCAAGTCTACTGTAATATGTAGGGGTGAATGAGTTAAAGTACTGCACCAGTATTAATGAAACACCTGCGCTATATGTGACCACTATGTGTTGTTTCCGTTGCTATTAGAAGAGTTATGGCCCCTTATCTACCTACACTTGTTTAGTCTACTGCAACTGTAATATCAGATGGTTCAGGATAGAACTTTGTTAATGTATTTACAGGTAATTAGCCTAAGTATAACACGTTTATGATAAAGTTAGGTACATGTATGTACAAATCATATTTAGGATGAATCAGTTCTGGAAAAGCTCTTATATTTTATAACACCTGTCCACATTTGTTGATCATTTGTCTTCACCAATTCCTTCCAGGCTGCTAAAAGTGAGGGTAACTTCATTATTTCCTTCTGTTCCGTTACTGCATTATCCATGTTACTGCATTTTCCATGTTACTGTCATTATGTTGCGTCATATTCCATGTTACTGCTGTTTAATAACTACCCGGTACATGTTCCATGTTTAATGCTGTTTTGTTACTATGTTCTTTGTTACTGTTGCATATATGTTGTTACTACTATTTTGTTACTACATTAAGCTACCACCATATTACTCGCTATGCTACTCCTATATCACTAGAACCATAACATGTATGCTGCCTTACTTACTCTGGTGGACTGTGTAGACCTAACTATATCACATACAAGTATCTGTTATGTAAATACTGGTTGAGAAAGCTGCAGGAAAGGCCCATACTCATATGTCATGATAATTAGATATTTTACGTTATTTATTATAGATTGATCTTGCCTTATGAATCACTTCACTTTAGTATTTAAATATACGATACCTTACATATTGTATCAAAGATTATTGTTAGTTATCCCCCTTTTAGAAATAATTTGCATTTTTATCATTTAGAATTACATGAGTCTTGTCGATGCATGTATTCTTGTATACCTAGGCCTTACAAACATCTTATTTATTTATAAGTGAGCTAAAAAATTACCATTCATTTTTTTTCTTGCTTTTTGTGGAAATGTTTTGGAAAGAAGTTACAATTTTACAGGTAGCATACACATATATACAAGTCAATATCTGGGAATTCTATTCGAGTCTTTTTGCTTAGACAGGTTATGAGGTATGCGTCAACTCCTTTAAACATGTTAGTATGTGACTTTCATATCAGTGGGAGATGCTGCTTGTGTTAACAAAGTAATGCCCTCAGAAAAGTATCGGTCCGTTGAAATTTTTTCTATGACTAGAACCCTTGTTCACAAATAATGGGAGTACTTCAGTCAGTCAAACATTAGTAAAAAGTTTTCTGGAAACAGGTGAATTTCTCAATGATTTTCATAGCTGATGAAGCATGTACGGTAGCCTATTATTGATACCATACCTATATATATATATTACTAACAGAGTATATCATATGGGATATGGGTTTTCTACACCTGATGGTAGAATTAGCATATTTTACATAAAGCTCTGTACCTACATAATGATTGACTTTCTTTAGCTCACTTGTTCGCTCTAATTTCGGTAAAATATGATGATGATACAAATGCAACACTAAGAATGGCAAAGTTTCTCAATAACCTAAATGAATACATAAAAAACAAGGCCATATTTGGAAAGAGCAGAAAAAAGTATGGTGCACCATACTAATAGGTATACCTCAAATCTAAAGAAGCATGCACCATCTTCATGTCAATCTTGTGTAATTATTCTCCTGAGATGGTGTCGGTTGTCCACAGCAAGATCACCATAAACAGTCAAACGATATTGTAAAAGGCTTCGGATTATTGTGACATTGTCATCTGATTGTGACATCATAAAAGAAAAAGTCACTTGATACATGTATTACACACATCCTGTTCTGTCTAAAGCCTTACATACACAGAGATGGGAGAAATGGAGGTATGTGTTACTCTGTGTCAGGGTTTAGGGATCGGGAACAGTCTACCCAGTTAATTTCAATATGTATAAGAGTTAACCTGTTATTTATGTTTCTGACAAAGGAAAACATCCGTAGCAACATGTAATGATTGAAGGTCACATCTAAAGTCCAAGGATGAGAGTCTTTAGAGAAAAACACCATGAAATCATCTTCATGAGTAGCTAGTATACTAGAAAAGGAAGCTAGATTATATGGCAGTATATAATATATACAAAATGATACATGCCAGTGTAGTAATGGGGGTTGCTTGGCATGTACCGTCATATTCATATTGGACATGACTTATTATAAGTCCCGTGATATTTTCTATAAAGCAGATGATACATTGTCATTGTTTAAATGGTATTCGTGTCTTACAAGTTCTAAAATGCCTTTGAATTGTCTTGTGGTATAGGCGTCTATATAGGCTAATAGGCATGTGTTGGAGGATGCAGTATTTTATTTTACCGAATCCTTTTTGTTACATAGGAGAGCATTAGATAGTACTAGTTTAGTCTGTATAATGTGTTCATGTGTACTTAAAACATTCTACAGACATTACTGCATTTCTACCAAAGTTCTAGTTTACTTTTGTGGCATGCTTACCAAATCATTCATTTGCATGAACTTTATTATTAAGAACATGTTTTTTTAAAGTGAAATTTACACAATTTTCATAATCTTACCCTATATTGCCTGCAATAAGCCCTGGAGGCAAACATAATTTCTCAAAGTGTCGAGGGTTCATGGTATGGTAGGACAAAGATATCACAATTGTTGACATTTCTACTGAACTGCAATAGATTTGGATGGGCTTATTACCAGGCCACAGGTGCTGGACACACTAATAGTAATTTGATTTGTATATACTACAGGTATATAATAATAAAGGTATATAACTGCACTATTTTGTATGTCCAGCACCTGTGTACCAGGCATGGACTTATATTATTGCAGGATGAATTTGTATGTCCCTGTATAGAAACAATTATTGAGAAATGAAGGTAAATTACTACTTTACACATTGTGGCATATTCAACATTTCTGATCAATCAGACAGTAGTCGGGTTGCTTTGTTTTGTGTTACTCTATGTAACTTCTTAGATACATCTATAGTTCTAATTCATTTGAGATTTAACACGACATTTGATTAGTCAATCAAAATAATTTGCGACAGAATAACCACAATATACCATCTGCAAATTTCTCATTTGCATATGGAGCCCAGAGGGTGATTGTTTATGACGTCAATGACCTCGACTGACCCTGACTTGTCATGAAAAAGATTATACATGACGTCACGCATCGCCGGTAAAACTCAACTTGCGACAGTAAATCAAACTACTTACAGTAGGATTACCCCCTATTTTATCTAATATATAATGTGCTTGTCTTATTTAGGAAAGGAAACACCAGACAAAACAGCAACAAGTTAAACAGAAGGAGCACGCCCTGCTGCTAGCCAATATAGGGCAGATCGAGGATGCCCCGGAAGAGCAGGAGGGACTGGGTAACCTCCCCCTCTCCTCTGATGGCAAATATCTAGTTCTTACCACAACCGACGAATCCGATCTCTACCCGGAGTCACAGGACATGGAGGAGAGTATGGCCAAGATGAGTGTCAGTAGTGCCCCTCCAGAGGAGATTGACAGCGAGTCTGAAGCCTGAGACAACACAGCACTGCTATAGAAGAAAGACTTAATCAGTATTGGTTGTAGTAAACTTGTGATGAAACTATGTTGTGCTAATTTAATTAGATATTTTTATGCCATATTTTGTGCTTATCTTATTAAGTTGTTTTTTTGTGATCGTTTTTTGTGCTAATTTGATTAGTCCTTCACTTGTTTGTTTTGTGTTTGCTGGTTTAAGACGTAATTTTTCCCACACCCTCAAAGTAGTTAAGTACTCTGTCCTAATAACGACAGCTGGGTCAACATAAAGTAAAGCTCCGAGTTCAGGGTAGACTTTCTGTCTTACAGCTGTACTAAAGACATGATTAGACATTCCTATTATTTATTTTGTCATTGTTTCTCTTGCCTGTGCTTCCATTTCACATAAGCAATACCATTGGGCTTTTGTCGGTTCTAGCTTCGGCACACAGTTTTCACTGTTGGTTTTACTTTATATAGATCTTTATTTTCAAAGGTACGGAATAGTAGGTTCAGGGCATTAGTTTTATACACCGCTGGCCTGCAATTTAAAGCTTTTTGGAATAAAGATTCACTATGGTGTTGGCTGGTGGTTGTGCTGTAGGGACAGGTCTGTGACAGGGACAGTTTACAGTCTGACATTGCTAGTTTCAGTGTATTACAACCACAGGGGGGAATTATTCCACTAGCCTGACTCCCAAGGCTAGTAGATTTTATGTTGTGGCTACTGAAAATTTTCAATATTAATATGAAAGATAGAGTTGGGGCTAGTACAACTTTTCAATATCAGCTTATGGGCTAGTATTCTAAATATAAAGTTGTATACCCCTACACCTTACAATGATAAGCTGTTTATATTAGGTTACCTGTTAAAATACCTTGGAAATGGTGTTAAATTCAGTAGGCTTGTCCACGGTGTAAGAGTTCACACTACTGATGACTAACAAAGATTTATCGTTTATTTCCTATATAACCTGTACAGTACATTTGGCCTTGACCTTGTGTGACTAGGTGTTCATGTTAAACGCGTTGTTGACCTTAACAGTTTGTGATACTGATGTTCGTTTTGTAAATATGTGGAAGTGTTAAATTCATTTAGAACATGTTTGATATTTTGTTGCTGTGAGACTGAGGTAATGTTAAGGTCATTGAAGGATTTGTTTGACCTGGACATTGACCTGTGATGGAACTGGCCTTCATCTTGTTGTGAAAGTATGAATACATGTTATTGATTGAAGTTATTGTTTATGGCTTTGCAACACGTGGATTCATACAGGGTCAAACATTGACAGTTTATTGTTGTGCGATATATAATTTACGTTGAATTCATTCACAGTATATACAACATTGGCATGTGTGACCTTGACCTTTGGCTGTGTTTGTGTGACCTGTACTTTTGTGATTTGCCTGTATTATGTATAATTTTCATCAATAACTTAAAGTCATGTTTCTCTGTTGTAATGGAAATGTTGCAGTACAAATCTGCCTGAAAGTTATCTAGAAAAGGTCCTACTCGGATGTTCTGGATTATCCTGGCTGTATTGGACATTTGTCTGTGACCTAATTAAAGTAATAGAAGGATAAGTTCACTGAGAAACAGGTCATCCCCACCCCAGGGCCATTACTGACCCCTGTCCTGAAACCAGCCCTTCCCATAATCCCATATTTGACTTAATTACAAATATTGACTTCTATTTGGAACTGTTCTTTAACTTCAAAAGCATGTTTTATAATGTTACACCTAATACTCTATAGATCCATATTGTAGAAAGCTTTCTGTTCACACAGTCTTATTATGTTGGTCTTGTAAATTAACAAAATGCCATTTTGCACTTTCTTGCGTTTGCATTTCAGGCAAGTTAAACACTCATACCCAGAATATTTTCATGTCTTTGTTAATTTCTTACACAGAGCATTTATACATCCATGTAATTTTAGTTAACAGATGCTTTTTTCCTTAAAAAAACTTTTCATTTGCTTTATATGTGATCCATGGTGTAGCATTAGTATTACTTTGTCATCTTAGGATTAAGATCTGTAAAACAAAATCAATGATACTCATGGTGGTCGTGTCTGTTTAACATATATAAAACCAGTCTTTATTTCATCCAGTTATTTTTCAAAAAATGACCTACTCTAAATATACTTCTTTCAGCGGTAATTTTATTTCAGTGCTTTCCATTCTAATTTGATAGGGTTAAGTTATGATGTTCTTTGATGAATAACTGTACTTCTAGTTGTCATGCTAAATCATGATGCATGAATCTTAAAAATTGTTGCCGCGGATGTACAGAAAATCTGAAATATGGTTGCAGTGATACAAGTTTGTTAACAGTATATAATTGGTTGTATTAATTGACCAGGAGCATGATCAGTTTTGACATTCAGTGACAATCACATCAAAGTGTTGTATCAGTTGACTATTATATTTTTATTTACGTTTACGAGATACAAGATGTGATATTAACAAATTAAAAGGTGGTAGACATTGATCATCAGGATAAACAAAATTCCTTAAAAATGTCAAATAAAATGGAAATTATATTTAAAACATGAAAGTTTTAAGTGACATTGGAGACTTGATACAAAATGAAATTTAAAAATAACTTTCCAGAGTTTACTACGTTTATACATATATAGAAATGTGATAATTATCGTAAGCTTTGGATTAGGAGTTTAAATCTTAAGGACAATTTCACAAAGTTATGCAACGGATCTATGCAAAAGATGTCGGAGTTGTCTGCCCTGACAGTGAAGGTTGTCATGGTTACTCAGAATGTTAGTGTGAAAAACATGGAAGGCTCATAAGATCTTTGCACTCTGGCCATTTCTATTCTTAATTGACTTTATCTTAGTGATCCTTCTGATGTCTGAGTTCAATTTTTGCCAACTGTAAGCAAGAAAACTTTTATCAACTCTCTTGTCTTCTAGACAATCAAATGGTGAATAAACATATCCATACACGTTTGTAAAAAAAATCAGTTAAATTAATTTATAAGTTATTTTGAATAAAAATATATTAGAGAGTCTCACCACTTTTCTATTTCTTTATTCTATTATTATTATAGTAAATGAGCAAGTCACTCCTAGTCAAAAAAATGCAGAATAAATTGGAACTCTTTTTCATTTGAGATACAACATGGATCACTGAGACTCTCTGCCTTAAGTGTTCAGAATTGTAGGTTTAAATGCATCTATTCTGATTATAATTCTGGAGAGTTCCTTAAAAACTACAAGTAGTAGGGAAAGATATATCTGTGAATATTGTTGTGTTGCTGGCTAGATAGCTGGATATATATAGTTATGTATGTGGCCCATATTTAAAGATTGAAAGCATTTTTGAACATTTGGTTTCCTTAAGATGTCTTGTTTTGTGTTGTAATCTTATTTACAGATGTTGTAACTTGTTAGTCCAACGTTTTATTTACAGTATTTTGAATTAATCATTATATGATTTACTTGTGATAAGCTCATGTTTGAAATAAGAAATATGTCCCTTGAAATTAAAGCAACATAATTTTTAAACAAATTTTACTAATAAGGAGACAAATCTAGAAATAATTGCTTCTTGCATATACTAATACCAGGTATACAGTTAACCCAATAACATGTTATTGAATTATTCAATTATTTGCATAAAATATCCAAGCGCAAACCAATTCTCGATACATTTGAATAAAATAATTGGATTATTTGCATAGCATAAAAGTTAAGTTTTTACCGTAAAGCATATAAAAGCCTAGATATTAAATGCACAAAACTTGGGAAATGCTGGCAGTACTCTGTTCTGTTGGCCTGCCTCCTAGGTTTATCGTTAGGAAGAATTAAAGAAAGCCATTAAATGGACTATTATATTGATATAAAACTGAATTATTATGAATTATTAGTACAATTAATTGTGTGACTCTGTACCTAATGTATTGCATGTGTACTGTATTAAAGTCCCTGCTGAACCGAACTGAAATGTACAACCAACGCTTCGCTTTCTAGGTATAGAGGAGCTGGTAGCTTGGGTAGGTCACCTGTTATCTAGCAAAACCTATGGTACATTTCTTTATGCTAGGTAGCTATAGTGATTTGTTTTTTGAGTACCAGTATATGAGGTATGATAGATATTGGTTTAGTGGTGGTGTGTGTGAGGGATAAGGGGCTTCATTCTCTGTGTGATTAAACAAAGCTCATTAATTAGTTGTGTGATCAAACAATACGCTCATTAATTAGTTGTGTGAACAAATAATACGCTCATTAGACATTTATCACATCATTATGCTGATCGTGAATGTTGTTGCTTCAGTTATACTCGTGAGATGTGAGTCCAAATGATGCTCATCAGATACCTGTGCCACAGGGAAGCTGTGTTAGTTCAAACTATGCTCGTTAGATATGTCCTAGTGTTGCTAATTTCTCAAAAATACCAATGATTTCATAGCTTTGTTTAGCAGATGATCATGAGTTTGCTTCTGTTTGGTTTTTGAGGTTTTTTTCTGATGATATTTGTATTTAGAATATATCTAGTTGGGTTATTGCTGAATAGAATTGCATCAACAATTTTAAATGGAACCAAAGTATGGATGTAAAGTCAATAGTGTCATATATAAGTGGTATAAAATGATTGAATTGATGGTGTTCATATACAAACTACAGCAAAGCACTGTGGTCATGTCACCGCCTTTACAACACAAATTGTTAATTATCGTTTTATTGAACATTGATCATTTTTTAACAAAATTAAGCAAGGTCCATTAACTTATAGTTTTTCACAAGATCCTGTCTTCAGATTTTAAACCAAACTGACCTTGTGATAGTCTGAGCTTAACTGAAGCCTCATAGACACCAGATCTATTATTTAGGTGTCAAATGGTTTTTGTAATGTTAAATGAATATTTTACCCACAAAAACATCTCATATATGTTAAAAAGCATTGTGACACTTTGGCTCTCTGTAACGACAGACACCCAATGTAGAGAACTAATTGTAATTCTACTGTAGCCTACATATGTAGCTCAGATAGTTAGTCCTTTATACAACACTGGGTGAACCAATTAAATTACAGCTTTGTGTAACTATCTTTTCATATATAGTGCTTAGAGAAGTTGGTTTGTACTTTGATTTATAATAAGTTTATAGATATATAAGACAGAAGTTAATTTTTACAGGATAACTGTCTTTTTTTATTTCAAATATCATTAATGGAGAGATATTTTGCTGTTTGTCTATTTCAAACAGGGCAAGAGCAACACGTTGCTTTGTTATATTTAGTTATGGAGAGTAGTATGATATCTGCACAGACTACAAGTTAGCATCTAGCACTGTTAAATTAGGGCTAGTAGAGACACTAGATGAGCTAAACTCATTCACCCTTGAAGACACATTTGAACTCTTCCAATTCATAGGTTGGATAGTTCATTATAAAATTTCAGGGGTGAATGAGTTAATAAGTGGTGCATGTGATTATAAGTTAGTACTTGGCAGCTTTAGCTTTAATGACTTAATTTCATGCTAAACATTAGCTATGGTACTGCAGTAACTACTAAAAGTATGATAATTTGTCAGCTAGAGTGACAGTTTACCTATATTGGCAAGTCCACTTACATTTTGTCTCAAAACTGATGTGCCTGTGCTTGTTTTGAATCTATGTTTGTATTTTCAAGAAAAAAATTGTCATCAAAGGTTTCTGTTACACTTTCATTTTGTGATATGGTATTATGTTGCTGCTGTGGAAATGTGATTTCAGTGTTATTTTAGTGCACATAGGGGAAATGCTTTGTAGTATGTTTGCTTTAACAAGAAATGAGGTAAATATATACGTAAACTAGGTGTTTTCGTTAAGGTGAAATATATTGTTAAATTAAGTTAACAAGTCGAAAAAAAATACTTGATACTATTGTCTAAAATTCTTCAAGAAAATATGGCTTTGTCCCGATAATGTTTGATTTAGCATCAACTAGCTGACTTTGAGACAGGTAGAAAAACACCTTTTACTGTATACTGGGAATTTTTTTCTGCAGCATAATTTTTGCCTTTTTTAGAGGGCAAATTTATCAATACAGCAAACATGAGTCAGCAACTTAATTTACGAAGTAATTTTAAAGGCGAAAGTTTGACTGAGCGTAAAATTCCCAGAATACGGTATATCATGGTGATTCTAGTTGCTCTGATCAAATTTATTTTTAAAAGGACAAACTGCCAATTACGATTTAGAACTGTGATATGTATATATTTATTTTTCATTCTGAGGAAGTATTCTTATCACACCATGGCTCATTGACTGACAGGCGTTAGGAATAAGGTAGTAGGGTATATTGTGAACCGTGAGTGTGGGGAGGTAGTGCTGTACATTATAACTATCACATTTACAGGTGTACGTATATAGAGTTGAGTGAGAGAAGGTATAAACATGGGTGAGAGAGGTACAGAAAGGTGAGAGAAAAGGATACACACAGATGAGGGAGTTACAGACAGGTGAGAAAGGTACAGAAAGGTGAGCGCAAAGAAAACACACAGATGAGAGAGTAACAGACAGGTGAGAAAGTTGAAAACAAAGGAAACACACAGATGAGAATGTAACAGAGAGGTGAGAAAGTTGAGAACAAAGGATACACACAGATGAGGGAGTTAGACAGGTGAGAAAGGTACAGGAAGGTGAGAGCAAAGGATACACACAGATGAGAGAGTTACAGACAGGTGAGAAAGTTACAAACAGATGAGAGAGTTACAGACAGATGAGAGAGTTACAGACAGATGAGATAGTTACAGACAGATGAGAAAGTTACAGACAGGTGAGAAAGGTACAGAAAGGTGAGAGCAAAGGTGACACACAGATGAGAGAGTTACAGACAGGTGAGAAAGTTGAGATCAAAGGATACACACAGATGAGAGAGTAACAGACAGGTGAGAGAGTTACAGACAGATGAGAGAGTTACAGACAGGTGAGAAAGGTACAGAAAGGTGAGAGCAAAGGTGACACACAGATGAGAGAGTAACAGACAGGTGAGAAAGTGAGATCAAAGGATACACACAGATAAGAGTAACAGACAGGTGAGAAAGTGAGATCAAAGGATACACACAGATGAGAGAGTAACAGACAGGTGAGAAAGTTGAGAACAAAGGATACACACAGATGAGAGTGTTACAGACAGGTGAGAAAGGTACAAGAAGGTGAGAATAAAGGATACACGCAGATGAGAGCGTTACAGACAGATGAGAGAATTACAGACGGGTGAGAAAGAGGAGTACAGACAGTTGACAGAGGCACAGACAGGTGAGAAAGAGAGGTACAGACTGGTAAGAGAAAGAATTACAGACAGGTGTGCGAGGTATTGGCAGGTGAGAGAAAAAGTTCAGAGACAGGTTAGAGAGGTACAAACAGGTGAGTGAAAAAGGACGGGTGTATAGGCAGGTGAGAATATTTCAGATGTACAATGTAAGGCATATGAGACGTACATTTGTACAGAGGGTGATCCAGGTACATTTGCATGTGTGAAAAAGCTCGAGGTGAGAAAGTTACGGGTGTAAGACAAGTGAGACATTGAGGTGTACAAAAAGGTGTGAGGTGTATAGGAGAAATGAGGGTGACCGGCTGCTTTACATCCATTCATGTGTTTTTGTGTTTATAGCACACAATCATGAAATAAAACGTACCATCCCGGACCTGCGTTTTATGTGTCTGTGTTTGTATGTTACCATGGTAGACATACATGGTTGGTACTTTGTGCTACAAAGATAGAATGACCCTCCAGCATTACCATGATGTCCTCTGTAATAGAAACACATTACTTGTACTTCGATAGAATGCTGTAGCCACATCAACAGAATTGAATTGGTAGTTCTTCAACACGCCTGGAAAAAACGAAGGAAGAATGTCATACTCAGATCATCAGGATGTCTTTGGACATACAACACCGATTCATCAATATCTTAATTCGAAATCAAAATTGATAAAAAATAATTAGAGGAACATATGAACAAAGGATAAATTGAAGGAGAATAAAACCAAGTGTTCCAGAAGGGTCTGTTTCATCGATGGCACTGTTGTGTATCTTGATTATATTCAAGGGATGTCACGTCCTGGAAATAAGAAAAGGGGTAGTGGCAACGAAACAACAAAGACACCTATAAACATTATCCGAGACCTTCATAATTATATAATTAACACACAGGGAAATAGCATGTTTCCCAATGAGATCATGATGAGGACCTAAACTTGTTCAGTCTTCATCAACCTGCATCTTTTGAAACCTTGTGTTGTCCGTTTGTCCGTCAGGAGTCGACATATATCTAAGAAATCATAATATTCAAACCAAGCTAATAAGTTCCGTTTTAACTGTGATATGTAAACACTAGTTTGGGGAAGCCATGGTGTTGCTATCAAGAAAGGGAAAGTTCTCCATCAGAAAATCGATATCGTCATGCTTATCCAACAGATTAGAAGTAAGGCGTCCCTATTGGTCATGTTGTAAATATAGATCAAGGAAGACGGCTCAAGTGTCATTGATTCCAATTTCAGAAGAGTATATACCATCGACGTGGTCAATACAATTCTTGTTCTATCAAGCCAGCATTTTTTCGATATATCAGAAACTGAAATTGAAAGACACATATTGAACCAAAGGAATACCTACGATCTGCTAGAAAAATGGCTACGAACTCAACAAAGATATTGTTAGCGGGAACTCGATCAATTTCATCCGCAATATATTTTGGTCTTCAACGTCTTTTTCCCCATTCACGGTGTTCTGACAGAGGAAACATTTTTGAGAAGAGGATGTTCAAAATGATCAAAATATCTTGAGGTTCTTCAGAATCAATAATACATATATTCCACTTCTGAAGCATACAGTATACTTATGGTGCGGGTCGGTAAGTCTGGTATTGACTTTATACAAGAAACTTTATAAAGAGTCGCATACATATAAACAAGAAACGCTAGCTCTTGTGAGCTATTATTGCGACAAACTTCTGTGTAGAAAACGATAAAACATTATAACATCACATGGAACAGGGGTTATCACAGATAGCTGATTCTTATATAGCTGTAACTCCTATCACAATGCATCGAGATTTCTTCCGCTAGCTTGTTAGACAACTACTCCCATCATCAGTATGTCTTTCTTCGCAGAACCATCAAAATAGTACAAGACTGAAAACCCAAAGACAGAATATTATACTCGCATCATCAGGATGTCCTCGGTGATTAAAGCATTTGATTTTGTTCTTAACACGGTTGGGGAAACTATATATAAAAAGTAGCGCATTTGTGATATACTTATTAAAAAACTAAGAAGGTTCTTCTCTTCCATTTCTAGAGTTAAATTCGAAGATCAATTTTCTTTGCGAAATACTGCCGGCTCAGCTGCCATGATGTCGTAATAAGTTCGGGCGAAGATCTTTCAGTAAGTTTTGAGTATTTACAGCTAAAGTGGGCTTCACTCTACCCAAACCAGATAAGAGGTAACCTGCATAGCCACTGAAAAGAGTGTAAAGAGCCCATGTGGTATTGCTGCTATATGCCTTATCTTGTACATTATAGTACCAGGACCATATCTATCACCAGTGGTTCCAGTTCAATTGCTGCTGTCTTACTTCCAGCCTATCTGTCGAAGTGTACCAGCGGCGCAATTTGTTTGGTAGTATAAGGGACCCAGGTTGACGAAGTGTATCCCAGAAATGATATAATTAGCGTTTGGTAAACTCTAGACCTATCTGTATTCTTACGACCCAGCTCGATCATAGTCCTCCTGTTGGATTGACATTTGTGGTGAGGTTGTGACAAGTGTATCTCATTTACTGTCCTATACGTCGTCAACTTCCTCAAGAACATGGCCATGTAATGCATATTTAGCCTGATGAGTGGTTTCCTTCTCCTTGTGATCCTCATAAAGCCTCAGTCACACATTCAGGATTTTTTCTGCCGTCCTTGATAGGACCATTCCCGATTCAAATTTGTAAAAATATCTATTTAATCACGACAACAATCAGATATTGTTCAGGAAGCGTCCCGATTCAGCGCGTTTCCAGACGAATTCGACCCGATTATCCCGTTCTGTATCCGATTCTGATCCGATTTGTATGTTTCGCATGGTAATAAACGACTGAATCTGTCCCGAAAGCGTCCCGATTCTCCCGAATGCGACCCGACAGAGATTAGACAGTGATCCGACAGTGAACCGACGCTGACGGAGCACATCCATTAGAAAACCGTTTCACGCGATAGTCCCGTCCTATAAAAGAATCGTGCGACGGCGGATTCTCACTCTAGCCTCAGCAGTTCTACAAGGAGAATCGCCGTCAGTTATTGGCAGATTGTCTCCATTTTAATGATATAGTTTCATCTTTATAAGTATTAAGTTACTTCACTATGCCTGCTAAGAAGAAGCCTGTGCCTGCCATGAAGAAAACTGCAAGACAACCAAGGAAAAGGAAGCCTATTTCTATTTCTCCTATGCATTCATCTGCTGAAGAGTTTGGTGGTGATGGTGAGCCAGTTGAAGAAGTCCAGCAAGTCCACAGTGGTGAAATTTAGTTGTGATTTCCTTCCACTCCACTGGGGTAGTGGGGCAGACGATTACCTCTGCAGCGTACTCATCAATGATGGCTTGGTAGACTTCAGGGACAAACATTGACATGGTGTTACTCGGAACCCTGAAGTCCCACGTTATGCTGCTGTAACTGTCGTCGGATGCCAGATGCCTCATGGTGCAGGCAAACTTCAGTCCTGGATCAAGGGCTTGCCTCCACCAGGTATCTTGTTTGGTGATGCAGGGTGTGATCCGAGCCAGGACTTCATCGTATAGTTCTATTGGTAGCCTCATGTAGTTGATGAAAGCTTCTGGATCTTCTTCTCTCAGCTCCCTCATCAATGTGTCATACTGGCCGAGCTGCTCCCTTCTGGATATCCAGGGCTTGACCCAGTATCTTATATTTCTACCGGATCGCAGTACCCTTCTGTTCAAATAATAATTGGCAAACCGAAGGTCTTCTTCTTCCATTTCCACGAGAGCAACCTGCTGCACACACACACACACGTTATACTGCAGACGTGACCAGGTCAGCCGAATCTGGAAATCTACGCATCTCGAATCCTACAACTGTCGCCATATTTGGGATGATTGGGACACTGTCGGAACGCAATCCTATCACAGTCTGATGTACCGCATCGCAGACGGCTTTGTCTGGACTCAGTCGTATCGTGTTCTGTAATTGTCGGGACTCTGACGTGGGTATTATTGCCAAATTTCGTATTAATTACCGAACTGTTCTGGAACGGATTCGGCAAAGACGGTTCGCATTCGGCGAGATCGGGACACAATCTGGACTCCATCGGCAAGAAACGTCAATGAAAAATTTCTCCAGATCATGCCCGTTCCACCGGACACCGTCCAGACACCGTCCAGACAACACAGGATATTGTTACGATTTTGATCCGATTCAGCAGAATCTGTCAAGACATAGTCACGATTGTAATCCGACTAGACAAAATCGGCTGAGTTTCCCGAATGTTACGGGACGCGCCTAACTGTCGGGAGTGCTTGGCCGACCTCTCCGGACCATTCCCGATCCGTAGGACTCTGTTACGAACATATACGACTGCATTCAGACAATAATAGGACAGTCCAGATAATTAAGGATAGTAATCCGACTTTTTCGCTTCTCGTGTCGTAGCGCTGTCTGATATCAAACGGGAGCCATAATCGGCACTGTGTGAACGCCGCATAACCGAAACTTGTCCGGGTCAAATGCAATCTGTCATTGCTTGACCTAGCGTTCCAGTGAAGATATGCTTAAGACTAGACATTGCAGTACAGGAGCTATCATTAGCAAGTAGCTCCGCTTACGAATCAGTCACCTTCTAGAAGGTCGGTTATATTCAAAAAAGTTTACTCAAATCTTGAAGCTTGCAATGTATCTCATGAATGCTAGCTTGTATCGTAAATATTCTCGGAGAACCTTTTTAGATGTTTTGGCAACGTTGAACATTGTGTTCTATAACTCCCTTGTCTGTTGTTCTGGTTTTGTCGCCGATTGTCAAGGGTATAACTTGCTTTTAATGAACGTTTTTGTCAGAAACCATGTTGTGAGTTTATAAAATTGATGACTTGGCTAGGACATTGTGCTCCAGCATTTTGCATGCATTGAAGGTCGACGGTACAAGTTGATAGTGATAACTATTTGATGACTGTCTCCCTTCTTGAAGAAAGGGATAAATGAAGCAGATGACCATATCCATGTATGGTACTGTTGCACAGGGAATGTTGGACGATGAACAGTATGCTGTGGCCTTATAAACAAAGGCATGTTGATGTGCGAAATGTCCCTGTCCATATAACCAGACAAACCTTTTTAGTTATAAGTCAATGTTGATGGTGATGTGCATTCGACCACCGGTGGATTGACCTCAAATACAAGGCCTATTCTACAGAACCGGACGTGTGATAGCTGTTTTTGTTTAATTAAAGAATGTGTGAGTTAAATAGTACAGTCTGCATAATAAATGTTTTGGAGGAACTACGTTATTGTCCTTTACAACTGTACATTGCAGCACGCCGAGCACGAGAGAGAATTTCCCCAAACCTCTACGTACACTTCTGTTACACACTCATCAGCACAGTTCTAAGAGTGTCGTTCTATGGAACAGACGATCAGTATTGACGCCATTTTTGTTCAGTCTCAATATGCTGAATAGCTACACCACCTATAGTTTTGTTAACTTAAATATTAACTTGAATATGCTATTACGCTCCTATGTTCATATACACAGTGTATTCATCGAGTGTCGTTATAAGGTGTTAACATCACAAGAGATTTGGTTTGGTTTGATAAAGGTATAGGTCCTTCCAAAGCTAAGGTCATATAAGGGCTGTGTTAACGATGACGGAGCTACTTTGCATAAAGTTGAAGTGCCACCAAACAGGTAGAGCCGTATATGGACACGGTAATGCGGGAGGTCTTGCCTACAATGTAGCAACACTATTCTTCAGGTTTGTCTCGGCCACAGAACAGAACCCATAACCTTCCTCGCTAGGTCGAACGCTCAACACCAAGTCAAGTGGCGAGGTGTTGCCAAGTTGTGTGCATTAGGAAACAAAAAGTAGTTAGAAAGGAGGGAATACAATTAGTCGCCTCTTATGATCACTCCATATGTAGATAAAGCATATGTTTCTATCCTATGTAGGAATAGTTTGCTTTGACGAAGAATACGCTTTGACGTTGTCGTTTCAGTGGAGCCTAGATAATCTTGCCACCTTCTGTCCTAATTCACCGATTCAAACGAACATAAATCATTTATCAATTACAAATCAACACTGAAATAGAATATCGCTGACCGCAGCATACGCTTTAATTTTTGATTTTATTACACATAATTTCAAATTTCTCGCGATCTTGTCCCCTTTAGATGTTCCATCGACTTGGTCCATACATCGGTCTTCACTCTTGACCCATCCCTGTACCTTTAAGGTTCCCGGCCGGTCTAAGCTCCTTAAATACCTGAAACCACACAACAGGCGAACCAAACAAAAACCTCTGAGTAAGTAACCAATATAAGTGAAAGGGGAATTTTTTTTTGGGGGGGGGCACAAGCGTATACACTGGCTGCCACAGCTCGAATGACACTACACCCGTACACCTTGTACAGCTCACCTGAAACCTCAGGTAAATCACGCCCTACCCGTGGGACACGGGCCGCTCAGGCCACTGTGTATTACCATACTACGCCCCGCCCCTTTACACACGACCACACACACACACATCTGTGTGTCGCAACAACCATCAGTGATATCTCGTAACATTGATAAATATAATTTTATGCTGGGCCAGGTACGGAACAACGTCCCTGTGTCATGATAGCTAAGTCAAGTCTCTGTGGTGTAACTGTTGAATCCAAGTCCCTCTAGGGTACTTGAAGTAACACCCCTGTGGTGTCCAAGCTGAAGCCACACAGATGTTGTTTAACTGTTGACAACCGCAACAATGACTGTTGTGTAACTGCTGACAACTTCAACAGTGACTGTTGTGTAACTGCTGGCAACTGCAACAGTGACTGTTGTGTAACTGCTGACCACCGCAACACTGAATGTTGTGTCACTGCTGACAACTGAAACAATGACTGTTGTGTAACTGCTTACAACTACCACAATGACTGTTGTGTAACTGCTGGCAACTGCAACAGTGACTGTTGTGTAACTGCTGGCAACTGCAACAGTGACTGTTGTGTAACTGCTGACATCCGCAACAATGACTGTTGTGTAACTTCTGACAACTGCAACAATGACTGTAGTGTAACTGCTGACAACCGCAACAATAAATGTTGTGTCACTGCTGACAACTGCAACAATGACCGTTATGTTACTGCTGACAACCACAACAATGACTTTTGTGTAACTGCTGACAACCGCACCAATGACAGTTGTGTAACTGCTGACAACTGCAACAGGGACTGTTGAGTAACTGCTGACAACCGCAACAACGACAGTTGTGTAACTGCTGACAACTGCTACAATGACTGTTGTGTAACTGCTTACAACTACAACAATGACGGTTGTGTAACTGCTGAAGACATGTGCCTGTAGTGTCCAAGTTGAAGCCACGTCCTGCCCTTGTGTTTACGGCTTCACTTTGGTATTAAAACACTGTTGTGTAACTGCTGACAACTGCAACAGGGACTGTTGAGTAACTGCTGACAACCGCAACAATAAATGTTGTGTCACTGCTGACAACTGAAACAATGACTGTTGTGTAACTGCTGTCAACCGCAACAATGACTGTTGTGTCACTGCTGACAACTGAAACAATGACTGTTGTGTAACTGCTTACAACTACCACAATGACTGTTGTGTAACTGCTTACAACTACAACAATGACGGTTGTGTAACTGCTGAAGACATGTGCCTGTAGCAACTGCAACAATGACTGTTGTGAAACTGCTGAAAACTGCAACACTGACTGTTGTGTAACTGCTGACATCTGCAACAATGACTGTTGTGTAACTTCTGACAACTGCAACAATGACTGTAGTGTAACTGCTGACAACCGCAACAACGACAGTTGTGTAACTGCTGACAACTGCTACAATGACTGTTGTGTAACTGCTGACAGCTGCAACAATGACTGTTGTGTAACGGCTGACAACTGCAACAATGACTGTTGTTTAACTGCTGACAACCACAACAATGTCTGTTGTGTAACTGCTGACAACCTCAACAATGACTGTTGTGTAACTGCTTACAACTACCACAATGACTGTTGTGTAACTGCTGTCAACCGCAACAATGACTGTTGTGTAACTGCTGACAACTGCAACAATGACTGTTGTGTAACTGCTTACAACTACAACAATGACTGTTGTGTAACTGCTGAAGACATGTGCCTGTAGTGTCCAAGTTGAAGCCACGTCCTGCCCTTGTGTTTACGGCTTCACTTTGGTATTAAAACTGAAGTCATGCCCCTGTCGTGTAACAACGGCTTCACTTTGGTGTAAACGGTGAAGTCAACTCAATGTGGTGTACTGTTGAAATCTTCCTGTGGTGTAACCATTAAAGCCACATCACTGTGGTGTAAAGACTGAAGCCACCCCATGTGGTGTAAGTATTGTACCCACATCACTGTGGTGTAAAGGCTGAAGCCACCCCCCTGTGGTTACACTATTGAAGCCACCTGCTTTACGGTCGCAGGCTGAGACCATATAGCCTCTGTGAAACGTGTGTATGCGTCTCCTGCACGTACCGTTGTTCTTCTGTAACACGCGCCGGTGAGGGGCAATTAATGCCAATTAGGTAAGCGCACATCAGGGGTCTTGACGTCTTCATCAAAACAACCCGTACTTTCACTTTGCACGTCCCATATAGATCTTGTCTGTTACAGATCGAGTCAGATCTTGATTGTAACAGATCGAGTCGTTAAACGGTTAATTAAATTATCTGCGAAAATAAACGATAACGACTACGTCATGTAGTGGTAGTAACACGGAAAATGTACCACATGCGAAAAATGTTTAGGTAACCGCAAAAATTGAGCCCCGCGAAGTCCTATATTTCAATACCGACTTTGTACTTGGGTATGTAAACATGTTTTGGTTTCTAAAGTGTTTCTAATATTACCTGTTGAAACAATAATATGTTCGGGCTATAGTGCCGCAGCCACTGGTGGAAGACGGCTGATGCTGTGATATTAGATGTAATACACAAACATATGGTCCCAATATCTCGTCAGCATGTGCTCGCGCCCGCCCGTCACTGCACGTGGATAGAACGCGCCTATCCGGTTTCAGTGGCTGCCTGCGCCTCTCTGGACGTTATCTGGCCTCGTGTCTCTCGTTACTCGCTTCGCTTTCTGACCTTACACTGTCCACTTACGTCTCACGGTCAACTCGTGTAATGGACTAATGATAAAGGTTTTCTATACAGTTTGCATTCCAAATATCAAGGTAAGTTGTTTTTTTGGAGTGTGGTGTGTGGTTTAGTAGGACCTGTCGGTGTTAATGAGCGCCATTATTATCTCACAGATAGGTGTATTATTGTTCCTAATATGCTGTGTCAGCATCAAACAGCCATTTCTTGTTTCTCAAAATCCGAGAAATAATAACGTTAGTTTTCAAAATATTACACAGAAAGCATAATGTTCAGTTTTAAGTTGTTCTGTCGTTTTTGTATAATTGATTGATAAAGAATGAATGTCATTAATTAGATACTTTATACTGTTAGATACTTGTAAAAGCATGCATTTCGACGCAAATAAGCGCAAAACAAATTCCTCAAAACTGCATGTGCTATTTTCAGTTTAATCAATCAATATTAATCGCTCATTATCAATAAAATATTATTTTTAGACGTTTGATAACTAAAAATCTATACTACTGCTAGAGCATAGCTTTGCGCTTCAGTGATACGGAGTAATATGGATTGAAATTGCTTGTTTTAATTTATGCCATCTCAACTGACTGCATATTTTGTTTCAATTTCTGTATTGTTTTCAAAACCAATCGATAGCCTTAAGATATGTTGGGTCCTACAGGTTTTATATGGAGACAGACATGCGTTGTGTTGAAGGGGCTACACAGACATTGTCTTCACTTGGTTCAGTTTTGTTCAAAATGTTTTATCCTATAAGTTATTTGTATACATACACCAACTTCTCTCAGAAACTAAAGACAAACCGTTCCCAAGGTCGTTCAGTGTTAGCTAATGACGATAAACGTATACGTATGCGTACATGATCTATAATTAACCCAATCACTGGGTACGTACGTACGACGGTGTTATCTGCCTCACTGGCTCAGACTCGCGTCAGAGATGGAAAGTCCTTCATATTTGTGGAGAGCGCATTGTGTGTAATGTAATTCAATGGAGTTCAGTGCTAAGCGAAAAAAAGCATAAAAGAAAAATTACTAAGTTGTACCTTAAAATTGGACCGTAAATTCTAAACGACGGTTTAATAAGTTATTTTACAGATGCTGCGTATAACTGGCTTAATAAGGTGGTCGGGTGGTGCAGTGGATAGCGCACTTGCCTTTCACCAAGGCGGCTTGGGTTCGATTCCCCGATCGGACGTGAAAAGTTAAGGGGTCACCTGCCCGGCTACGTGGGGTTTCTCCTGGTACTCCGGTTTCCTCCCACAATTAGACCCTCCCGCGCGCTAACATCCGGGCCAACACGAATGATTAAGTTGAAATAGCTTGTTTCATAATTATTGTAAAATAAAGTTGACATATAATTGGTTTTGTTACAGGTTTATTGTTAGGAATAGAACTTGAAAAAATGTCATTTTGAACGTTCACCGAGACGTTTTATAGTTTTCTATATTTTAACCAACTGTTAAGCAGTTAGTCTGACATTTGCATACACAATAAAAAGTTTGTCATACTACAAAAGAAACTCTGATTAGTCACTCGGCTAAATAAGTTTCTAAAATGAGGTGTGACTGTCAGACGGTAAATATAAAATCACGCGCCGTGAATATAAAACACTTTCTAGAGGCGATAACTCTCACTGACTGAATGTCGTTGTGTAAAAACAAACATAACGCTTTGAACTAGGTAGCTTTCAATTTCTCTGATCAAATATTTTTTGTAGTATGAACTTTCCGAAAACGCATTACAGTTTAAGTTTAGAAGGGGAATAACTCTTACACAAAGCTGCAGGTTAATGTCATGTTAGCGTATAATTTGAATGAAAATTAAATATGCAAAAGTAATTTTAAATCATTATGCGGAAAATAATTGAAATCATCTCAACTTCAGTTTCTTTAATCCGTGCAGTGTTATTTTTTGTGCTGGACGTATGCGAGAAAAAAAATGTTTAAATCGTTCAGCTTTGATTTAAAATTATTTTGGAGTAAAACAGTTTTTAGCACTGTGCAGCTTTGTGTAATAACGACACGCAATCCTTATTTGAAACAAGTTGACTACTTATATGACGTGAACCAGCTAACCGAAAAAATATCCATAACTTGTGAAATTAAACTTCATTTATAAGAGTTTTCAAAACTACATGTATTTTTTGATATCGGTAGAAAACATGTCTTTTAATTAATATCGATATAGGTAGACATGTACAAATTCCCGGCTTACAAAAATAGACTGTAGGTTGAAGTGATTATGCTGATGCATTGATTAGTAGGGGAGAGGCTAGATTTGTGTGGTATTCGCTCGCGTGTCTGTAATGGAGGGGGGGGGGGTACATATGGTAAATACATCAGTGGGGAGGATGTGACGGCGGTATAGCGCACATGTGTGGATGATGAGAGGGGTGGGGAGGGCAGAGGGGGTATATGTGTATCGGTAATCACGCGTATGTTATGTATTACATGTTGGTTTTGTTCCAAATACAGATATATGCTTGGTACATTCAATAAACACCCGTGTTGTTTCAGAGTCATGTCGCGATTCTTCGAACTCTTTACACATCCCGAGGTCTGTGTGATAATATAATTCCTAGGACCTAGGAGTCTGTGTCTTAGGCATAAATAACATAAGTCAAGCTAGTATGTTCTAGTCCGCACAATTTCAGAAATTCAGCAAATTTCCTGTCTCTTGCAGGATCTTTTCAGGAAAATGTAATCCGGGTCATATAATGTCGCGAGAAAATACAACGTTTGAATCCGAGGAGCGATATAGATTGCAATACAGTGTTTCTTGTGGTCTAAAAAATACGCCATTTCGGGCTGTATCGAACTATACATATGTATGTAGTTTTCCTTATTAAGTATTTCGCTTCTATTTTAAACTCGCCGATTCCGCATTTCACAAATGAAAAGGCGAAAATAACACTGCCACAAAAACTACCTTGCTTACAGTAACAAAAGACAAAATGTTGAAATTTTGTAATGTTTTACGAAATGATCATTCTCTTGGCATGCAAATATGTTGTTTACAAGAACTGGAACATTAAAGTTATGACGGTACAGACCAATTCTATCTATCTTTATCTGAAGGACGTGTCAAAGTCTCAGACATCGTAAACAGACATAAACCACTTTATAGCACGTGCTTTGTTTTAATACGCTCTAATCGTGCACATCTTTCACAATCTTCACTCAATAAATACTGTACATGTACATGTGTTAGATATGGAAACTCTTACAAGTGTTTGATGTTAGAAGCATGTTTTACACAGCCGCCGTCAGAGTGACGTACGCCCACATATACCTACCTATCAGAGGTAACAGTTGCTCTGTCAGGTGATGAAATACATTTACCAGGATTATCTAACTGTCTATTATAGTTTTTATCACCCAAACAAAAACACTTTAAAATACACGTGCTTTGGTCCTTTGTGGTGCTGTGAAAGCGTTTTGCCGGGAATAAGACACCACATAAAATGCCGTGACGTTTGGTTGATTGAGGAATAGGACGAGATGGGTGCAACCAAGTCGTCCCTAGTAGAGTATTCAACCATATCGCCACAGTAGTTTTGTACGCTTAATATGTTATTTCTGCAATATGAAGGTCGATGTTTTTTATTAGGCTCATTACTATCATGTGTAGTTTTATTGTCATTACCTCAGTTCTCGTAATGGGGACGTAACATTACTTAGATTTGGTCTAGATTTAAATGACGGGTGTAGGAAAGACGCTTACCCTTCCGGAGTACCTGGTCTTATCATGCTAGCATTTTTTGATGTTAATCTACAATTTGCTCTAGTTTTATTGATTTTGAGTTCGAAATATGGTTTTAAGGACACATCGGTATTATCTTGTTTTTTAACCAGTTAGTCGGTTCAACAATAGATTTTAAGTGAACGGAAATAATTATTTTCATAAATAAATATTTAAAAATATTTAGTTATGCCTACCTGCCAGTTTAACGGTCGGCGATACAACCAGAGAAACAGCTTTGTTGAGTACTATATACAAATAACTTACCAAATTGTACAAAGGTGGTAGCTTACTTACAGCGGACAATAATTTCTACGCAAATATCAGACTTAATTTTCGGTATTACAAAGCTGAATAACAGAAAGGGGGTGCAGGTCGCAGTGTTTTGGCTTGATATCGAAAGTGTGATACAAACACGTAGGAAGGCATTAAAGCGGTGTATATCAGTATATCTGATAGGGAATATCAACATATACAATCTTTTATAAACTAATGCATTACTTTGATACGCATATGTGTTTTATCTCGGATAAAGATATAAATATATACCAACACATATCATCAAATAGATTGATAAAACAAATACATATTTATTGTAAACTAATGTATATCATATATGTTGTTTACTAATATACACTCTATAGAGACAACCATAAATACATAATTTACATCAGATATAAATGATGTTTTCGTCGAAAATATTTTCAGGACTAGTCGAAACTAGATTACATAACACGTATTGGCTCCTCGAGTTTCGAAGAGCCGATCTCTCGAAACGTGCTACCACGAAGGTAGCAAACTAATTAATTGTATTTTTGGAGCTATGGAGAAGTGCGTCCTAACACATGGAAAACAAGTTTGTGTAGCAAGTTATATACCGCGTTTATGATGATAGGACTAGTCATCAGAGAACTGGAATCGTTCCGAAACTCATTGGAAAGTCCATCACACTTAAAAGATCAAAAACACACAGGAAAACGGATAATTGTTCTGAACACGAGTAAACTTAAATATTTGGCAGAGATTCAGATCGAGTCTGATGTTCTTGTTAATCATTGTGATGAGGTAAATACGATTTGTATCGCATCTGTACAATTTGATAATAATAGTGTTCCTAAAACAATTTGACGCCAGCAAAGACATTTACGCAAACGAGTCAACATTGATAAGCCCACGAGACAATTAAGCTATAAAAAGCATACGTCCTTATTATTTCAGCTGTTATATTGTTGGCTAATTAGAAAAGACGATAATAACCATTATGAAAAGTTCTTTTTACACAACCAATCAGATTTTCTATGTGACGTTTCGATGACTAGTACGAAAAATTG